TTAAGACGCACGAGGTCCGGTTGGGTTTTAGTGGGTAGTACTGGCTTTGCCGGTGCACCTCGTGCCCGAAAGCGTGGAGGACTATGGCCTGACCCCCCTCCTAATGAAGGGAGGCCTGTGCCCAGCAGTGAAACGTTAAATGGGTCTGGACACATATCATAGGGATATATTTTATTATTTATTTATTTAGATATAGCGCATTACTCATTCTTAAGCAAACACAGTCCAGGAATGATAATTTTAAAGCTTAATACTAAAATTATTGTCAGCAAGTTACTCTTAGAATTTCCTGTTGATAACAAACAAGTTTGTTCGACAAATTTTAACCATACAAGTAGATACACACATACATATATGTTATTACATTGAGTGGATCCCGTTGCGTCGTTAATTTATAATTGATTATACACTATATTTGAAGGCTCTTATGGTATACTTATTTATATAAAAACTTTGCAATATATCACAAACTACATTATCCTGAATATGATAATAAATACGAATGTTTGTTTGCATGTTTGTTATTTTTCTTCACGCTGAAACGATTCAACGGATTTGGATGAAACAGTCTAGCTGGATAAGCATAGCGAATCGCCCCCCTAATGGCAACCTGTGTATATCGTAACTTATGTGTCAATAGGAGCTTGATGTAGGTAAGCGATTCGTATGAGTTTCACTGCCATACTCCGCTTTGACCTTGAGATATGAAGAAAAATTAGCGTAACCATAAGGTTTTCATATAAATATGAGTAGATCAAAATGACATATCTCGAAAACCTTAAAAGCTAGAAACCTAAAAGTCGCTGTTAAAAAATTATAATTCTAGTCTTGCCTCAAATTTTCCATAGATGAAATCCTTCTAATATTTATTATTTGTTGGTTCGCCTTCTTCTCCTACAACAACAACAAAACAACATATCGAAGTAATGTCTGTATAGAGATAAGTCTATGGGGCCGAGACAGACAGATTACTTTTGAGCCCGTTATTAATCTGTTGCATAAAGTTTATTTAAAGGTGTAACTGAGCGTAGCGAGGGTGCGCTACTAGTAGGAATATAAATTGATATTCGCTTTTCTGTACATTAATACTTACTATTTGAAGTGGAAATAGAATTTATGATGAAACCTGAATTTCAAACGTAAACCGAAGTTGTTTGTATGGCGACAGTGTCCATGGGAATATCGCAAAGCTAGAAGACAAATTTCTATTAAAATGTCCATGTAGAGTTAATTTTATTACTGTACTGTCCACAGAAGAGCTTTAATGAAAAAGTGGTCTTCCACAAGTTACAACGTGCAGCGGGCAAAGATTTTCCGGTGGAAATGTTTTACTTTGATATTTCAGTATCAGACGTAACTTCGATAAACTTGAAAATATCTTATATGTATTGCAACAAAAATTCATTTGAAAATTCTAGTTTCACAAAAATATTACATTGCTAATGCAGAAAAGTACTGATTTTAGACTTTTAACCTATTTTTTATTACTATATTGCACAATGGTAGCAAGACCGGCAACTATTCAAGTCAGAGATTATGTCAAGCCCCACCACCTGATATGAATACTTGATCATAATCACCATTCAGTTATAGTGAACTGAAATGAATCATTATATATCTTTCCTATATTTATAAGACTGAAGCATAAAAAAATTTATACAATAACTTGCATTCATTTCAGATTATAGTTTCGCATCAGTTTTTAACTTACATGTTCAAATTTAAACAAATTATACATTATTAAAATTGCAGACTGCTTATAATCATTTGACGATAGTCATAGTTATTAGTACATTTGAAACTAGTAGAAAACAGATCAATTTCAGGATTAAAATAAAAATGTCATAAATAACACAAATGACATATTACATTACTTTCTGTATATTTCATTTATAAATACTAGCTCAAAGTACAATGTCACAATTTGTTATTATGTAAAATGTAAAGACACTAATAGAAAACACTATAAACGTGTAGCTATGTATTTATTTCAAAATATTACAAGGTTTGTTCTGGAATATAGTTATATCCCACATCGTGTAAGCCACTTCGCGAAATGATGAGTAGGGGTCAGTTTTCTGTAAAGTTAAACTGCTACGAACACAGACGACATTCATACTGCCTCAAAATCTAACACATTTGGCACCATCGTATAGCGTACTTTGCAAATTATAATAATTTTGTCAAACTCAGGCAACAGAAACTCATTTGAACGACCAATTACAATGTAACACATCATGCAACCGCAGAACAGTAGGTACTGGGGACAAGACACCACAAATCTACACGAATAACAGAAATATGACTACTGTATAGAATCATAGATAATAAATAGATACAATATATTTCCAGCATTGGAGAGGGATTGTATAGGAAATGTAGTCGTATATTGTTGACATTGTGATTTCTTAGAGATATATTATTAAAACATAATTATCGGAATAGTGTTTGCCGATCACGTGTCAAAAACATCGTCGCCTCCCGGATCTCACATGAACAGAGGGTAGGTTCTTCAATTGTTGTTATAGTAATATGATATTATAACTAGGCTATCTTTTTTAAATAAAACGTATGTTAAGTACATAATAACCTTCATTAATATGACTATTAGGTGAACGTGAATAGCTAAGTTAGGTTTAAAATTTCTCAGAGCCACAGTCAATATATAATCTATATGTTTTATCAACAGACAGCATTATTGTAATAGTTATAATAGACTTTATTTTTATAACAATGATGCTCCAGAAAAACCGACCGATAAACTTTTTTTATAAATAGCATTTTAAATATTTCTACGTATGCGAGATCTTTTTGCACGGATACGGTTATACATATTTATAGCGTGTGTGGAAATCGGGTTCCGAAATCGCAGTATGGAGTATTAACAAACGTATTATACGAAATTTATATACATTGAAAAATTTAATTATTTAACAATATCACCTTTTTCATTAAAATGTTACTTTGCATATAGGACAAATTACGTAATTGAAACAGAGATGTTAGGTGGAAATATTTTTCCGTGATTAAAATTATTTTACTTGGCCTACTAGCTACCTATTGTTACGTCGATCGACTAAACTGTTTAATCGAGTTGTATGCTTGTGTCGATTTCTATGACGACTAAACAGTTTAATCGACGAGGGTGCGCATCTTCGATCAACAATACTACTATATAACGTGTCACATACAAAATCAAAGCTAAATCCTGTCCGCGCGAATATGTACTTATACAGCTACATTTGTATACTGACGCACCAAGATAAAGTCTTATAATAGTTTTATTTTCAACCTAATCAACACCATAGTACCTTATAATAAAGTTACAAATCTTCCAATTATCATTATACACTTACGATCATTTCGTAAGTTTTATAATCTTTATTGTAAAATCAACCTTATATCAAAAAAACTCGAAGCAATCTTTCCTGTTGTTTGTGTCTTTGTGAGCTAAATCGTTATGTTTTGTTTCTATTTGCTTCTTAGAATTTTCAAGGCCGGCCAATACAGGCATATTGGCCGACCTGGACCAACGTTCTTAGCGAATTTAAAATTGTTCAAAATGTCATTTTTATATTACTTCGTAGGTTAAATCTTAAAATATTGACTGACTAACGAAAAAAAGACGCTCCGTACGAAAAATTTCTTCTTCGCGCATTATTTTTGCAACTTTTAAATACACATTGCGGCATTATGAACGTGTTTACGCTTGCAGTATTACAATAGAACTAATCGATTTATACACTCACTTTGCAAGTGAGCTTATATTTACCGAGACGGGTTTCTTACGCCGACCCGATATCTAGTAGTATTGTTGGTCGAAGGTGCACATACAATCAATTCAGTTGTAATTGATTTATTTTAGCTTTTTTACACTTTATTTAGACTTTATTACATGGGCTGTGGTGTTGATTATGTAGAAAATAAAGCTATTATAAGCCTCTATCTTGGTGCGTCAGTATACAAATGTAGCTGTATAAGTACATATTCGCGCGGACAGAATTTAACTTTGATTTTGTATGTGACACGTTATCTAGTAGTATTGTTGATCGAAGTATTTTAGGTTTCTTTTGTTTCGTCTTTTAAGTGGTTGTTTTGTAGAACTCAATTATATTTGAATACAAGGGCAATGGTAAATAAAAAAGTAGACGTCTGTGCTTTGCTTAAAATAAATATTCATTTTTATAAGTAATAATTATGATAAATTATAATTAATTAGTAAAAATATATTTTTATAAACAATACTTATTATAAAATAATATATATAATTTAAATTATTAATAATAAATTTGACTCTCACTTCCGCAACACTTATTTTTCTAATGTATTGACTAACCCCTCAGTCACGCGTAAAAGACGTAGCGCCCAAAGCGCTAAAATAATAATAATAATAAATCATAAATACGTTGAGAGTTCCGTGGTAAGCTACGAGGCTTGTATTAAGGATACCAAATAGTTCATCACACAAATGAATGCTCCAAACGGGATTCGAACCCGCGACCGCTGGCACAGAACGTAGGATCACTACAAACTGAGCCAAACGTGTCAGCACGACTGTTGCGGATCAACTGTTTAGTCGAGCGTAGGTATGCGTGCTCTAATACATTGCAATACATATTGAGTTATCGGTCGATAGTTGTTAGGCTAATTAGTCATGAAACGGTCGATGTGGTTTTTGATTATTTTGTCGAGCAACTATCTAATTGGTGGTATGCATATAACTTTTGACATACAACAAACAATTGTCCGATTAAAAGTTGTTGACGACACGCTTGGCTCAGTTTGTAGTGACCCTACTTGCTGTGCCAGCGGTAGCGGATTCGAGTCCCTCTGGGGGCATTCATTTCAGTGTAGAACATGAATGTTTGTACTTCAGTCATGAGTGTTTATATATATATATATATATATATATATATATATATATATATATATATATATATATATATATATATAATTTTATGTATGTATTTAAAAGTTATATATGTGTAGTGTATCAACTATCTGGTATCCATAACACAAGCCTCGTAACTTACCATGGAACTAGATGGTGCTGTATTAATATCCCAACATATTTATTTATTTATTATACGTATATGTGGTAGGTCTAAGCGTTTCCGCAATAAATTATCCGAGACACAATATTTAAAAGTACCTACTTGTATACTTTACTACGCATTGTGTTCGAACGGAAAGCGTACAAGAAATCCTTGTAAAGAACAGAAGTTCTCAATATTAAAGTTGTAAGTATCTTTTTAGAATATGCAAAAAATTCAAATCAAATACATAGAGTGGCAAAGGCATGTTGAGAGAGTCTTGTAAAAAGGCTAAGAGTATTTTCTTGTTATGACTCCGTATTAAAAGCTACTATAATCCTACGATTATAGATTATAATACAATCGCCGTAATATCCTTGATCAATTAGATACGATAGTTACTTTGATATTTTTATAATTGTGTTTCATGTAGAAGCTAAATATGTACTTAATATATTATAATTAACTGTGGTAAAATAATACAATTATATATATGATACGCGTATATATGTACAAATTATGTAGGTATATGAGAGATATAGAAGAGGCTAGGTTCAAAATGCTCTAACATGCAATCTAATCTCAATTTTAACTACATGACAACATATAATTATTTAAAATAACATAAAAACTTTTGCTGTCATTGTTGGATCACTGATAAGTAATCAACAATAGTTTCTTTAAGTATCAATAATTGTTGTATAAATGAACGTATGCACGTACATATATTATGTACATGTGGTAAACAAACCTTCTGTGATCCGACAAAGTATATAGCTAAAACTTACCTTAATCTTCCACCGCACCTTCATGTACAGCAAAAGCAATTTAAAATATTTGCAGCTGCGTAGGCAGTTCTTAGAAAATAACCTTAACTTAGATACATATTTTTAACAAAATATTATTCTATAAAGATTTTTACATATGTATTAGGTACATGTTCATATAAATCTTTGAAAATATGAATATTATATAAGTGACAGGGCGGTCATTTTTACCGACATCAAAAAGGGAGATAGCACTCAATTCATCTTTATTTTTGTATGTATGTTACGTGATGTCTTCGCCAACTGTGGATAAATTTTCATGGGGCCATCAATGGGGTGGACCCATATAAACCTTCATACCTCTATACCTTGCCACCCATATTAAATTTAAAAAATCAACTTCTGCGTGTAGAATAGTTACATTTAACACTTTTTAAGTCGGTGTACTGTTTTATAATAATATTACAGTAGTACATAAAATCGTTGATAAACTAATACAAAAAAAAAAATCAGAACTTTAAATACAAGAACAAATGACAAAGGTAGAGCACTACAAAATTAAAGATATCTGCTATTTACATGAGACATTCGAGAATATGATATTTTTAGTTTATGACGATGATTCTAAGCTAAATTAATAGCTTACAGGCAAAAGCCGATAACGCGTACAAACTTACCATCGTCGTCTGTGGGCAAAGGGCCGACAGTGCCGAAGAACCTCTTGTCCAGGAGTTGTAACAGTTGCAGGGCGCTCTCGTGCACCGGCGCCCGAGGACAGCCCGTGCACATCAGGGTGACGTTGATGATGGCCGTGTAGTGATCGCATGGATATTCCCTGTTGCATACATTAAAATTATTAAGCCTTATAGTTAAAAATACTAATATTCATGGCTAGCGATGCCAGTTACAGCTATACTCATCAACCCTAAAGCCGTTTCCCGACGTCATATAAAAGTACGAATGACAGTCAGTAGCGTCTCACCCGCGTCTCATACACTCGCACATCCTGCACGATGCCTTTGTTCTATTAATATTTTTAAATTATGATAATATTAAACTACTAGAAAACTACTAAAACTTAAAATAGTATATAATACATGTTTGTAAGTGATGTACTCCCCCTAGAATATCCGACTTTTAAATTGAATGTTTAATGGCTGTAATGTCACTCGTGTTTCTTTACTGATATGACATACTTGTATAATGTATTTACAATATTATTATTGGTTTCAATTATTATCTTAACTTAAATTTATTTTTATTTATTTATGTACCATAACGTATATGTTATACAAAATAAAGTAAGAAAATGTTGACAAAGGACATCCCGAGGACATTACTTTTCAGGTCGTTACTCCCAAGTGTATCCGGTAGGACTTTATTATGTTGCAATGAGTTTCCGAGTAACGATTCCTAATCGAACCGAGAGTAGGCTACATCTTAGACAAATAATCTAATATCAAATACACCTTTTCTACAAAACGACGACAATAATAATGTTTTCTAGTATTACTTTTTATGTTGACTTTTTGTTAATTTGCAATGACTGTCAAAAAGTTGCTGATATTTTTAAATATTTAAACGGTTTTTAAATAAAATCTACGCGTATTTGTTAATACATATAATTTCAATACCGTATGAATTTTTTCTAAGGTTTTCCAAGTAATCACATTTTTTTGAGTCCTCCTAGTACAACAAAGCAGATATAACACTCCTGTTTTTCTATAGTATGCTCGCCAGTATGTATGCCAATTTCAAATGATGTCAATTACACACATATCTATGCCATAGTCCCTTATCAATGAAACGTTTTCTTAAACAGGGGATTCATAGTAAGGATTCGATGGATTTCCATTTATTGTAGATCTATTATATTTTAAGTAAATTAAGGCAGAACGTTGTTACGAGTATATAAGGAACGCCCAAATAAAACGCCTTTCTCGGTAATGATTTAGTGTTTTTTTATTTATTTTAATGTATTTTATTTCAAAGTAGTGACATTCCTTCGTTTCAGTAAGCAAATAAAGTGGCTTGAATACAGACATACTAATATCTCAAGGGTAATCCCCTGTAGTACTTTATCTACTAGAATGACAAGGCCTATGCCACTATGTTTAAGCAATCTCTGTGCATAAAATAAGCTCTGAACTTCGTTGTGACGCGAAGGAAATCCGGGAAATCCAATAAATTATTTTATGTTAGCGATACGTGGATTGCTTAATTGAGACGTACCCGATACGACGAATAAGAAATCCGTTATTTCCAAGGAATTCCTAGAATTCACCTACGAATAAGATGTTCCAGCTCGAGTACTTAATGGCAACAAGTAATATGAAATGTTTCATTTCATATAACTTGGATATGGAAAATTTGATTCGTCTAGTTTTTTGAATACTATAAATATATATTACAAGTCAAATAAATATGAACCCAACGTCTTACCTGTATGAAATTTGACAACGTGAAAAATACCAAATAGTTTTATGTCAGGTATTATCACATAACAATTAAACAATTTATTGTGATGTCATCATAAATATTCGATGATATTTAAAAAATTACAAAAGTGAAATATAGCTTACACTATTAAATGAAGTTTATAATCAAACATTCGCTTACACACAAAAATATAAAAAAATGAAAGAAAGACGAAGTGTTTACCCAATGATTGAACAGAATAGTTGTGTGTGTGTTGTGACAAATGACATAGCAAATGATCAAGCTGAAAGTATTATGTAGTGTAAATATAGATTTATTTATTTGCTTATGAAACGCATCCTGTGCATTCAATTCACCGTTATTAATTTCTCCTTGCGAGGGCGCTACAATGTAAGGTGTGTCGACTGTCGACTTTGTCACAGATAGTCTAGATAATGTATACAGTTAAAATATATCTTATGTATTTCTGATTTTGAAAGAGATTGCAATTTGCTAGTATACCTGGAGTAGTTCAGTGTAAAGCCGCAAGCACTAATTAAATTTCATGAAGTGCTCACGACTCCGAGAAATTGGTGAACACACATAAAAATACATACAGACGACATACAACTTCCTCCTTTTTGGAAGACGGTTAAAAAATAAACTAAAATGGGTCCGATAACCAACCTAAGATAATCTTAGGTTTGATGCATTTTCTCGATGCAAATCTGTAAGTGAAAACCCTATTCTATTATTATCAAACAATGTTATATTGAAATGTTTGTGTAACAACGAAACTACTTGCGATCTTAAAGGTTGTAAACACAACAGGATACGGCATTAGGTAATAATAGAAGCGTGGATATGTCAAATGTTACAAACGGAGATCAGGGAGAACGTACCTCCATGATCATGAACAGGCACTTTGTAACGATGTTACATAAAACGATATTAAAGATTATTTAGAGAATCTATTCTCGTCACCGGACCCGAGTCTATTAGGTAGATCAACATGTTGTGTATAGATGTATGGCGATACTCTCGCTTTATTCAGGGCCTCCCACATCTTTCCCCCGCTTTATACTAACTTTTTGCAATATATTGAATACGCTACAGTAACCGCTTGATAAACTGAGGTAAAACGTTCGTGCGGAATTCACATTTCGATCACAATTTTGAAAACTCTTCCATTAACAAAATAAAAAAAAGTTCACAAACGCATCACTACTTTCGTATCTTACCTGCTACATCCAATCTCACACAATTTTTACTTTTAACAATAGGTCGAACATTTGTTTCTAAATATTTTTTTAGATGTAAAATGTCTTATATTTATTAATCCTCAAAGTGTGAATGACCATTCAACAACACATAGTATATGTAATAGTGCACTTTACAAGTAACAAGCAAACAAACAAAAAGTACTAGCTTTATACGCCTGTATCCTTAATCAAAGGCCTAGAAGACCTTTAAGAATGCTTAGAAAATCCATAAGTTAGTAATGTAAAAGTTAATTGTAACGAATATATTTTCTCTTTATAATGCTAATTGCGTCAGTAACTAAACTTTCTCCAACTGAGAAAATGTTCCACAGTCGGCCTTGGCCTTGCAAGCAATAACGTATGAATCATATTAAAAGGAACTCCCCCGTAAAGGCTTAGTGTAAGATGGCGGAGCAATACGACCTAAGCTAAACTATATCATAAATTTTTATTATTAGACCAGTTTAAAATGGATTTCTGATATTCGGAAATGAGCCGTGTAAGTATAACTTATTATAATCTTGGAAGTGTTTTAGGTCAATATACATTATCTGTAAATATCATTTTGTTACTTTCGAAAGGGATGGTCCTCTTCAATTTGGACGAATTTTTTACGGTGTATATGAATAATATGTTCTTCAAATGTATGTATCATTTTTTTGGGGAAAATTTATCTGTATGGGAATAATTACCACTAATAAGTGTAGTTTTTACTTCATATAAGTATGGTAATTTTTCATCAGTCGTTAGTCGGTTATCATTTGTAATATTTTTTTGTGTATAATTATATAGATTATGAAATTAGACTACAATTTATAGTAATCTATTCACGCTACAAAAATTGATGCCGCCTTAGTATTATGTGAATCATTTTTTGGGGAAAAATTATCTATTAGGCAATAATTACGAAACTGAGTGTGGTTAAGATTTTACTTTGAGCATATATGTGGGAGATAAAATGTTTTCTGTTAAATTTTTTACACTACCTTCGTTTTGTCTTTTGTACCAAATATGTAATTTAACAGTTGTTGTTGTTCGACAGTTTGACTGTCGAAACTCCCACTACGACATTCGGCTATAAATACGCTTACTGTACCCATCAACGGGACAGGCGAGGCTCGGTTGTGAGCCCGGCACTTTGCTCATACGTGCTCTGAATCGTCCGAGTTAGTTATCATGTAATCTCTCTATCGTTTTTACAATATTTTTGTAATTAAAATAGTGCTTTATTATTTTTGTATTTTAATTAAAATACTTATATTTTGAAGTACTTTCAATAGTTTCAATTATTTGTTAACCGACTTCCAATTCCAAAAAGGAGGAGGTTCTCAATTCGTCGGAATCTTTTTTTTATGTATGTTCACCGATTACTCGAAGACGCCTGAACCAATTTGGAGTTTTTTTTTGTTTTAAAAGGTATACTTCCCAGGTGGTTCCATATAAATTTTATCAAAATCGGTCGAGCAGTTCTTAAAATATCTACAGTTAATATTTTTTTTAAATAAATTGTTAAATCTAATATGTTATTAAAAACTTTCTTCTTACAAATTACCTGCTTATTACGTCTACACTAAAAATGGAAAAAAAAACTTTTTAACAAAAAATAAAACCGACTTCCAGGCACTAAAATGTAAAAAATAACTAAACGGAGGTTTTCATTTAGAATAGATTACTAATCAGATATTTTTGAAGTCGGTGCCAGCCTACAATATTTTAAGATATGAATATCTAATAGGTAAATATTATGTATTTTACGTATCGAAATAGATTTACTTTGCATCGGCATTACATTGCATTAGACTTATTTTGTCAAATATTCGCGTAAATCTATAGATGTAGAAAATGGACTGATCATCCATGGATACACACATGAAATTGACCACTCTCTAGAAAGAGAGGAATAAAACGTGCGCCCAATACCCGTCATTTATTTCAGTTTCATTTTATAAATGGAATGTAAGAACAAAATACTATAATGGAATGTAAAATGGTTCTAAATCTCTATCTTATCTATTTCTTTATGTCTCTGTCGCTTTTCCGCCATTTTCAGCTGACGACTGGCAAAAAAACACTCATTCCACTCTCTATATCTATGTCTATGTGTAAACCTAAGAAAATATTGTATATATTCCATATTAAATTTAGCGTTCCGATTACAGTTCCACGACACCAAAGGTCTGTATAAGATTGCTCATACCAATAACCGTCTTTGCGTGTCATATTGTTATTTTTCCTTTTTTTCCATCTTCTCATAGAAGACTCTCTTCTTGTGTGTGTGCAATAAAGTGTTTATCTATGTATCTATCTATATATTATATGCACTAACCTGGCACTAAATATGGTGGCTAGAGCCATGAAGCACCCATCAGCGACTCTTGGTGCACCAGTAAAGCACTTGTCCACAGTCCAGTCCAGAAGCGGACCAATATCGGGATTGCAATCTAGCAATAAGACGATCGTCTCACGAGCTAATTCGTATATCTATAACAATGAAAATGAATAAAATTAATATATTAGTTTAAGATTATTCTTTAATTTTGAACAGTTATATTATAACATACATATGTATATCTAAGGCATTTAAATAAACATATTGTAGATGTTATATGATATATGCAGTATATCTTTATGAAAATTACCAAAATAGTTATCATTGCGCAACAAGGACAGACATTATTAGATTGAGTGTTTTGAAAAAGGACAGATCATTTTCCAGAAAGTTTTATATTAAAAAACACAGTGTAAAGTAAAAGTTGTCGCATAAGTCAGTGTGTTGGATACTTCATCACGCTGTAACGGATCTACGATTATATCCTGGCACAAAATACAAGTCAATAAAGATGATATGTAAACAAAGTCTCTGATTATGTCAGAGGTATTAGAACAGAAAAAAAAAAAAAAAAAAAAAAAAAAAAAAAACGGATCTACGGATTCAAATAAAATTCGTAACGGAAAAGCAAAGACTACCTTTTCTCAATACAATAACTAATAATACCTTATCGTTAGTAGACGAGAGCATTTCACTAAGCCAGGGGTATAGGGAGCCGTCCTCAGCTAGAGCTGCTGGTGCGAAGCATGGCCCGCAGCATACGAGTGCACTCATTGCCTGTAAACAATGTAAAGTTGAAATACAACCGGTTAGAATAATAAATGCATCATCCCACGACACCGTCTTATACTATGACCGAGCTATGAACGTATCAGGCACGGAAACGAGCATGGCACGGACTACTACGCTCCCTAGTACGTATCAACAGTGCATCATAATTCATACCCGTACTTAACGGTTTTAGTGCTGCGTATTGCTCACCATTGCACCGCATGCGCGCACCGGTCCCGCAACGTCGCATGCCAGGCACGTAGCGTACCGGCACCGGCAAAGTATTCTCGTCGACAATAGTTACCGCTCCGTGCACGGCATGCAACGGGGCCGGTTCGGTGACGGAACGGTCTAGTGGGCAGAGTCTTATACTTTTCAAAACAAAGAACATTTTTTGCCTGATACGGTCCTAGCATGGTCATGAGAGGAGACGGGGTAGTGGGCAGACACCTTTAAGGATACTGTAAGACTTAGAATATAAGTAGTATCAGTATTTATTTACTGTGGCATGAGATGAAGGTTCAAATGCAATGGAAGAGATTAGAATCGAGTCTTTATAGTCTACTTTAGCGGGCCTTAAAATAAGTTGGCGAAAATACAATGATTGTTTCAGCATCTCGTAGAGGGTTAAGAGGTGGTTAAACATTCGAATGGTCATAATAGAGGTACAATACGGTAAATATAACCTTTGATACTTGATAAATACAATTTATCCTAACTATTTAACAATTAACAATAAAGGAATAATCAAATACAATAAAAGAATTAAATATATGTATACTTTTTAAAATAATCAAATCCACATATGGAATTCTTCATTCGCAAGTCGGCTACTCCGACAAAAACATACACCCAATTTCACTTTAAAAACTACAAACACCACGTTAACATAAAACAGGACATACCTTCAAAGCTGCTAGGTTCAGTCTATCATCTATCTCAGTGGCCGGAGGCTGGGGCTCCAGGGCTCCGAGGTGCTTGGAAAGAGGCCCACACCACCCCGCAAACAAACTGAACAGACTCTTGCATAGCTCCTTCTTGAGTAAGGACTCGTACATTTCCACTGTTTATATTTAATAAGAAAATGTAGCTAATTATCTGTAAATATTAATTTTTAAATTCCCCATCCCGTAAAATTGTGTTTCTTTTGGGCTAACCTCAGAAGCAACTGTACGGATTTTCATACAGTGTTTGCCAATAGAAAGAGGTATTATATAGGCTACAATTTATAAATTTTATACCGGTATGATGGTATTTGTGAATTAAGTCGGAAAAAACTTGCCTTCTAGCTTTGCATCCAAGCGAAGCGAGGGTAAGCCATTACTTTATGGGAAAAATTTAAATAAAGGCCGTCCGTCTGACGTCAGTCGGCCTACTATGGTATAGACGACTACGACGACGATAATGAACAATAAAACATTAGTTAATACTGCTGTACTCGCGGTTTTTAATATTTATAACTTTCTTAACTAGAAAATATCTATTTTAAAGACAAGTCTTTTGCCCAAATCTCTTCACTATTTCCGTTACTCTGATTTTAAATTACATAAATAAAAAAACAAAAAAAAACTACTCTATAAACTATTCATACATTAAGAGATACAAACTCACGTGGGAAACTTTTTATCAGTTCAGTGACGAAGTCTGCAAATGTGAGTCGTTGTTCTCTCGCAGCTGGTGCGTCCTTCTCTGCTTCCACTTCTAAGCACTGACGGACCCCGTCCAGGTATTCTGTTATACTGGAGTGAAGGCCACCACCTTCTAGTGCGTATGAGCTGTATAGATATAAAAAAATATATTGGGACATTCACACACAGCACCATCTAGTTCCATAGTAAGCTCCGAGGCCTGTGTTATGGATACCAGATAGTTGATACACTACACACATATAACTTTAAAAACATACATATTATAAATATAACACCCATGACTCGAGTACAAACATTCGTACTTATTACACAAATAAGCTTCCAGCGGGACACGAACCCGCGACCGCTGGCACATCGCGCGAGTCGTCAGATATATAATGTATTAAAACGTGTATAATTTATATTACTGAAGGACCAAGCTTCGCTCGGCATTTTTGGGAAAAGATATAAAATTTGGGGGTGTTTTTTTTTCAGAAAAATAAACTTATAAAAATAAACTTAAAAAGCTAATCCTTTTTTAAATACAAAATTTGATCTAAATAGTTAGAGCCGTTTTCGAGATATGTACGCAAAATAAATCTTTATACATATATACAGGATTGCTCATTTAATATTATATTTTTAGACCAACGAAAATTGGATATTATAAAAAAAGTATTAAATACGTTGTACTTTATTATAAAATTAGAGAAAAAGAAACACTAAACTAACTTTTTTCAACCTTATGTTTTTTCAGTATGCAAAGTGTATATAACGTAACTTCGCAAACAAAATATTTTATCAGCCTATATTTATAATAATTTATTTCTGCCCAGCTTGCGGTCGTGTGGGACAAAAATAAACAAAATATATAAACAATACTAGCATTGCCCGCGGCTCCACCCGCATTCAGATGACCAAAAACCAAATTCTTAGGTTTTACTTATTAGTCTACTCTTACATTGCAGTTTTTATATTTTTTCTCAAAAATGAGATATTTTCTCGCGATAAAAAGTATCCTATATGTTGACCCGGATAACCAGCTATCACCATACTAAATTTTATCAAAATCCCTTCAGTGGTTTTTCTGTGATGTGGTAACAGACAGACAGACAAAAATTCTAAAAACTATAGATTCGGCCTCTGTATCGATAATAATGTTTACTTCAATAAGATTTTTCAAAAAATATCTAATGTACAGATTCGGCTTAGTTACAATTTTATTATATGTATAGAAAAATAAAGCCTTCTGGCCTTCGGCGTAGTAGGCCAACGCCGTAACCATAAGGCTATTCAAACGGCGCGGCCGTTTTTTGCGTGAATATACGGAGAAAACTCTCATATCGAGGAAACGATTTTTCCCAGATATGAGACCTAGCTAGATCGATTTTTCACACCCGTAAACCCATATATTGCAAATTTCATCGAAATTGTTAGAGCTTTTTTCGAGAACGTGATACAAATATTCGTTTAATACTATAGGATAATAAATTGTTCGCTATATAGGCACCTATTTTTTTTTTAATTTTATGTTACATATGTACATATGTTACTATAAAAATTTAAAGTTTGTTGAGCTCTGAGATTTTCCAGTAAAACCTAGGATTTGCCACTCGCTTTACGGAATAGTTAAATATCGTAAGGAAAAATGTCTAAGAGAAGCTAGCAAGTTTTGGAAAGACATGCTCAGTTCGCCCACCCGCACTTGGCCAGCAGGTAGACTATAGCCTGAGCACTAACAGTTAGGAAATACTCAAGCCCAAAAGATGTTGCAAGGGTTGAATTATTACCTTGTAGCAAAAGTCTTCCTCTGAGCAATGATCAGCAGCATCTTATTGAGATGCAACCGGAGAGCGTCGCGACGACGCCTGCGCCTCATGTTCTCCTGCTTTCGGTCCACCGCCTCGCGCAACAACGGTATCAGCTCTTCGAATAGATCCCTGATATTATTTACTTTTGTTATTACAACATATAGTATTAGTGGAAGAATTTTATAATAAATTCTTTATTTTAAATAATATATGTATGTGTATGGACAAAATAGTTGGATATAAATTGTTTATTAATTAAGAAAAGAAGAGTATATTTGGAGGCGCTAATCTCAACACGATTTTAAAATTTATTATATTTGTAATATAGCCTGCTTACTGAAGAATGGTATAATGACTTCTATATTTGGTCCTGCACAGTTGGGGATCGGTAAAATTTCTAGAGGATATTTAAAATTAAAGATAATTTCGTTTGAACCCATCAAAAAATATAAAGTTAACAATGAATTATAAACGCACAAATGGAAAGTAGTACTATAATACTTATTAACTTACTTAAGCGCATCAGGGTTGATGTGTCCACAGGCGGCCACAGCTGCATCTCTCACTTCGGGGACTTCGCACCTGGCTAGAGGGACTGCTAACTTGTGAAGGGACGCGGGTGCTGCATGAGTGCCCCGGGCTTCGCCCCCGCTACGCTCGCTTAAGGAGTCCGGCGACGAACTAGTGTGTATGTTTAAATGTTATTGATTGTACGGTTTAATGAGGTTAGTCTTCAATATATTACATGATTTTGAGATAAATTTTGAATATAATTGTTAAAAGTAGCAAATTTTATAACCAATATGTTCTAATTTGTAATGTGTAAAGCCAAGAATTGAAATAACGTCGTTTTAGTCAATACGTTCAGCGTTTAGAATTAAAAGTATTTTTCATCAATCAATCAATAATTTATTTTTATAGATAATCGATTAATTAATAAAAAATATTGGTTTTCTCTGAACAAAGATATGTTACGTGACGATTCAATTGTTACTACAAAAAACATATAATGACTGTTTTAACACATTCACGTTGAACAATGAACAGACTGTACTTTCTTATTCTACCATCTATTTAAGCAAAACAATATACAGGCATCGATGATGTTTTAAAACACGAAACTATGTGTATATAAAGCATGAAAAATTACATACACGATGACATAAAACCATGTGATACAGTATTTTACGAATGGTGATGTTGTCGAACAAATATCAATTGTATACACATAATAATTAAGCAGTATTTGATAGATTTGAATATTAAATACTATAATTCTCATATAAATATATAACGCTGCAATTTAAGAGTTTTAGCTATGCAATAATGCAAATAATAAATATATTAAATAATTTAGAGGTAATAGAGACGTATATAATTATTTATTAATTGTTGGTATTAAATACTATGTATTCCTTAGTCAAGTTTTGGTCTTATTTGATTATTTGAACAACGCGTTAATTTTATCGAATTAAATAATCTATAGCAAATCTATGTGTATTAGTCATCAGAACTTTTACTTTATTAAAAAGGATTTCAGCTGTCTTCGTCGGAGACAATTAAGCTTCATTTTTGATGCAAAATTTGATAGAAAGGAAAAATTGATATTGACATATAGCTTAGATTATAAGATAGGCGTAGCGTATAAAAATAGAGATTTAAGTCGGAAATAAATAACTATAATATAAAATTATTCTTACCAATAAAGAACAAAATAAACAATTTATAAATTCATCAGGTAATATTAAATATCTGGATAATTAAATTAGTTTTCTTGTTGAAATTGATAATTTCGTCTTGGCTTTATTTCATATTTTCTTACATTCTCATATACGGAAGAGTAGAAAAAGAAAATAGTATATATAAGAGCTCATTCCTTGCGATGCATCCACACAAACACTTAATTGGTCTTATTTAATCAACTACATACATACATAAACATTTCCAGGTGTAAACACAATATGTACCAAAAATATCAGTCATGCCGAGAGGTTGTCACGGTATCATCTAACTACTTATAGTTTTTTTCTTTCACATGAATTGTTTTCTGCTATAATATACTCATAAAAATTATACAAATAAATCAGAGAAATAATTTCTTACATTTCAACCTTTTGTTGCTTTTCTATTCTAAATATTCTCAATGATAAAATTCCTTTTATATATATAACTATTTGCATCAGTTACAAAATATTTAACTATGTAAACTATGCATGTGAAAGTTAAAACTAGTGAGGGGACAATTACACCGACACGACAGATTCAACACGAACGTGTATGTACATAAAACGCATCCATCAATACTTTATTTTTAAATTGGAAAAAAATGTATATATGTATAGGTATCGATATATAAGATAGAGAATCTTTATATATCGATACCTTAATTGGCAAACCAGCCGACTCCACATTTCGTCAAAAATTATTTTTTGGTTCAGATTGTACGCAACAGTAATTCAGTTGGGCTATTTTAGTAAGATTTTACAATATCAAAAATAACACTACGATATTTGCCACCAACGGTAATTTAGATTTTTTAATAAGTACCTACTGTACAAACAATTTTATAAAATTTTAACTGTCTCCTGAAAAAATTGCTCATATGGAGTTAGCTGGTTTGCCAATTAAGATATCGATATGTATATATAATAAAACATTTATAATCATATATTTATATGTATCAGTATCGATGGATGTTTTCAAAGAAGATTTTTTACCCCCAAAGTGTCTCCGGACACGCTGATAAGAAGAGGGCGCTGTTCAAGCAAAATACATACTTAAAATATTTAGGGTTAAGTTAGATAAATAACAATATAAAAACAAATTTTACAAGAGTAAATTTCGATGGCGCTTATAAAGTTTTCTGAGTGATCTCATTATATGAAAGTAACATTACGTATTTTATTGAGTAAGTATGTCATAGGTGTAGACTGGAATGTTGAGTAGCGCACGGGTAATACAATAAATGTATACAAAATAAAAATCTTACCATGCACAGAAAATACCTATAAATCATTGCAATACATATTTTAAAAAAAAAGCTATTTGTATTATAGAGCTTTTGATTCATTGTAACCGAACCGTTTAATAATAAAACAAAATATAAACATTTAGAGAAATTCGTTCCAAATTTTAAGCAAATCAAAACGAAAATATCAAAACAAACGAGTTTAAGTTTATTAAAGGTCCTATTCAATAGATCAAACGATTAACGCAGATTTCCTATAACTAATTTACCAGTCAATTTTATTAATAGCCATAGAACTTGACATAATTGGTATGAAGTATATGTCAAATATCAATCTCTAGTAAGAAAAAACAGATAGATAGGTTAATGGAACCAATATAGACGATAGAACTTATCTATGATCGTGAAATGATTGAGACGTAACACAAAATGACACCTACAATGTTAATTCACAACCAGATGTACATACGTTTGTCCATGAGCAAGAAACGATGGTATGCGATAGCTGTGCAACCTATGCGTGATGATTATGAGTCTCTCGAAGCTATACCACGAAGCTAAAGGCCGAAATGAGAGTTATTCACGACGCTGTATGAATTGTTTTGACGGTTCCATCTAACTATTGCGTAGCAAAAAGGAGACATCCGAAACCAAATTGAAACTAATATAATTACGATTGAAAATGATTATTATTATGATACCTCTATATCAATAAACATTATTGAAAATTTTAACAGTATTATTCAAATCAAAATCTTTATCAAAGTATGCGAGATGGAGCCGTCAAATATAATCGTATCGTAGTCGTATCGTATAACGTGCATATATCGGTCCACCTCGTGCGTTTGTGTTGTTTGTAAGAGCGCGCGTAGCTGAGGGGCAGCGTGAAGAAGCCGCCGGGCGCGTTCAGGCTCTCTGTGGACGAGCTCAGCTGAGCGCCCGTCCACTCGCCGCGCTCCTCCGTGCTAAACAGGTTTGTCTCACGTATACACCACCGGACTACTTTTATTATTGCGTGTATGTGTTTGTTGTTACACGCTATAACGACTGGATTTTGGATAAAATTCTATATGCACATAGACTGTGACTGTAGGATATAGGCTCGTGTTTGATATGGGGACGCATTCGAAGCTATGTGACTAGTTTTAAATATAATATCAACTGTTATTTGAAATACAAGTGTAAACGAAGAAAGTTCGAAAACAGTGGACAACACCTTAAACATAAACAAATTTTCATCATGTACCAATAAAAAACGATTTAAATCCCGCGGAAAAGGTAAATAGTGTGAACTGGAGTGCTTACACTGGAATTTGTGTGTATGTGTCAAATTTCAATAGCATTAATTTTAATTTATAAATAAAGAAAATGTTGTCAATATATCTACGGAACCCTAAATGAAAATCGCCCACTTCTTGCTCGTTATCAGTTAAATAATGTTACTAACATAAAAAGAATACATTTTAATCAATCTTAATGAATTTCGCTTAGATACAATTTAAATTTAATTCTTACAAAAAGAAAAACTAAATGTTATGTTTACGTTCCTAATTATATTTCTTTTTTTGTTGTTGTTGTCTGAGATAAGAGTTTAAGAGCCATTAACTTATTTATTTTATCCTATTTATTTTCACTAAGAAGATAGCAAATATCGAAAGAGTACCTAATTTCAAAAATAAAAGATTAAATAATATATTTCAAAGAAAACTAGGTATTGTCACGTCTACAAAATCTTATTTGCTTATGATTTTTAAAATATAAATATGTTTAGTATTAACATATTCTGTAAACATGTTACTGCATAATTTTCTTCGATAAAATTGTTAAGGGGGCACCGAGCTCTTTATTTTAGTAGGACGAAAGCGGGCAGCGGCGGAGTATGGCTAACGACGGAACGCGAATTTAGGTATTTTCTTGAATGTGTAAAGTGTATACATTATAGAAAACGTATAATTTTGTTATTATTAAAAAACTGATGAACTTCCTTGAATTATTTACGCCGCACTAAGGGTTTATTTTGTTTCTTCTATCGAAGAAACTACAAGTAATCGTGTTTCTAAAATGTACGATTTATAGAATAAATCCTTAAATATCCTATATATTCATAACATAATTAAATTTTTAGTAATAACAATACAGCAAGGCATGAAACGAACGCAATTATTTCGTAATAGCCTCGGTGCGCCCTTAATAGCTCTAAGATATTCAACCTATCATTCTTTCGTGATATGTATACATTAATAACAAAAAACAAATTATAAATTTACATGCGTACCTAAATAGTTATTCTCTATGAGAGTTCCCTTCTGCAATCACTTTACTACTGCAATAACTAACATTGGCTCAAATATAACTTATGCAAAATAAAACTACTACGCTACCAGAAACCAATCAAATATTGCAATAAAAATATATTAAAATACAAAAATATTTTAATAAGCTATATATAACATAATATACGTATCATAGTACTAGTATATGTATATACGGGTGTCCAGTGACGTGTGGTGTAAATGTCAAGTGTTAACAATTATATATGTACGTACAATAAAAATAAATATTTCTTAGATATTATCCCAAATATAACTACGTTTTGTATAAAAAAATTATTTGAACAAATTTTCTCTACCATTATAAGTTGATGAGTGCCGACATTGTATTAATTGTAAGTAAATATCTTCCAATCGACAACTCGGCAAGAAAAATCAATACGTGACTTGTTAATGACAGATTTATATTTATTATACTATATTTACCAATACCTTATGACAACAGGTATCCCGTGGAATAGAGAAAGCTTCGCGACGAGACCAGAGATTGCACACATTCACGCGTCGATAAAGGCTCATTTACAGGGAAAATTTCATTACTTGAAAGGAAAGAGAAACTTGTAAGATTATAAAAAGTTTGAGCAAATGAAATTGAACCATATAAAGTAATGAATACGGTATCATTTACATTGCTAATTTTTTCTATATTCCTACGTTTTGTTGAGATGAAACTCTAAACGTGTAAATGCGCCTTTAACGATAATAAAAGTGTCAAATGTAAACAGTCCTTAACATTTACTTACACGGATTGAACGATCCTTATAAATTCCCTCGATATGAACTAGATCAAAAAGCTAAAGACATGTCAAAACAACAAATATACAGACGGGGTAATAAAATAACCAAATCAAATTTTAGCGACCAAATCACATCAGGTTTTTCTAATTTTTAATAATGTGACGCAACGAAATTGCAATTAAGTGATCTGCAACCGCCATTTTTAAATGCGGCGTTTGCAATTTGCATGTGAAAAAATTATTAAAGAAAATTTTGGAACATGACGCCTTTCAATTAAAATTTAGACCATAAAATTATAAGCAAACATAAAAAAATATTATATTATTAAAAAAATATATAGCTACAAAAGAAACTTATATTCTTCTATTAATTTCATTGAAATAGCCCACTTAATGATTTATAAAAGAATATTTATTACAAGTTGCCTAGAACCAATAATCACATCAAGAGAGAAACAAACAAAAATGCTGCATACGCACCTTTGAGCTTAACTAAAGTGAACCGCTCGACAACCAGCCTTACATCAAAAACCTTATAAACAATCGTATTGTAATTCAAACAAATATAAGTTTATATGAACCTCACCTCAGACTTAGGTCAGGGCTAGCACATCGTATGACGGGACTTGGTACTGCCGGCACTACTAGGTAAGCCATTGTCATATAATATTTCCAGACTTGCATATATCCGTCTCTTTCCTTCTCTGGTTTTCGAGGAAGTGCTGGTCCGCGAGATAGTAGGGATGCGCGGTTGTCGTTGACCGGTCTGCAAAAGTTTCATTGAATTTTGTATGACATTACACATATTGTACGCTAAGACTAAGGAATTATATAGACGGAGCCCGCCAAAAAATATAAGTCAAAAATAAATAGCGCGTTTTCCTGTTTTTGCCACTATTTTTGTCAAACAAATCGTTTATTTTCTTCAAAGAATAAAGAAAATTTTATTTAGGTATTAATCGTTAGTTTATACATTTGTTGAGAAGAAAATATGAGTAATAAAAATAAAATCATATTATTTTGTATTTTTTAAGCAATAGTTTTCTGTCCCTTGCAAGAAAAATAGCATAATATTAGCTTATTTAATTATTTGTTTTTTATTATAATAAAATCCGCTAGCTATTTTTATCACCATCTGTTTATCTGTTTACTTATCATAGCAATAAATATTCTATTGATATTTGTATTATGTTTTAAAAAGTTATACATTATTTTAAAACACTATTATTTGGCTTCATGTTTAGCTCTATGACATTGTCTATATGATTCCTTACTCTGAACATTATAATTTTTTTCAGACATTTCACACTTATTTGAGACACGCTTGATATACATCCTATAACCATAGGTCTAACATTTTTAACTTTTCAATGTAAACAGCTGTGGTGATGAAAAGAAGAACTAATAGAAATTATAATGTTGAATGTATCAACTTCAATCACGTTATGGAAATACTAGCGACTCATCCTCGCTTCGTTTGTGTTCATCCCTAGGTAACTTATTTATTATAACGTGTTTTCCCGTGGGTGGGTATTTCATTCTCCAGCCCTCCAACTATCTTCACACTATAAATCACGCCAATCCGTCACTCTATTTCGGCGTGAAACAAGGACAAACAAACAAATAAACAAACACACTTTCACATTTATAATATTTGTATGGATTTCATTATATCAAGTAAAAGTAACTTGATATGGAATCGAAGAGTTTATTCTTTTCCCCAATTAAAACAAAATTTATTATTGTTGATTTCTAAATAAAACTAATTTATAATGAATATAATAACCGTATTTATAATTCCAATATCTACATAACTATGGTAAATAAATTCTACTTAAAAAAAATTTATTACGCTCGAGGCAATAACGAGCATTATTTGTACAGCATTATCTTATGCAATTGATAAAATATCCAATAAAACGTATGTCAGAATCATCATTTACACAAATGTATTCGTAAATAGTAAAATAATAGAAATGTATTCGTAAGTAGTAATATATAAATTTTACTGTTCAATATGTATCTATAATAACTAATAGAATATTAGAAAGTAACGTATAGAGACATAGTCTGTAGTATTAATCTCATATGAAAAATTTTGCATGTTTGTTACTTCTTATCGTAAAACGACTATACTCTATTCACGGAGTGAACCATGCAAAGCGCTGTCTCTGTCTCACATTAGCATACAAACTGATAAGGGCAGAAAACTGTCTAGCTCCGCCCATTAACGTTTACAACTGGTTTGAAATCATAGGGTTCGTTCATGTTGCTAATGCTTTAGTGAGGAATTATTAATAATTTGTAATGAAATAAAATCAACATTAAAGTAAAATTAACTGACTTTATAAATATTTATATAAATTCTTTATTAATTTTCACTTTCTGACGTATCACTGTCATTTCCTACATTGATAATAAATCAGGTAACTACACGAGAGACGTATGAACGGTACGGAATGAATTCAGCCCTTTTTATCGTCCCACTGCTGGGCACAGCCTCCCTTCAGTACGAGGGGAATCAGGCCATAGTCCACCACGCTGGCCAAGTGCGGATTGGCGGACTTCACATGTCTTTCGAAAACTTGCTAAGTTCTCTCAGACATGCAGGTTTCCTCGCGATGTTTTGCTTCACCGTAAGGCAAGTGGTAATCATGTTAGAAATGATTCGCACATGAAAATATCAGAGATGCGAGACCCGGGATTTGAACCCGCTTCATTCGTTTTCCCAAGTGAGCGCGCTACCACTGGGCTACCACTGCCTTCTAGCTGCTAAGCGTCTTATCTGCAACTAATCTTGCGGAAGCACAAAATCTCAGTCTTGGTTCATTCGGCGAATATAGTGTAGACGGATTTCGATGAAATTTAGTGCACAGATAGATAGTACAATAACGTATATAACTCACGCGGGCTCGATGATAGTGTATAGGGCGTGTATCCTCGCGTGGAGTATCGGCCACGCCTGCAGCACTGTGGCCGGGCACTGCGATGGCACGCGATTACGCTCGAGCAGACCGAATAGCACAACCTGGAAAAATTGTAGACATATAATATCTATGTATAATAACTTTTATAAACACATCATCATCTCCCTGCCCATTTCTTAATCAGTTGGGGTCGGCACAGTATATTTTCCGTATTGCTGATCTCCTTTACATTCAATTACAGAAAGTTGTTATTATTAATACATGCCGCATTTTTAGTAAAAATTTTATCTATGCAATCTATACTAATATTATAAAGAGGAAAGATTTCATTTTTTTTTTGTTTGTCTGTTCATTTGTACCGAATAAGCTCCGAAACTACTAAACCGATTTAGATGAAACTTGCTAATAAGATAGTTTGAGATCCTGGGAAGGACATGGTATAGTTTTTATTCTGGAAATTATCCCTTAAGGGGGGTGAGAATGGAGATGAAAGTTGGTATGGGGAAGCAACCTAGGAACGAACCCGAGCAAAGCGCGGGTGAGCCGCTAGTAGTTTATACTTTTATTATTTAGCTTATATATGTACATATGGAATTATATCAATAGAACCTCTCACCTCCCAGGGATCTGCGCCGTTGGTAGAGCTTCCACTCCAGCTATTCTTTGAAGATGCTTCGTCATGCTGAAGACCTGTACATAATTTTATTAAAATATGAAAATTAATCTATAAAAATAAATGCTGTTCATTGGTAAGCGTATCACTTAAAAAAGTTTGGCTATTTTATTTTATTTTTACTTTTTTAATAGACCGGCTAAGGTTTTTTAAGGGGAGAAAAAAATAGATATATTGCATGATAAACTGAAAGGGATTTTTTCTATAGGATTAGTGTAAGTACTCAAAGATCACATTCAAAATTTGGATAGAACGACGTTTTTTAGTTTCTTTTTATATATAATATAGATTTTATTTTATACAGGACGTATCCATTCTGCCAGGCTGGCCAGCTACAGGAACTACTTCTTAGCCAATACATTATATAACATTTTCTGTGTATGTACATCTAAAATATATACTTTACTGCAAAATCAATCAATATCACCTGCAATCCATACAGTTTACAGTCACCCGGACTAGTCACTGTAGTAGCAGTTATTTATAATACATGTACGGTATGTTTTATTAAAATGAATATAGTATGTTATCTTTAAGAGATAGACATATGCCATCGCGGATTTTTCTGTAGACCTATATAAGATGTACAATTCCACTATACATTATTTTGTTGTATCTCAAACTGTTTAGGGAGCGTTTCGTTGAAAGCTCCCAGGCAGCTTATTTTTTCCGACACCTCCAACAAATATTGTTATATTTTAGTCAATGTACACAAAAACTTAACAAATTATATACTAAAACCTTCCTCGAGAACCACACTATCCATGGGTGAAAACAGTATGAAAATCGGTGCAGTCGTTTTTGAGTTTATCGCGAACAGACAGACAGACACACGCGGTGTACGACTATGTTTTATAATATGTAGTGATATAATTTTATTCACAAACCAATCAATCTTACCTGCAGTCCATACAGGGTGTACTCGTTCAGCCACCCAGACCAAGTCGGGCTGGCCGGCCGCTAGGACAGCTTGTTTCTCAGCGGGCGGCAGTATCGGTAGACATTTCTCAGTGAAGTATGGCACGTGAGTGTCTGCCACGTCGAACAGTGCGGGCTCATCGCGGGTCAACTGCAGCCTTTCCAGCAGGTACTTTGTTTCCCTGTTGTTTGGTAATATTGATTTTTTTATTATTATGATAGAAGATTGACTATAATCTATGTTATATTACAAAATATATTTATATTTTTTTATTTTTCTGTATATAATTTAAATAAAAATTAAAAGACGTGAGGAATCTTTAACTGTAATTAATATCAATGAAATTAAAAAGAAAATTTATTTGTTTACTTCTATTCGATCAACATACTGTCAGAAAAAAATCTAGTCTACTATCTATGAAGTAAAATCCTATATAATACAAACAAAGGCGTAGTAACTCCTTCTTCAGAATTATTCACGACTTGAACTGAGTATAACACGAGCGAGATATAATATAATCATGAAATAAAATTAAAAAGATCGTAAGCGATTAGTCGCATAATATGTGTTGCGCTGACGACCTAAAATCTCTCTGCAAGATGGCCGCCACACTATACAAAAATCCGGTCAAGTGCGAGTCGGACTCGCAAACGAAGGGTTCCGTACCATCATACAAGATGTACCACTATGTACTAATCGTTTTTTTATCTCCAGCCTTTTTAAAATTCGCCGTTTTGTTATTTTATTGTTTGTTGTTATAGCGGCAATAGAAATACACACTCTGTGAAAATTTCTACTCTCTACCTATTACGGTTCATAGATACATTCCGTTGACAGACAAACGGACGGACAGCGGAGGCTTAGTAATAGGGTCCTGTTGGCATCCTTCCGATAAGGAACCCTAAAAGCAACATTAACTCACCTAAGTATATGTACTGCCAGACGTCTCGGGTAGGCCTTGCACTGACACAACATGACCAGACCTAAAGCCTCAGTCCCTCGTATCACGGAGGCGAGGGGTTCAGGTCTGGGTGGTGCAGAAGTACTGGGCTCACCGTTCTTCCAACTTGTCACTAATTGTAAGAGCATACGCAGACCGTTTTCTACTAATTGGGGAGATGTATCCTAGGAATAAAATAGGTATATTAATATACTAGCGTTATTTTGTATGATTAGCCTATTAAAATAAAAGTATATGCATTCACCTATTTGCAAAGACTAACATCCATTCCACTTGATATACAAGAAGGACTTGTGATAAAGACGAGATTACATGAGAGTATTGAGTCAACTTATTAAATGAAAAATCTTCCATTTCGGTATACCTGTTTTACCTTATATGCCTGGTCTAGTATTGATTAACATATGTACTAATAAGTAAGCTCTATAATTACATGGCATCATCATATGTATCATCATTACAAATTGCAACGGTTTACAAATTGCAACTTAAATTAGATAAAAATGAAAAGAGAACTAACTCTAACAATTGCCGAAAATATTGTATTTATGAATTAACCAAGCAGAATTTCACCTGAACTTCCTTAGCTAAGAACTGGGTAAATCCAGCCAGAACATCTTGTCTCCACTCAGGGAAGTCCACTATCAGGGTCTGGAGGCTTTGGAAGGAGAGACCTCGTAGTTCTTCGTCCATGTGCACTGTGAGTCGACACAGGAGATCCACTAGCTCGTTTGGACTCATGCCTTCTGGGATTAGCCTGTGGAATTATTTAAATAATGTTTGTATTTAGCCCTTTTTAGTGTCCCACTGCTTCCCTTCAATACGAGGGGGTCAGGTCATAGTCCACCACGCTGGCCAAGTGCGGGTTGGCGGACTGAGCATGTATTTTAAAAATTGCTAGGTTCTCTCAGACATGCAGATGTTTTCCAACACCGTTAAGACAAGTAGTAATCATGTTGGAAATGATTTGCACATGAAAATAACAGAGATGCGAGACCCGGAATTTGTACCCGCTTCACCCGGTTCGGCTACCACTGCCATTATTTATATTTAAATAATATATAAAGATATATTTACATGTATATAAAATAATTATATGTATATTATTGCATTTGCATTCTATTAGCATTGTTGATTATAACAATAAGAGAAACTAATCGAATAATAATTCCAAATAGAATTAATATATAATTGTTATTTATTTATCAATCAAAACTGTAATCATATAAACAATATTTTAACACTAACCTAGGTATAGCGGCAACGCAAGTTCTAAACAAATCGATTCTGGGCTTCCTTTCCCCAGTATTAATTTCTTGTTCTTTCGTCACATTCTGTGTGTTTGTCAACATCAATGGCCTCCCATAATGGGCGTCTAGAGCCCTCAAAATCTCAACCAAAACCCGTCTCACATATGGGAAATACGCACTCATACCGATAGAACGAGCGGTTTCGTCTGTTAACATCTTATTTAAGAATGTCTTCTTCACTCGTAGGGTATTCCCCGAAGGCAAAGTGCCCGACGTACGGGGCATAGGGGGTTCCCCCTCTTTTTGTTGCAGACTATCGGCCACTACCAAGAACGCTCTGAGACCAATCGACATTCGTTCTGGTGTCAATATTATCTTTATAGGTCGTCCAACCATAAGTAAATCGAAAACTATTTCCCGCATAGCAAAATCTAGTCTTTCTTGGGCAATGAATTGTATTATCTTGACGAAAATGTTTAGAGGTGTGTCTCGTGGGACTACGCCTTTAGAGCCTTTTGGGAATAGTGAGTTCACAATGCTCTGTAGACGAGATTGTGTTGCAGAATTGCTTTCACATTTGATTCTTATCATGTACACCCAAAGGAGGCGGTACAGTGACTCTGCAAACAAATATTTTATTGTAAATATTATTGAAACACTCCTCTTTTAAAAAAAACCTAACAATTTATTCACAAGTTAATACAATAAACACTCACCCAGTGCCACTCTACACATTTTCGGGTCACGATTCTTCAAATGCGACAAGCACATAGCCAAGAAACAATGTAAGTTAGCCAAAAAGAACTGTTTCTGAGACACACAGAGCAGACACGTGACCAGAGGGAACAATGCCAGCCGATGTTTAGATTTAGTACTCGTGTCTAATGTGTGGCTGTACAGCATTTCTACAAAATTCTTCAGGCATGGCACGTTTACTTCATTTTTGACCGTCTGAAAGAAAAAAGCAACATATTGTTAATGTCCCAACATATTTATTTATTTATATGCCACTTAAATTATCTGTTTGTAACAAGATTGGGGTATGCATCTGTATGATATATTAAAGGTTTTCTCCAAAGAAAATTCAAATAATAGTGCTAGTTAAACTAATCTGCAATCTTTAAAATGAAGGTACCATGATGAATTTATGTAATTGAAGATATGCTACCATTAAGCTTTTCACAATGTTGTACAGTAAAAAATAACTTTTAGAATGAAATCGCCACATAAAAACTATTGATTTACACTATTGGCTCGGGTGCATCTTCTAATCGCCTAACAGTACACTACGTTACATCATGTCATAGTCTGAATATGTTTGATTTAAATCCGTCCAGCGTTTCAACGTAAGAGAGAAACAACCATGCACACACATACAAACGTTCATATTTGAAACTCACACATACATATCAAAGATAAATTGGATACAAACAAAAATAAACCTATAGAAATCTTATAATATTAAATGATCAATTCTTGTATATAATGTACGTATAAAACTTCATGTATCTCAGAAATTGCTCTAACGATTCAGATGAAGTTTTGTATTTAGATAATGCAAATTTTCAAGTTTAACTAAAGTATATTTAAAAAAAAAACGGAATTTTTACTAGGTACTTATATATGAAGACTCACAGCTGCCACAGGTACAAGTATTTCAACGAACAAGCCCGCTAACGCGTGTCTTATATCTTTATCCTTCACTTCCAGGAAATATTGGGCACATTCTTGCAAGAACTGGAAGGACGCTTCAAACTCCTCTATCGGAACCATTTTGACGCGAAAGAACTTCATACCCATCAATAGAGATATTATGCTTTGGGTCGTATGCGGAGAAGGCTCGCGGCTCTTTAAATCCTGTATAGAAAAAAATATACGTAAGATTTATTATATTTATTACTAAATATATATATATATATATATATATATATATATATATATATATATATATATATATATATATAAGAATAATACTTTGTTTTCAACTAAAAATTTATATACAACATCACTTTAGAAGTGATTATTCCACACTAGGTATGGATTTTTCTTATATGGACATTAAAGGACACTTAAACTTAAATTCTTAAAATATCTCGAAAATTTGTTGATAATCAATAGTATTAATAATAATTTATTAATCAAAAACGTACACAGAAATTAAATAATAAGTAAAAACTTATTTTAGGCTGTTGTCAACACAAAAGATATAGTGGCCTTTGTTGGTAAATTACTCGTACATACACAAAAAAATACAATCATCGTATTGTTTGTTCATTCTTTGCTTAAGACATTTTAACTAAACTATAATATAGAGTCTATAAAGTTATACGAGTAGATAAGTTCTATATTAACTTACTTTCAATTCCAACGTGAATCGTTTCCGCACAGACGCAAAGCGAGATTGAGCGAGAACACCGATAACCTCAGCATACAAATCAGCTATAATGTGTACATTTGCTGCATTCGGATTTGATTGCAAACTGTAAAAGGCAACATATATCATATAAGTAATATCAAAAGATGTTATTTTGTGTCTTATATTTGTAATAAGGTTCATATTTTATAATCGATTTTTATCCATAAACAGACAAAAGAACTAACAACATAATTTGCCATCAGTATATCTTCTAATAGCTTTTTTTGACCAAACATGTACATGTATAACTAATATATATCTTAGTTAGCATCATAAATATAAAATTGCTATCCAATTAATGCAAATAAAACAAACCCTTCTTTATAATTGAACCGCTTGAAGGCAACATTCTCAATATATTGCACTAGATCCTCATGGCCAGGGTGGAATGGCAATTGCCGGAGTACTTCTATGAGGGCCAAGCAAAAAAGAAACTCCACGGCCAAATCCCTTCTTTCAGCTTGCAGCTCTTCACTGGACCTCTCAACTTGTTCTGTACCGGCGCCACTGCTGCCCGATACTATGTAGATAATACTGGAATAAATAGATATATCTTAATATATATAATTCTTCTGTACGTGTGTTTGTCACCTTACTCCCCCTAAAGGGCTAGACCGACTGAGATGAAATTTTGTGTGTATATTTCAATGAGCTCCTGGATGGTGTATCAAAGAGTTTATTTTTTAGTAGTATGAACGCGGGCGAAGTCGCGGGTACTGCTAGTAGTTATATGAATACTTTATTGCCCACACAAAAGAAGAATACAGAAGATAAGTTTTACTTATTTTGTTAAGTAATAATTTAATGTAAAATGTCTTTATGATAGATATCTACTACGGCAGTTATTATCTAGTATATTATAGAACGCGGAAAACCCAATAACGATACTTGATCCCAACTGGGACTCGAACCCAAGACCTTCGGAGCTGCTAGTCACTTGACCTACAAGAGACCGCCGTCTTTGTTGTATGTGATTTGTTACTAGAAACAAACAGATTTCATAATCTTTTATATTAAAAATACATAATATACAGACTTTTTATAAATTTGAATTTCATGAACGTTTGAGATATAAAGGCCTAAATGAAGAATTAAGACTTTTATTAGACTGAATTGCGTAGACACGTACCCCTTGAGAACCGTTAAAAAAATTAAAAAAAAAGTACTTACTTAAGTTCGTACATAAGAAGTTATACTTCTTTGTTGTTTTATACTGTTTTATAAAAAAGAATTCTTTTCCTTTTTTAATTTTTATTTTTTTCACAATGTGAGGATACTGTAGTCTAAATCTGTCGCGTCGTTAAAAATTCAGTCTCATTATTTTTTTCTTTAAAAATTATTCATTTAATATACAGATAATAGTTCGAATAGAAAAAAAAATGTAAAATTTAATTGATAAAATAGACCCTCAGAGAAGTAAGTAATTCCCTCCCCATAAATGTTTTATTGTGTTTCATTCTTTACTATTTCTAGAAAAATAAGGCAATGTTTTACAAAGTATCAAACGAATAAATAAAAAATCAATAGTTCTAGCCAATTTAAGCGTTTTATTTACATAACAAACTTCAATACACTGTCCGTGACAAACTAAATGCATATCATTAACAAAGTCACAGTTTTATAAATAGCACTAAGCGGTCATCACTCACGCTCCCTATACTTATTTATTATTCGATTAAAAAAATCGATCGTAAAGTAATTAATGTTAAACTACGGACTTTTAAAGTCGACATTTAAATACGTAGAAATACTATTTTAAAACGATTGCATTGAAACAAAAACTAAAATATATAGATTGAGTGAATCAATAGTGCATTTATATACTTTTTTTTAAAAGATACTGAAGAAGAAAAGTTTTCATCAATCTGATTTATCTGTCAGGACAAATAATGTGTACCTTTAAATTATATACATTGCTAAATTAAAAGCAATCTAAAACGTTTCGATCTTAACGAGTTCTTAAAAGAAATGCATTTTCAATTCAATCACTGATAAAATATGCAGAGTGTAATCCTATTGGAATAAACTATTAATTATTTGAAATATAAACCTTTTATTCCTCAAATCCTGATGGGGTTTCTTTGCTTGTTCATTCAGTTGGGGAGACTCAGCCATCTGCCTCTCTAGCCAGCCGAAGAGAGCCCTCAGTAGAGAAGGCAAGCAATGTTCTGCCACTGTTCCGAAAGCTGAGAGGATCTGGTCTAGTTGGGGGTCTTCACCTCTTTGCAATGTTTTGTTTAGCGGCTTTTCCTGTCAACATTTATAACAAAAATTTCGTTAACTTTCAAAATAGCCTCAAAAATGTACATACATAAATAAATATACTGGGGCATTAACACACATCACACATTAACACATAGTTCCATGGTTAGCTACGAGGCTTGTGTTATGGATACCAGATAGTTGATACACTACTCAACTTTAAATACATACAGATTGTAAATATAAACACCCATGACTGGGGTACAGACACAAATGAATGCCCCCAGCGGGACTCAAAAGCGCGAACGCTGGCACAGCAAGTACGGTCACTATAAACTGAGCCAAACGTGTCGTCAAAATACATAGGTCTATTATTTCTCAATGATTTTTTGTCGGTACGCCTTATACATTATTTGATTTTATTTATACTTTATCAAAATTAATTATTGAGATGCTCAAGAGATTGATTTTGAAGGTTATTCTCCTTGATAATGACGACAAATAAATAATGTTTAAAATTTATGTTCTCGTCCAAGAATAGCTTTCTTTTAAAAAAAAATTATGTGGAAGGTCTATTTTATTCTATATCTATTAACACCGTTTTCGATACGAAAAAAAAACTTGCGAGACTACACAAAAAATACTGATCATTTAGTAATAGACACGAATGCCTTAACTATTACGAAAAATATTTCAGCGCAACCACTAACAACGGGCAGGCATCAAACCCGCACTATCAATTGTCATCGAAATGTCGCATAATATATATTTTGTGTTTTCAAACTTAAAAAATAATTTCCACAATGTCATGAAACAAATGATTAAAAACAAAACGCTTTTAGAAACGGACAGGAATGATAGGAAAATTACAATGAAAGAAGTGAATAAATACGTATCGCATAGCGTGTTCTTTATCGCTCCCTACCATTTACCAAACCCGGCGGGACACGATGATAAGTGAGAAATTAAAAGTTAACCTATGAGGACTATCATTACTGAATTCGTATAAAATTGACATCAATATACACATTAAACACATAACTATAAAATAAATAACCAACCACATAAATAAACTAGTAAAATTCCACTACGTTATAAATTATGTTTTAGCATAATATTAAATATGCAATTTTCAAACAAACTTTGTATATAAAACTATTTTTGATAGGGTTAATAATATTCTCTTAGATTTACGCGAATATTCGACATATTAATTTTAACTAAGTTTTTATTAAAATGTCGAACGTTCGGATTTTCACGCGGATTTATTATATACATTTATAAAAAAAACACATTGGTTGTGTCTAGCTTCAAGAGTAAAAAAATAATATTCATTATTGTTTTTGAAACATTATGATCGTTTATCTCTTCCTACATTATCACTTCCAGGTTAATTTCTAAAAAAATAAATTAAATTTCTAAGACATCTATTGTTAACTGTAACGCCGGCGTGTCCGCGGTCGTGGAGGGATTAATTAAATATCTGAGCTTAATACAATTATAATTAATAAAAAAATAATACTACTTAATTGAAGAAAATCAAAATATATATTTAAAGGGACGGAATCAACTAATAAAAAGTTGCTTTTTAAATAACAGAATACCGAGACCATTGGTGGCGGATTTTTAGTGATAATATCGCGAAATTACTTAACACAAAAAATAAACATAAAATTGAGCACCCACACCTACTTTACCACTGCTCAGAAGTAAGTAATCGGTTTAATAGACATTAAAAATCTATCACATACCAAAGGTTCAGCCATCACAGCTTCCATTTTTCTCTCAGCCTGGACTGTAAACTCCGTGAAGAGGAGTCTCATCACATACTCGCCTGGACGAAGGTCTGTATCGGAGGTGGCCACCATACCCCCCTTATTAGGAACCCATGGCAACATCGATCCTGGGAACACCACCTTCTTAGTTATATTCAAATAAAACATATTCAATATTTCATTGTAACAAACATGTGTCTAACGTACAACTAATATGAGTACAGTAAATAAGCTCGTATTGACAGAAATTGTTGCATTTCTTTCCTGTTTCCTCTTCGTAACTGTTTGTAACATTAATATAATAATGTATTATCAGTTAATTAGCATAAATAGTATCAAATTGACTAATTGAAAAAAAAAAATTGTTTTAATTTTTTTTGTAAAATACCTTATAACTAATTATACTCGTATATATAAAAAAATGTATAGAAATCTATTCAGTCGTTATCTGATGAAGGGCAATCACAGACTAAAACTAGAAACTGTTAATCTAGTTTCCGTTACATCCAAAACATAATAATTATTATTAATATCAAAAATAATAGTTACAGTGATAGTAACTACTGCAGTTATAGTGGAAGTGATAGCAAAGTAGTATACAGTACAGTATACAGTAGACGATCTCCCTACGATTTAACGGAAACGCTGTCAAATGCAAAGGTTGTCAAAAATACGAATTTCCATGGCACTGTAGTACCGTAACGTGGTAAATTACTCTTAAATCTGTCAACCATAAAGCCGTTTCCCGACTGTCAGACAAAATAACGTATGTCATTCGGGTGCGCCTTCTCGCATATCCCTCACACGCCCTGACTGTATGGTTTAGTTATACTATTGTGATAATAACACTGATAGTACCTCGTGTAGACACCAGTGAAGCTAGGGCTGTGCCAACTGCGCGTACGTCCGGGGCCGTGCCTAGCATTCTGTCGGTCTGCTGGTCCGCTGTGACGTCACTGTGGCTTAGGTCCGCGGCATCATGACGAGGTGGCTCTGATAGCACACTGCCATCTGATTCCGCCTCACTTGATACCATCGACGATGGGGCTTCCTCTGTGCCTGATGCTATGGGGAATTAATGATTTATTATGTTGTTTACTACCCTTATTGACTAAAAGATAAGTTTTTTTTTTTAAAATATCAAATTAAAAAAAAACGTTCTCTTTTTGGTTTTTTTGCTCATAACTTTCATAATAATGGTCGAAGTTCTTTTTTTTTCATATTCAACGGTGCAACTTCATGGATATCTTTAGTCGTGATCATGAGGAATGAATAATTAGATAAATAAATAAACACCCGACTTTATTATACTCTCTGTGTTAGGATACTTTCAGTAGTATATACCACCTACACCCCCAAAATATATTTAAGAGTAATATAAATATTTGTTTTTAGTGTTAATTTTAAAGAACTATAAGTTTAGTGTGGATCTGTTTTAAATCACCTATAATTAGAATTACAGATTATCAGTTTTCAAGTGTGGTCAGGCCATGTGGCAAAATATTTGTTTTTCTGTTAAGAAATGTTCATTCAAAATGGGTAAGTTGGAGTTGCTACAAACTAGTCCATTGGTGAGTTAACATAACCATTCATATTCTCTTCACATTGGACTAGGGAGAGTGCCCCCCCCGGGGGAGAAGCCAACTCCTACCGGGCGCGTCCCCAGGTGGCGGATAGGGGAATGCCACCCGCTTAGGGCGGCGGGTGGTACCGCAGAAATCCGGCGCGGACCAAATGGCTTGGGTGGGGTCGCTCGTCTAGGACTCGAGCCGAAGACGTTGCGGCCACCGGTGGTGGGACCGCTTGGTCCCACAACCGGATGATGGGTGCCGGTTGCGGGACTGTGGTCGCAGGCCCGCATCCGGCGAAGGAGTAGGCCGCGGCGGGAGAGGAGTGCCGGTATTTCGGTGCGCCGTTCTCCCTACCTTCCGCGGCCTAGACGGGGCCGCCACCGTTTGATGGCGGACGCGGTGGGGCTGCAGGGGAAGAGGAGTGTCGGTGTTTCGTTGCCGCTCTCCCTGTCCTCTGCAGCCGATTGGAGGTGGCCCACTTCGGTGGGCGGTGGTTAGGTTTAATGGGGCTGCTCCGGGTACCTCTCTGGCGTAGCAGAGTTGACTGTGGAGCAGCCCCATTGGTTTGGTGGTCTGCCTAGCGCTTCGGCAGACCTGCCGCCGGGGCGCCGTAGTAGTTATGCGCAAGCGATCCTGCGGCGTCCCATTAAGGCGGAGGGGAGGGGAATGTCGGGTTTTAGTGGGTAGTACCGGCTCTTCTAGCCGGTGAGCCCCACATCACCACCTGGGGGATCAGGTGGTATGCGTAAATGCATTTCCCGACATAAAAAAAAAAAAAAAGGGAGAGTGCCCCCCCCCCCCTCAACGTGCGTTCACCTTGTCGTGGTGGGGGGGTAATGCCCGGCAATTCAACCGGGCGCGAAGCCAAGAAACGCACAGGAAGGCGGCCTACTTCGGTGGGCGGTGGGAGGTGGCCCTTTTCGGTGGGCGGTGTACCATGTGGGTTGCTCCTGGTACTTCTCTGATAGCAGAGTGGACCTTGGAGCAACCCCATGGTTGTGGTGGTCTACTTCGGCAGACCTGCCGTCGGGGCGTCGTAATTGAATGCGTAAGCGATCCTGCGACGCCCCATTAAGATGGGGGAAGGTTTTGTTGGGTTTTAGTGGGTAGTACTGGCTTTATTACGCCGGTGAGTCCCACACCTCGTGCGTAAATGCATTTCCCAACGTTAAAAAAAAAGGGAGAGTTTACCACTTGTGCCCCCACGTTGATGACTACTCCCAGTGAGCTTGTCACTGTGACCGAAGAACAATATTGTTTTTCATTTTATTACTATTTACCAGCGACTGACCCTCACTTCGCTCAGGTTCATCCCTAGTTTGCTTCTCAATACAAACTTTATCCCCATTTCCACGCCCTTAAGGGATGATTTCCGGGATAAAAAGTATCCTAGGTCCTTTCCAGGGTCTCCAACTATTTCTTACCAAATTTCATGTAAATCGGTTCAGTAGATCCAGAGATTACCCGCTATAACCTCACAAACTCACAAATTTTACCTCTTAATAATATCAGTATAGATTGTCACTGACTTTTTATACAGTTCATTGTACTGTTTCTGATCTTTGAGCAGTCATAATTTTTTAGCAAGCATTGTATGTGCCAATAATGAAATGTGATAAATAAAAAAAATATAACTAGTTGATTAATATTTTCTTAAAACAGTAAAGCAGTCTTAGCAAGCAGTGATATACAAACCTGATGCATCTTCAGGGTGGCCGTCTGATGGGATGGTACTCAGAGAGTCTGACTCCTCCGAAGTCATCATATTGTATATAAAAATTAATTATCTGCTATAATGGAGCTACACTTGAATTGTGATTATGTCACTAAAATAGAAAAAAATACACTTCACAGAACTAAAAAAGATGAAATTGCATTGATGATAATATATGAGATAATAAATAACATAAATTAAGCTAGACAGTTTCTGGTGATCAATGAATAGAGCTGGCAAATACAACTCAATGTGTTATGAGTAACATTGAAAAGTAATTATAGGTAAGAGCATATTCTTGTACATGGAGTGCTGATATTATTACCAAGGGAAATAAAATAACCTACGACATTGCTATTACCATCTTTTAATACTAGTTTTTAAAGCTATTATAGTATACTTATTTTGAGTTATAGCAATGTCTAAAGCATACATAAAAAGTATGAGCTGGATAAAATATGCGAGAGAAAATAAAAAATATACCTTTAATAACATCATTAGACAAGATTCCAATCTGCAACATTGTGCCTAAAAGCAAAAATATTTTTTATGCTAGAATATATTTATATTTTTACACAATTATTAATTAAATAGCAACAAATGATTTTCACGCAATACATAAAACAATCAAATGTTAAGTTGTAAATGAAAGTTCTCAAGAAGTGTTCTAAATCAAGAGCATTCGCTTTTGCTTTTAATATATAATAAAAATGCAAAATGTGTTATAAAGTAAATTTTAAGCTAAAAACTGCAAATAATACCAACTGTAAGAACTTTGATGTAATTAGGTAAAAGAATATTTCACTTGTAGTCATAATGTCAAAAAATCAAGAGAACTGTTAAATGTTTATTTGCCATGAACTATATAGGTCTAGGAACAATCATTCAATTAGAATCTTAATTGAATGATTGAGCTATATGCTGATAGACCTAGTCGCATGCGGTAACTTCCAATATGTAAGTAATCCATCTATGATATATTACTTCATAATTTGTAAATAAACTTCAATATGAAATATGGCAGAAGTATTACATTAAAATAAAAGCATAATTATTCAGACACAAAGGACAAGTAATTATCTGAAAAGCTAGCAATGAAAATAACTAAAATAAGAATGTTTATTGTAATATGAAATCGCTTTGCAAATGATCATGAAAAACATTTAAAAACCATAATTTTTATAAATTTCATATTAAAATAATTGCTTTAAACAATATATTCAAACTGTTATCTCTAACACCGGTGAATTATTGGTGAGTCATTATACTCTTGCTTTGTCAAACAAGCTAGTCAATAAATACTTAGTTGTTCATGTACAAACTGAGTAGTATGATTCATTCTCACAGTTTAGTGCAAGATAATGCTTTTAATGTAATGTTTTTTTTGTAGTAGTAGTAGTAGATACTACTGTATCTGTTAATAAAGAAATAAATTTACTGTCTGCAGATTTTAAACTTTAATTATATATTAATACATAAGAGGAAAGTTCAATGAACTCTTTTAATTTTATTTAAATTACATAAACTACTAAATTTGACAGAAAATATTGCTTAATAAATGTAGGATATAAAAACTGCAATAAAATTTGTTTATTTATAAACAAATTTATCAAAACTAATAATACTATTATTGTTAACGAGCTCTGCTTGATTTAACATAAAATTAATGTATTCTTGAGGTATTCAATATTTTTTGTTACATTAAATGAATTTTATCAATAAATAGACTTTTTTATCTATGAAAAACATCCAATAGTAAGATTAAATGATAATAGGAAAACCAATTCAAAAAATTAGCGTCGAATACAAATATATGCGCTAAAAAATAAATTAGATAAACAAGCTGAAATAGATACGTTAAAGATACCTAGTTATTTATTGTCTCAGCATTTGTCCAACAATCACTTGAAATAATAACATCCTGATGAAACTAGCAATATAATCAACTAGAATAAACTAGTTTTGGTCAAATTTTCCACAATCACGCCGTCATTCGCAAATTAATAGATTTAGTAAGGTTTTGATATAGATTTTAGCATTTATTTGACACATAGGTTTACACGGCCAAATTACGTTTACCCGTTACATAGCGAACTTTTTAAGGTCACTAGACTATGGAATTAAATCGATTAATATTGTCTATGACATTGTGCCATAACGTTCCATTTCAGGAAGTTATATAATTATAAAAAAGTCCATCATTATGTTCTATTCCAAAATTATTTAAAATGTTTTAATGGAGACTATTGAATTTTAAGTTTTCAATTGTGATTTTAAAACTGTGTGTATCCCTCGATTTTTTTGAAAATTTTCTATTTTAAACTTCTATCCATCATATAACTTTTAAGCCTGGTTATGGACTTTCCATAATTACTATTTTTTTACGATTTTTAACAATTAATTTTTTTTATTTTATTTTTAAAATTCGAAATAAATTGATTTGACGTGGAATGCCTTATAGTATTGACTAGTGCATTTGCTACTAAATTATAATCAGGCTACATTATAATTCTAGTATTCTTTATTATTTAAATAGACCAAGACAAAACAGTACCTTATATATTTGTTTTTGTTGTCAAATTTTAATCGCTGGACGAACAGCTTTATTTCTAAAACCATAATATACCCTTTTATATTTTTTTAAATTACATTACGAAAATATTAATTTATTTCGAAACCACGTTTCTTATTTACAATAAAAATAATGATGCGATGAACTACTCTAAATTATGATTTTAATTTTGATTGAGATGTTGACTTTTCATCGAGAGGAACTCACACATTAAGGGGAGGAACTTGTAGGTACAGTTGCGCACGCTTGTTATGGCGTAGTATTATATTCTTTTCTGTCGTAGTACCATCATAATGTCATAGATGGCGTATACTTTGTTACTTGTGCAGATAAAAGGATTAAAAATGGAGTCACTTCCCGTTTACAAACTATTGCCATCTTTAATCACATCCGCTAGCAAAGATCGTAAATAATAACAGTGGTTATTGTAGTTTTGCTCCACGACTTTCAGGACATAGTAGCAGTAGTATGAGAGAAAGCCTACGCCCAACAGTGGGGCATCAATAGGGCAGGGAAGTCAAGAGTGGTGTAGCTAACATTTATAGGCAATATAATTTGTACATTAAATATTTTTTGGAAAATCTTATTGAAATGAACATTATTTTCGATACAGAGGCCGAATCAATAGTTTTAAATAAAACTATCTTTTCAGATTATTCCGCGAAATAATCCGAAAAGATCGTTTTATTTAAAAATGTCAAACATTCGCGTAAATCTAAAAAAGAATCTATAGTTTTTAGAATTTTTGTCGGTCTGTCTGTCTGTTACCGCATCACAGAAAAACCACCGAAGGGATTTTGATGAAATTTGGTATGGTGATAGCTGGTATACTTTTTACCGCGGGAAAACATCTCATTTTTGAGAAAAAACACAAAAACTGTAATGTAAGGGTATACTAATATGTAAAACGTAAGAATTTGGTTGTCATCTGAACGCGGGCGGAGCCGCAGGCAAGTAAAGAGGCAGAGTTTGCTTGTTTGTTAGTTAGTTATGTATAAAGAGGTAATACTAATATTATAAAGAGGCAGCCCCGGATCTTCAATTTTTTCGAGGCGGGGCAAAAACCGAAATATGCCGCCCCCGCCCGCCTATATTTTTACCTTTATCATCATCGTCATTTCAGCCATCAGACTTCTACTAATGGACATAGGCCTCTCGAAAAGAATACCATAAGAACCTATCTAGCGTTGTTCTTTCTGTGTTAAGCCTATTTATCTATCCTACTGATATTATAAAGAGGCAGTGTTTGCTTGTTTGTTAGTTAGTTTGAACGCGCTAATCTCAGGAACTACTAATCTGATTTGAAAAATTCTTTTTGCATTAGATAGCCCGTTCATTGATATATATAATCATGCTACTACCCAAGGAAGCGGAGCAGTAATCATAAATGTCAACGAACCGGGCAGACTTTCATATATTTTTTGTTTAGGGAAGGGAAAGAAGAATATGTTTTTTTTGTATTTTTAACGTGGGTGAAGCCGCGGGTTTTGGTAGTTTACAAGAGTACGTAGGTACGTACATGGACGTGTAGGACATATTTATTATTTAGGGTAGCACAGAATAGGGTCTGAAATAAAACGTAAGATTAAAAATAAAAATCAATTTAGTATACTATTGTATTGCAAATTGAAATTATAATCCAACTCTTCGAGGATTTTGTTCTGCAAACAAATCTATGGTATACACAACTTATTAAATTTAGTAATATTTAGCCATCGGAAGGTTTCTAGGGAGGACTCGATAAAACCAGTTATTTTATATTCCTGTGGGAAACAAAGATTTTCTTGAAGTAAAAGGTATCCTAAATGATGACTCGAGTATAAAGTTATCACTTAACTAAATATCGTTAAAATCGGATCATTACTTTTCGCGAAAAACGCGCACACAAAAACAGACCAATAGACATACAGGCAATTAGAAAAACAGACAAAATTTTTAATAACTATAGGTATTTTGGGGTCTATATTGTGTACATAATACGTTACAATCAAACAAAAACAAATCTATCCCACGGGAACCGTACATTTTTCCGGGATAAAAAGTAACCTATTTGTTATTCTGATATATGAACTTATATTAGTGTAAAGTTTCATTAAAATCCAATCATTAGTTTTTGTGTACTAAGCTGTATAAGTTACTATAGTTTCTACCTAGCCCACGGGAACTCTTTAATTTTCCGGAATAAAAACACGTATCTTAAACGTTTACCTGGGACATAAGGTACCACCACGCAAAATTTAATTTAAATCGGTCCAACAGTTTTGGAGATTAGCCCGTACAAAAAGACAAACAGACATACAGGCAAACTATAATAAAACTATAGAGTTCAAATGTTTGTACATAGAAAAAAATGCTAAAAACCGATTCAGGGCGTAAGAAGAGAAATAGACCAAATCCAGATTTTTCAATTTTTTTGTTTTTCTGTCTGTCTGTTTTACGGGCTAATCTCCGAATCTATTGGACTGATTTAAATAAAATTTAGCATGGTGGTACCTTATATCCCCGGTCAACATCTTAGATACTTTTCATCCCGGTAAATTAAATAGTTCCCGTGGGATAATTAAAAAAATATAGTAACTTTTACAGCTTAGTACACAAAAACTACTAATTGGATTTTAATGAAACTTTACAATAGAACTTGAACTACACTATCGGCCGAAATGGAAAATTTTATAGTTATTTTTATATTTGAGTTCAGAAGAATAAAAACAAAAAATGATTTGTTTTGATTGGCCCCTATTTTTTTGTAAAGAAATAAGATGTTAATTAAAATATCTCGAAAAGTATTGAGAAGTTATCAAGACACATTATTTAGTATGCGTTGGGAAAACAATATTGAACAAACTGAAGCAAACCGGAAGTTTCTATCACTAATAGATGCTGAGAAAAAAATTATTTATTTAAGCCAGAATTGGTCCCAAGCAATAATTATAGCTGCAAAGTGTTTCGTGATTGAATGATATTAAATTTAAAATGAAAGCAGCATTTAAATGAATCAAAATCAAATTTAAAAAAAATCGTGTGAGCTATAGACGATTTGTCAAGAAAATATATTAAGTCGGAATATTTCACACATAGTATTTCATGTATTTCACAGTATGAAATATCGAATGTCTGTTAGGGTAATACTAGGTAAGATGAGAAGGTGAATGCCACCAAGGTCCATCATAGTTGTCCATCACAGACAAAGACCTACTTTGTTTACAATTATTATAGGTACTTTTGTTTATTTATATACATTACATGCTAAAAGCATTTTTTCTAAAAATTAATGTACTTATTTACTATTTACTAAATTTTAATAAATACGAAATTAGGTATTTAGTCTATTCTATTGTACCGTATTTGTATTGTATTGTATATATCAAATTATGTAAAAAATATTATGGTTAAATTAATCACTATTTTAAGTGATGTGTTATCTATACATATAATAAAACTGTAGATGTCAAATGTCTGTACAAATGTACTGTATACAAAAAAGGCTAAAAATTCAGTCACGGGGATGTAAGAAGTGAAATAGAACAATCAAGATTTTTTCAATTTTTTTGTTTCTCTGTCTGTTTGTTTGCTTGTATGTTTATCTGTTTGTCTGTTTGTACGGGCTAATCTCCGAAACTGTTGTACCGATTTAAATGAAATTTTGCATGGTGGTTAGCAGCACCTTAGATCCTCGGTCAACATTTTAGATACTTTTCATCCCGGAAAATTAAAGAGTTCCCGTAGGATAGTTAAAAAACTATAGTAACTTATACAGTTTAGTGCATAACAACTTATGCACCTAATTTAGTAAAATTTGGTAGGTATGCTGATATTGCCTTATATTGCCGGTCAAACAACAGGCTACTTTTTATCCCGGAAAAATGTACGGTTCCCGTGGGATAGGTCTGTTTGTGTTTTAATAGTCCCTACCATAATATTTTATCTTTTGAGTTATTTTGAAGTCAGTATACCTAATCTCTATGCACCTTTTTGGGTAAAACTTAAAAGGAATTTTATTAAATCTTTATATTCTCCACAGACCGTATTCTTACGTACATATCTTTATTATCTATCTATATTTTTTTATGTAAAATATTTTGTTTCTACTTACAATCCAGAAGTAATCAATAATTTATGATAGTTTGCATTAATTATCTCGTTATTATTACAAAATATATTAGTTATATAACTACAATCTATACATAAATAATAAACATATTTTAAAATTTAAACGCGACAAGTTAGTCTTCAAATTTTATAAAGTCACAAAAGTTTCACCAAGATGTACCTAAAACAATAAATAAATAAATATGTTGGAACATTAACACAAAGCACTATCTAGTTCCCAGTTAATCCCGAGGTCTGTATTATGAATACCAGATAGTTGATACACTACACATATATAGCTTTAAATACATACATATTATAAATATAAACAAATATCACTGGAGTACAAATATTCGTGCTCATCACACAAATGAATGCCCCCAGCGGGACTCGAAACCGCGACCGCTGGCACGGCTAGTAGAGTGACTACAAACTGAGCCAAACGAGAAAACAACGGTAATTTAATTTTCTTCATTATCTCCGGAGTCCAACCATCACATTTGTGTGATATCTATAATATAAGTAAGGTTTTAATTGCAGTCATAAAGGTTTTAAACTAAAAAGTTTCATTAAATTCGGTCTCATAAAAGCGAGTCTCGATAACAGAAGGACTAAAGTTCCCCAACGTGATTTAGGGTCAGGATCGCCGTGCCCCCGCGGCCCGCGCTATGGTGTTACAATTTTCGATCCAATACTTAGTGGATTAGTACCTAAATAATAATACTGAATTCTACGCAACTTCAATAAATTGAAAGTACTGATAAGCTGCACAAAAGTTCATATATTCGAGAGATAGAAAGTTTTGCAAAAAATTTAATATGCATGTTGATTAATATTTCTAGACAATATAATATTTATAGATGGGGAGCTCAGACCAATAAAATAGTATCTGAGATGGGGAGTATAATAATATGTGAAAACTACAAACATAGTATCTAATTAAGTATGTTTCCGAAACCCTAAAAATTTCATACCACTCCTAACACAACAATGTACCTATAATGGAATATAATTTTTTTATCAATATATTAATTTTATATCAATTAATATTTTACTTATAAGTTCTTGGTTCAAAATTACATATAAAGTATATTACGTGGGCAATAGCGTTGAATAAGATGGTGATGAAAAGCAAAAGATCCAGTTTGGTAAGAAGCCTGGTGGCGTGCGGATGTGCGTCGGACGATACACTCGGTAAGTAGAAGCCATACTAATTTAGTTCATTGATGTACAGGAAACCGATACGAATAATGGTTTTGAATTCTATAGATCGACGTATTAGCTGGCAGTTTTAAAGTACATCGTTTTATCTATAGTTAAATTATCCCAGACAACGTTTTGTGTTATACAATAAGTATGTGCTTTATTATAATATATCTATAAGATTTATTTTATATAATATCTAATATAAAAATAAATCTTGAGAGAATTAAGGAACCGGTCAAATAATTAACTATGTGACATCGTTATTGATGATTTAATTTCTTTTTAATTATACCTATTTTAAATGTTTCTAACGTAGCAACCACATTTCAAATATTTTATTCTTAATAATTTCACAATACCTACCTGTGATCAAAAAAATAATGTTGCCCAAGGCGTATTTAAACCACGCGTTCTATATTTTACTTGATTTAATTTAAGGGATTATGTAGTGTAAATTCGATTACCAATTAATTCAATCAAATTAAATTTTACTAAATTAATTATAACTTTTTTGTAGTTTAAACAAAAATGCCTAAGAAGAATGGTTTGGAAGCTCCGGCGTCGAGTGGCAAGTCGGACGCTACCGAGACGACACCTCTCGTGTCCAAGGTGAGTTAAGTCGTTATTAGGGTTCCATAATTCTATGTACCTACTGTGTCTCCGCATATTTCCGTTCTTCAAATAGAAATCAAAATGTATATCAAATGAGTTATTATTATAATATGTACTTATATTAATAATAAGGAATAGAAATAAAACTACCGTACCTGCACGTATTTACAATTCTTTTTGTTTTGGTCGTATTTCCATCGTGTTTTGTGCTATAATATTTTTGTAATACCTACATAATACAACAATATTGTTTGTGTCTAACATAATCAGTATTCGGTATACGAGACGCGACTCGCACTTGACTGATTATTTAGCAATATTGGGCATTGCCTTAATGATTATGACCTATTAAATTACGTTAATGTCATAGCTAAAATAGTTTTGTTATTGGTAAGAAAATTATTAGAAGATGGCCAAGAACTTTATAACAAAGTACTTATACACATATATTATATACACCTAAAACACGTTACATAGAATATTTTAAACAAAATAATGTTGATGTATATTCAATATTCATGTAAGTATAAGGAATGAATCTAATCATAGAAACCGGTTTAATAATTCTAAACTACAAGAGAAGCCTTCGTTGGTGCTTTTAACCGTAGTCTCCTTACACAAAATATTTATAAATACCTATGTATATAATATATTTATAAGTGCACATTGTAAATGTTGCGCAATGTATAATGACTACAAAAAATAATCTTATAATACATGTCCTTTATTTCTAGAATATAGATAGGTAGATTACATAATTTAATTCTATACACACAAAAAATATGCCAATATCTAAAGTAGTTTTATTAAAAGCTTTTGTTGAAGTAGAAGATTTTGTGGGCACGTTGATAGTGCTGACTAGTAAAATAATTTTTAGATTCATTTCATTAGTTCATTTCGTATTTCGGATTTCATTTAGTGTTTCTAAAGCTTTTGCCCTACATACAAAGAAACCAAAAAAGTACATACGTGTAAAATATAACTCATTGTCAGTAAAATAAAAAAGATACTTTACATATAAAGTAAACGACACTATAGTGTAAGATAAGCTTGTATATTCTTACCTCTTTTTACTATTTAGATTACCGTCGTAATAATTACTATTAGTCGTTGTCTAGATGACACGAGCACAGCTGTTATTAGCCGTACCATATTCTTGGAAGATATCGATATTATGACTTCAATCTTACTGTCTTACAAATTAACACGTATTTTGTATAACAGTGTCATTTAAATACTTAAAGCTAACCAGCCACAGATATTTAACCGCAACGCGGTTCTCATGTAAACTGTGTAAACGAAAACTACTTTCATTTGAATGCGTTCTTGTTTGCTTCACATAACCATATATGTGGATAATATTATTTTATTTTATATTAATTACGTAGCTGGTTTGATCAAAAAATGAAAACGGTCATTTACCTGGACATAAAAAAATAAAAATATGATAAGAAAACAGGCTTACATTTGAACTAAAACGAGCAGAATTAGCACAAAAGTGTAGGTATAAATAGGTATAAGTTTATAGATTTGATATGGACAGCAATACCTAAGTTAGGCAAATACTTTCTTATATTATCTTATCTTATGCAGCCATTTTTAATGTCCCACTGCTGGGCACGGACCTCCCTCACATTAAACCCTATAGTTCACCACGCTGGAAAAGTACTTACTGATTGGCGAACTTCACATGTCTTTCGATAACTAATTTAAATGCGAAAGTTTGTGAATCCACTCACTCATAAGCTACTTGTGTGTGTTTGTTACTTCTGTAGGATGACACTAAGAAAACTTTGAGATTTTCCTTAAATATATTTCTATTTCAGTAGGTACTTTTGCAACATTAACTTAATTTCTTTTTAATCGCCTGTATGCCTGTCCGTGTGGAAGCTACCACCCGCTCGAAAAGCAGTTCTGCTAACAAGAGAAGGCGAGAAACTCTTTTAAATAATCATACATAATTTATATAAAAAATGTACAGTATTACAAACAATTCACTACAAGGTGATACTGACATCTTTTTTCCAAAGCGCGGAAAAACAAAGGAATATCCGCGTCCTTTTTATTTATTTTAAATTATATTCCTATCAGCTTAGGTCACATAAATAAATTCTTTATACATATATGTATGTATGTATAAAGAACTTTAAAATATTTGGTTAATTTGTAAAGACTAATTATGATTAGTCATTACATATTAACCAAACATATTATTTTTCAATAAAACGTTCATATAGAAAAATGCAACCTTACACTTCTTTAAACTGTAACGCTTCATCGAATTTGAGTGAATATCGAAGGAAACCAGACGAAAGGCAGCTTATATCCTATTACACATGGTCTTCTTTATCACCAAAATTTTTGGGTTATATAATTTTTTTCGAGCATAAACTATTATGAACTGTATATTATTATAATATTTTGTGAAATCACAGCCTTGGTCAGCATGAAATGCTTTTAAAAGGCACGTTTTAACGTCTTAATCTATTCAAATCATGCCTCAACCGATATTATACAGTGGTTTCTGAAATAAGCTTATATAGACCAGGACGAACAAACTTGAAACAAACATATACTTTGTACTTCGTAGCTCTAACAATGTTCATTAAATAAAGTTTCATTTTGTATTTACAGACATATTACTTTCTTATCATTTGTTTCTGCACCGTATAGTTACAATAGTTAAATGCAAATAAACAGTTGAAGTTTCTTGTACTAACTCACTGAATACGCAATTACTGACAGTTAAACAAATAGTTGATATCTAACAACTGAAAATGATAACTTTATTTGAATGCACTATTAAATGATTAAATTATCTACATTCACCTCATTACAATTCATTTACAAAGTTATACATTTGGAAATACTTAATACTTTTTACTATTTTTACAGTTTCTAAAATGGTTATATTATAACAATATAATTAGTAAGCAAATATATAGTTTTATCATTTATCAGTCTTATCAATTTTATTACTGGCCATTGAAGAATTTCTCTATCCAACTCTAATCTCTATCATTAGATTGATAGGCTTCACCGAGACTTCGTTAGGTACACAGTTACAAGTGATCCCAAGCATACCTATTTATATAGCTAGTGTAATAAACAATAAAAAAAATCATGCATATTCCCGATTGAGGGCGGACTTGACGCGTTTTTCGCAGACATGCAAGTTTCCTCACGATGTTTTCCTTCACCGGAACAAAACTGGTAATAATGTTGAAAATGATTCGCCCATGATAACAGGTGTGAGATCCGGGGTTTGAACAAACTTCACTCGGTTTCTCAAGCGAGCGCGTTACCATTAGGCTACTACTTACATAGAAATTAATGAAAAATATTCATAAAGAGTTTATAATAGAAGAATTAAAACTTGAAAAGTTACGATTAATATTATCGTTCGATTTATTATGTACTAGGCTACTAAGCTAGGCTGCTCGTCCGAGCCCAACTTTGAACTTTTAAAAGCTGTGATTGTAGATTGAAATGGTACTCACTTTTATTGATTGAAAAAATTATTTTCCTGAAAAAGAAATGGTATAGGAACATAAAAAAAAGAAATTAAAAAACTCAGTTGGGTTTTTTATTGTTATAATATACATCATTTTTTTTTTTATTTACAGCTTTTTAGTTTTTGCCCATTAGACGTTTAGCAGATTTTTAACCCTAAATTACTTTTAAACATATAAATTGTATATATTTTTGTGATCACCTCAAAAGAAGAGACCTAACGCGTCGGCCGATTATAATGATTCATACGTCATTAGATTCGTCTTTTTAACGCGAGTGTCATAGGCTATACAAAAATACTAAAGACAGACTCAACCAAAAAAGTACAGGATGTGGCTCGCAGTGCGATGTGTATGTACTCAATATGCTCTAAGTCCTAAACTATTGGTGATCACATTATATTTTTTTTTTGAAGAATTAAGATATTCAAAGCTTTAATTCAAATAGGTAAAATTTAAAATAGCGGACTTAAGGCGCTTTGTGTATCTTTAAAAAAAATCTTCTAAGCCAATCGAGTGGGGTATCAAAATAAACTCGTATAAGACGAAATCACAAAAATATAAACAACTTATATAAATATCTATGTACTTACATCTCGCGGTAAGGATGAAGGATGTCTGATGTCTCCGACTGCTTATTACTATATTCCTTCGTAACTTGTTTTCATCTTTCTAGTTTTTATGCACTGGGTTTTTATATTTTTATAATATATTTTTTTATTTAAATGTGAGAACAAATTACATATCCTAGTGTTCGCGTAGTGGTTGAAATTCACAATCATTATTGAAAATTAGAGCAAAATATACATTATGAATAGAATTTATGTCTACATATAAAAAAAGCTGTTTCCAACATTTTTTTTAATAACACTAAAGGTCGTCAATAGATTATTAACAAAAACAAAAGATAATCGGTTAACTAACAGAAGAGAAAAAAGCACTGAACAGTTTCGTCTTTGCCCTTTTTATACATGTGGTAGAAAAATTATATTATGTTAAGAATTCTACTTCTACTTAAATCTATGTATTTATAATTGCTGTGATGAATTTGGTAGAACAACCACCACCATAGTAAGTAGTTCCGGCCGGAAGTGTTAACAATTCAATCGAGATGAATATCCATATAAATAAAATGAATCGTTAAATCTATATAAATAAAAATGAATCATTAAATGCTAAGCGCAAAACTCGAGAACAACTAGACTAATTCGCCATTGTCCGAGGAGGCTCTTATGAAAAAAAATATGGAAAAAATACCCGGAAAAACGTAAAAACACCATATTTTTAATCGGGCCTGCCACACACGATTAGACAGAACAAAGTCTGTCGGGACAACTAGTTATTGAATATAAATATTAAACTTACATTTATATTTTCATATTTTTATGTCCTTTCTTTGATTTTACCGTTTCCTTCTTAACCTATTTTTAAATATAATGCATATTTTCAATGTTTTCCGAGAATTCGCAATTGTAAAGTAATTTTAAGCCCCACAACATGTTATTATTTACAACCGGCCTCAGGCCTTGTTTACAGAACTATCACACTCGTATTATAATTGCGAAAGTTTGTTGCATGTGTTTGTACTTTATACTTCATCATGTTGTAATTTCAGAGGATTTGAGAAAAATTCGACATGGAATTTTAAACGTAACTTTCGAAGCTATACTATATACATATGAAGTAAATAAACATTTTAACCGTATTAGGCATTTTGTAATATTATTTTTGAGATTCTTCTTAATAGAGGAAATACATAGAAAATAATTACGTACGTAAGTTGTAGGAAGAAAAAAAGATTTGAACAAACTATAACAGAAGATCAGATAGAGATTTAGTGTTCTGTACATTCAACAAGTTCTTTATATATTCATAATCACATGCATATTTGTTATACTTCATCATTTTTATTTATTATAGAATGGAGATGGTGATAACGGAGGAGAGCCTAGCAAGAATGGGATCATCGGAGGACTCTCTGCCTACCAAACAGCTTTTCTCATAGCTGGTGAGATGGTCGGTAGTGGAGTTCTAGCACTCCCTAGAGCACTTGTCAAAACTGGTAAGATTTAGATGTTTGTTATTAATTATGCACACAGAAGCAGAGCGAATTCTGTACTATGAAAGTTTTACTTTAAATGAAACTGAACTGTCTCTGAAATTTGATTTTAATAATATTCATTATGATGAACGTGTCGTAATCTTTATATTACATTATATCTTTCTATATTACTTTATAATTCGTGCACATATTCTTCTTTATAACTCTGAAAGACTTTGGTTGTATCTACGTATAACGAATGGTTTTATATGAAATTAGTATTACCTACCCAAATTAAGCTCTTGCTTTTTGACGTCGCGTCAGGTAGAAGGTCTTTGTCCTAAAGGTAGGATTATATGTAGGTAATTGGATTTACTAGAAACGTCGCTTACGCTGTAATGTTGGTATCGGCTGGTATGGTACTCTAAATAAAAGTAGAGTGCCGCTTTGCTGTCCTTAATACCTAATTATAATAATTATTATAATTAAGGCTAACCTTATTAATCTAATACAATGTAAATATACTCATAGACATATATTTTAAAAATCAAATATTTAGGTATGTTTGTCGATCTTTTTAAGTAAACCTTTACTTTGTGGATTTAGTTTGATTTTTTTCTCGTCTCTCCCATGATTGCTATAAAGCATTTAAAAATATCAGAACCAAAAATCTAAATAAATCAGCGAGAAAATCTGAAACTATATGTTGACGCGGATAAAAAGCTATCATCATACCAAATTTCTTCAAAATTCCTCCAGTGACTGCGAAAATTCTAACTATAGATTCGGCCTCTGTATCGATAATAATGACTTTTTCAATAATATTTTCCAAAAAATATTTAATGTACAGATTCGGCTTGGTTACAATTTTATTATATGTATAGATATAATGTATCTTTTAAGTTTTTGCTTGCGACTTTTTTATGCGAAATGAACTCGTATCTAATTTGTTTTTGCGATCTTAAAAACATTTCTTTATTTAAGGTTGTATTAGTCAGCGTATGTATGTATGTACGATGTACATATACATTATGTACCTATTGAATTGCTGTATCCTAACGAAATATACCTAAATGCGAAAGTGTTCTTAGTAATTTGTTTATCTTTCACGATATGAATTTAGTACATGTAAGATTCAATATTACTTTAAAGATATAGATAATAAGAAACTCTTATACGATACATTGTTTTTAAACGTTAAATTTTTAGTAGATCCATATTTATTGAAGTCAGTCAAAAACGACAATGGACCTATACTAATACATATTATAAAGAGACAGAGTCTGTTTGTTTGTTTGTTTGTTTGTTTGTTTGTTTGTTGTTTATTTATTTATGAGAACTCGCTAATCTTAGGAACTACCTAATAATCCGAATTGAAAAAAAAATTGCATTAGATAGCCCGTTGATTGAGGAAGGCTATAGGCTATATATTTCATCATGTTACTTATTGTTACTACCCACCTACCCAAGGAAGCGGAGCAGTTATCATAAATGTCAACAAATCGGGCAGACTTCCATACATTATTGTAAATCTATATATAATAATATATGTATTATATAAATACATAGGGACAAACTCGGCCAAAGCGAGGGTGAGTCGCTATACAATATAAAGCTAAAGATTTTTTTCGTAGATAGAACGCGGGCGAAGCTGCGGGTTCTGTTAGTTGATTATAATTTAATTGTGTAAATATTTTGCCATTACCACATTTCGAATGTGGCATGATATCTTTAATTTTGAACTTTTCATTATTATAATATCACAAGTAGCAATTCATTGAGTAATAAGGCCTTAAGAAGATCTTTTGTATCATATAAGAGCCTTTGTTGGATAAACAACTACTCTTGTTTACGTTTAGTAAAAAATTTAACAAGTGCTTTAATTTAGAAATTTCAAAATCATAAAAACGGCCACAGTAAATACTTACCATCACATAAAATATATTTGTTTCTTTTTCACTGGTAATGTTAAAGAGGGATAGATGGACTGGTTAGGTCGGTCGTTATGATAATGAAGCAGGCGATCACCTTTTTTGTAACCCGTCGCGGGCGATACAAATAATTTACTTTTACAATTCAAATTTTTTTTAATTTTTTAAAGGTAGAAAAAGTAAATTTTTGTTGACTTTTACTTAACTTTAATACAAAAAAATAATAAATAGATGTAATTGTATCTATATGGTTAAGAATGTAGAGCTTAGAATGTAACAAACCAGCTTATAATATTATTAGCATTTTCTATCCGCCTATAAAAATGATTATTCATTAGCCAATGTATTTTTTGGGACGTCCATGACATCTTAAGGTATTTAAATGTATTCGTATATAAATATAATATGATACTCAACAACGAAAATGATCTCATTTTGTGACGAGCACTATATTAATAGTAAATAATATCTGATAAAAGTAAAATATTATTCATAAGTTAAAGTATTTGAGATTGAAAAAACCTAGTTTTTAATTATTAATAACTAGCGACTCACCCACATAGGTTGATTCCCCATGCAAACTTTCATCCCCATTTTCACGCCCTTAAGGGATGATTTCCAGGATAAAAAGTATCCTATGTCCTCAGGGTCTCAAACTATCTTTTTACCAAATTTCATCTAAATCGGTTCAGTAGATCCAGAGATTACCCCCTACAACGTCACAAACTCACAATTCACCAACTTTACCTCATTATTAAATTAGTATAGATTACATATATTCCGTTATACCTCATTTATGTTTATACTTACACGTTTACTACCTAAGTATAGAATACAACATAGTAGCGGAGTGTGAATATGATCCCTTTGCGTAATGTTATTATAGGATTTAAACTCATAAAGTAGATCGCATCCGTTTTCTAACGCGCTTTTATTAGCTTCACATGTAACTACTAATTCTAATTATTATCGTATCCATTTAAACTTTCATAAGCATGTATACTCTGGATGATAATAGAATAATTTGGCTATGGAATATACAATAAGCCATTGAAACTTCCATGGCAACTAGCTAGTAGGACCTCCGAATTTAGGTTGATTTGTTTCGTTTTGACTTTTGACACTTTTGACAGTCGGTCAATAGACATTTTGTTTCTTCAACCTGTAGTTAACTAGCCACATATCTTGACTACTAAATGCAACATGATAAAGAAATGGACTATCACAAATGCAATATGTTTGTAAAATAGATTTATTATACTAATATGTATATCATACCAGCCTTTGCCAGCGGCTTCGCACGCGTAAATGAATAGAGCGAAAATACCATACACATGGAGTATCATTATAATCAATAATGCGACGAACATTATTCGTCCCTGTCGACTATTGATTTCGATACATTTTAATTTCATTATATAAGTACTAAGTGTGTAATAAATGTGGTTTTTAGAGCCGTTTCCGTTTCCTATCGTTGATACACTAAATAAATTTATATACAAGAACTAGCGGACCCGACAGACGTTGTCCTGTCTACACGTCTTTAATTTGAAAATTTCAAACTTTTTTTAATATTTTTTTTGATGAAAATTATTATTCGAATTGTGAATCTAAACCATTCCCAGATCCCCTTGAACACACACAAAAAATTTCATCAAAATCGGTCCAGTCGTTTGAGAGAAGTTCAGTGACATACACACTCACAGAAGAATTATATATATAAAGATATTACACATTCACTATTATAAGATTTAGTTATAATATATAAGTTATATTAATTATGTTTTATTATTAAAGTCTACTTACAGTACAGCAAAAAAACAATGCAACGACGTTTCTCTTTGAATAAAGCCAGCTTTGGACCGGACCAGTAGGTCTTAGCGAGAACTTCACAATTTGAAATTACATTGAGGGTTACTAGTTCGATTTCCATGCGCAGTGAATTTATTACAGACCATCCCCGTCTTTGAGACTTAGTTATTTTATTCTGGGGCCATCTTAAATAATTACTCAGCATGGGTTAGGGCAGAATTTAATGTTTTATTTTTGTAATGGCGTTCATGATATTACTATATAGTACATACTATACCTATTGCTAATAATATAATAGAAATAATATAATAGCTCAAGATGTTTGTTTGGCACACCATATAGATTACTAAAGCTCCTACGCTAATTCAATTACCACTTTAGGCTTAAGCGGTCATTCTAGCATGGCATTGCGAGCGCGACAAGTTCGAAGGTAGTAGATAATATTTACTTAGAAGTTTAATATAAATCAAGTTTCAACATTCACTATTTTTTTTTTCTTATTTAATATGCGTAATATGATAATGCAAACGAATAAATTATATTATCTAGCGTAATTTTCATTTAGTTTAATATAATCTAACTATTACGCTAAGCACTCAAAAATCTTCTTTTCAGGATGGGTCGGAGTACCAATCATAATTTTGATGTGTGCCATAGCGGCATTTAGTGGCAAGCGGTTGGGTGATTGCTGGACTATTCTAGAAGGTCGCGATCCTGAGATGAGGACTAGGAAGAGAAACCCGTATGCTATCATTGCAGAACAGTCCTTGGGAAAGATGTGGAGGTAACTATAGTTATAAAGTATTATTGGTATTTACAGTTAGATATTAAAAATCATGTTACGTCTGCTTTCTCGTTAGCCCGTGGGATTCGTTCGAGGTATATATTTATGAAAATAATAGGTTATGGCGTGTTTTAGTTTTCTCCAAGCAATAGGGAATATGCGTGTTTTTTTTTTATAAACATATAAGCTAACATCGTTGTATAATTGTAGACAAAAATTTCCAGCTTCAAAAAATTAAAATCTAGTATAAAAAAAATTAAAATATCATACCGATAGGGATACTTTAAATGCCCGCCATTTCCCGCGCTTGGCGTGACGTCAAAGTATCATACATAGAAAAATGACGATTTTATTCCCACCTATCTTTGCACTTTTCAATAATTATTTTCTTATCCAAAAAGAAATTACTTAAAAAATATATTAATAATATAGGCTTAATTTTAAAACCAATAAATATTAAAAAAAAATCACACGCTTATTCCCTATTGTTATAGAATGGTGGTCATGCACTAGGTTTGGCAGAAGTTGCGAGTTAAATTCACACGATATGCATGTTATATTGAGTGTCACTGCTGATTGTTTGTCAGTCTAGTGAAAATGGAGTCGATAGCCACAGTCCGCATTCAGTGTTCTCTACCTTCTCTGTATGATTCATGGGGTGCGTGTTGCTACTTGTATCGGTATTCACTTTTTAAGGATAATTTATTCGTTATCATGCATGTGAACAGTATTTTATATACGTATCACGGTTTCTTCAAATAAATTAATCATAATTTTTATTATATATACATAGTTCTGTCTTATTTATATGTATAGTATAATGTTATTCACTGTCTACATCATTCTAATGTCTCGTATTATGTTCCCACGATCTAAAACACTCGCCAAAACAGGTTTTGTTTTAAAGGTATTTTATTACCATCATCGTTGCTTGATTCAGTCACAAAGCAGTAGAGATTACATGGAGATTAGCTAGAATAGTCGATAAAATACCAACGGAATATTAAGAAAGGTCAAATTAGATTTATCATAATATTAAGAGAACTTTATGAAATAAATTTTTAGGAAACCAATGTTCAAACGAGTTCGTTTTTATTAAATATTAATTATTAATGATCTGGAAAATATTTATTAAGTATATATTTTATTATAATACGTTTTCTATAGGTTATTTTTTATAACTTTAAATGTTTTCTGCGTTTAATGATATTTTAACAAGTTTACCTATATCTCATCAGTAACTTCAATATGCACTAAAATCATTTCAATAGTGTAAAATATGTCGTATTAAGTATATTCATTAAACAATAATACAATTATAGTGACACTAGCATTGCAATGATTTATAAGTCACTAGCATTGCCCGCGGCCCTGCCCGCGTTCAGATGACCAAAAACCAAATTCTTAGGTTTTACATATTAGTATACTCGTACATTGCAGTTTTTGTATTTTTTCTAAATACAAAAGTAAGTAAATTTTCCCGCGGTAAAAAGTATCCTATATATTGACCCAGATAACCAGATATCACCATACCAAATTTCATCAAAATCCCTCCAGTGGTTTTTCTGTGATGCGGTAACAGACAGACAGACAGACAAAAATTCTAAAAAGTATAGATTCGGCCTCTGTATCGATAATATTGTTCTTTTCCATAAGATTTTCCAATAAATATTTAATGTTACAATTTTATTATATGTATAGATTTAAGCCTCTTTTTGACCAAACACATGTGTAATTACAGTGATATCTGTTTAGACAACATTGCCATACATTTTTGTACAGGCGTTGCATAATAATTATTATTTTTGATATGTTGTTGATATTCTTTTACTGATTTCTACTTTAAAAGTCTTAAAGGAAGAAAGTTTGTTTTTTGAGTAGCTTATAACCCATCAACTTTGAGCTATATACATATGGAGTTAAGTGAATTTCAAAAAAATGTTTTTACGGCACTAACAATAATAAATATAAAATTAATTTGTAAATTAAATTATATTTAAAACCATTAATTTAATAATAGAATTACTCCTTCCTCTACTTATTATCGTATCTATACATATGATAAATAATAAAATAGTCCTAAAGCGAAATTTGCACATGAAATATATTTCAAAAGCCTTGACTGTTGTGGTGTTACCTACGTGTTGTGTATCTACAGAATATATACCACAAAACACTACTTGTTGAAATATTGGTCTGCATGTCCGTTTATCTGTTTGTAAGCAAAAAGTAATGAACGAATTAAATATATAACTTAATTTTGTGTATTATTATTATATTTAATCGGGTGTGGTGCCGAGGTCGGTCCTCGCTACGTCGACCAGTTATGGTCCATTGTAGGTTAATCTTGTGTAACTCGGGTCTAGATTAATTAGCTTACCTTTTATTACGGGAAAATCTTATACTCCTGCGGAAAAAAGTCAATAATTATACAAAACTATTAGTAGCGGGGTTAACAATTAACATATTTAACACTGCGATAAATTCTTTCATTTCACGAAATTACAAAAATAAAATACCCGACAGCATAAAAAATGAACTAAAAAGAATAGAACAAGTTAACGAAGGAATACAGTACAATGCAGTCGGAGGCTTACACACACACACACACACACACACACACACAAACACTCACACATACTCACACACAGCTATTCTAAAACATAGTTGCGTACCCTATGACACTCGCATTATCAAGACGAATCGAATGACGTATGAACCATCAAATTCCTTTAGTAATTACGAGGCAACATAGGATCGGACATACATACATAGGTACATACATTTTAAACAGATAGTCCTCCTTTAGGCTTCGCCGCAGTCGGGTAAAAATGCGAAATTTAGTTTGAGTCACTCATCTATCCGTAGGTACGTAGTATAAAACAAATAGGTACGCTGTCTGCCACTCTGTTTTTTCGTGCACATCGTTTAGAAGCACACAATACAGTTTTCATTTATAGTAAGAGCAATAAACTAGAAAGTTTTGTGTATATAATTTGTAAATATATTATTGCACGCCGCTAGCCCAACTACGATGGCGGCTAACACTGGCGGCTAACGCTGGCCAAACCTTAAGAGATACAATAAAACAATGTTCTATGAAATTGAAAATAGTAGATCCTAATAGCAGCGCTGGATTTATACTAGGGGCACTCGGGGCTAGTGCCCCGGGCTGCAAAACTTGCAATTTTTAGGGGCGGCAAAATTCGGAAGGTGGGAAAAAAATTCTTCGCGTTATTGTTAATGCTTTTTTATTTTATAAAAAATGAAAAAAAAGAGATTAACTAGTTAATAGTAGGTAAATCTTTCGAAAAATTGATATCATTTATAAATTATTTCTATGCATTCATAAAAAAAAAAAATAAACTTTCAATATTTTATTTAAAATTCCGATAATAGGGCGGATTTTTTTACTATGCCCAGGGACGGGCTAGGATTATATCTACTGCTAATAAAAACTCAAGGTACACTCACAATATCTACTTTTATCTTCGTGAAAAGCACCCAATATATTTAAATTAAAAAAAAGAAATAGTAGTTACGGGACAATTTTGGCACTAGCCACTTACCCCCGCTCCGTCTGTGCTCGTCCCTAGGTACGTTTTGACGGTTAGTATAGATTTCTCAGAGTTGAATATTTACCCGCGGTAAAAAGTATCCTATATGTTGACCCGGATAACTAGCTATCATCGTATCAAATTTCATCACAATTTGTCCAGTGGTTTTCTCGTGATGCGGTCCCAAACAGATAGACAGACAGACAGCCAAAAATTCTAAAATAATTACTATGTTTAAAGATTGTTCAAAAAAAAATTTATGTCCAGATTCGACTCAGTTAGAATTTTATTATATGTATAGATTAATATTATAATGTAAATTAGCAAACTTTAAGAGAACCTTTTAAATAAGTTTTCAACTATTGTTACAGTGTAGCAGTATCACTAGCTATGATTGTGACTCAGTTTGGTATAGCCGTGGTGTACTTGTTGCTGGCTGGGCAGATCATAGAGCAGGTGTTCCTGTCCCTCATGCCGACTGTCACTATTTGCATCTGGTATCTTGTGGTAGTGTGTGCAATGACACCGCTCATGCTCTTTGGTACACCTAAGGACTTCTCGTAAGTATTTTTACCGAAATAATTTATAAATTTTTATGAAATTTTTTTCTACTATAAAGTGGGTTATAGAATTAAGTGTAACTGAAACGTACGTTGTAACGTAAGTTGTAGCTATACAGTTGCTGTACGTGCTCTCCGAGGACGGTGTGATACTGTCAACTTTCCAACTTCGAGTTGTTTATAAGAATTTCTTGACCGAAAGACCCTAATTAAAACTGCCATTTGCCTAAACACAAATTCGAACCCAGGACCTCTGTATCTGCAGTCCTATGTGCTAGCTACTATTCTTGCGTGGCTAGCTGGCGCTGATGTCTAGTATATTATTAAATACTAGCGACTCAGCCTCGCTTCGCTCGGGTTTGTCCCTGGCTTGCTTCCCAATATAATCTTTCATTCCCATTTTCACCCACTTAAGGAATGATTTCCGAGATAAAAAGTAGTCCTTCCCAGGGTCTCAAACTATCTTCTTACCAAATTTCATCTAAATCAGTTCAGTAGATCCATAGATTACCCCCTACAACGTCACAAACTCACAAACTTTACCTCTTTATAATATAATTTACTGTATTTACCTGACTATATCATATTGCATATCTTTCAGTCCTTGTAAATTTAATTAGTAATATATGTCTCATTAGTGATAAGGGTATAATATAAAAACTCAAATTAACATAGTATTGAAAAATACATTTTATTAGCAATAGTAAAATATATGTTCTTCTTACAGTTTCTTGGGAGTCGTCGCGTTCTTCTCTGCTGTAGTGGCGTGTCTCCTCTACTTTTTACAAATGATGAACGATATTAGACCATATCCCACTTTCCGTTGGGGCATCCACGGCTTTACAGACTTCTTTTTGGCATTTGGTATTATTATGTTTTCTTTTGGAGGTGCCTCAACCTTCCCCACCATCCAAAACGATATGTCTGATAAGACCAAGTTCAACAAAAGTCTTCAATACGGTTTCGTAGGTGAGTAATTTAACAAAAATAATGAATGACAATTTTTAACTACACTTTTATAAATTTCAATTTTTTATAATATTTTCTATGCATATAAAATAGCTACTATGCATTTAAATTGGTATAGATATTTTATTTTCTTATACATACTAACAACCAATGTACTTATAATATCTTATATACAAGTAGAGATTAAATTTGCATGAACTTTAAGCTAATAATAAATAAATAGAATAAACTTTACCAATTATTATAGTTAAAATCCTTTTTGTTCCAGGAATCCTTATTCTTTATCTCGTAATTGCGATCACGGGGTACGCAGTGTACGGAGAGTCGGTTGGGTCTAACTTTATCACGTCCCTGTCGCCCACGCCTCTCAGTCTCGTCGGTAATGTTCTGATGGTAGTACACCTGATATGTGCTTTCATCATCCTCATCAACCCTGTTAGCCAGGAGCTGGAAGAGCTGTATAGTATTTCTAGAGGTAAAGTTTCAAAGTAATAATTATGAAATCATCTGGATTTAAGGGAGCTTGGCCTTCACAGAGACATTCTTGCCTTTGAAATTCATTTTTTTAATGTGACATCAATGACTCATTTTCGTGGCTCCGTATATATATTATGACAAAAAACTTTTATTTATATTTATTTTCAGTTAGCGACATACGCTGACGCTCGCGTGTCCGGGTGCATCTTTACATGCCTTTTGAATTTTATATACACACAGTGCCATCTTTTGGCAAATTTGACTACTACCTAACAGTAATATTTTTTTTCTAAATATGGCAAATAATTATATTACTTGTTCGGTGCCCGCCCAACAGTTTCAGTGCGAAGAAGTAACAAACATACACATACAAACTTTCTCATTTATGTATGAAGCCCACTCCTTAAATGCTCTGGGGCCCCCTCACTCAGATTTAAATCTGGCACTGATTATTATGTTATTTTTACATTTTTATTAAGTACCTATATTTTGACAAAAAGTGAATAAAAAGCGGGATAGAAAATATTTCACATTAATCATAAATTTGCTGTTTCAGATGCAATCGGCTACCGTACTTTAATCCGCCTGTCCATTATGGCGGCTATCCTCTTCATAGGCGAGAGTGTGCCTCGTTTCTACACAATCCTGGCACTGATCGGTGGTACAACTATAGCCTTGCTTACTTTCGTACTGCCCTCATATTGCTACTTGAGCCTCGTCAACCAAACCCCTAGGGAAGGGCAAGAGCCTGTGTAAGTTTTAGCTCATTAGAATTATACTAGCGGACCCGACAGACGTTGTCCTGTCTACACGTCTTTAATTTGAAAATTTTAAACTTTTTTTAATAATTTTTTTGATGAAAATTATTATTCAAATTGGTCCAGTCGTTTGAGAGAAGTTCAGTGACATACACACTCACAGAAGAATTATATATATAAAGATAGTCAGTTTCTGAGTTTTTAGTTTTATATTGGTGTTATTTTAGTTTAAACTTTATCAACTTTTACTGTTAACTTTATACAAACTCATAAAGGAAGGTAGGCCATCGTCTTGAGAACGGCCTTTACATTTTCGTCCTTAGAACAAAATTATTACATTTAATACATAGTATACCCGTTCGACTGAACTTCGCTCAATGTTCATTTTTGTAAAATCGTGTTTTTTCGGAAAAAGATATAAAAATGTGTATTTTTTGAAAATACACCTATGTAGATAAACTTACAAGCAAGATCTTATTCAAAATACCAAATGCTAAAAACAAATCGTTAGAGCCGTTTCCGACATAAATGAAATAAATTTATATATATATATATATATATATATATATATATATATATATATATATATATATATATATATACAAGAATTGCTCATTTAATTAATAATATAAGATTAAGTATTTGTATATGAAATAAAGATGTCTTTTTTTTAAATTAAAAACGTTTTTAGTTCAAATATTTTATTAATTGAATATAATGCATTTTTAGTGAGGTGGCCGGATGGGTGAAGTTTGTCTGTTGGGAGGTCATCGTCATAGGCGTGGTGGGTGGTATTGCGGCCACTTACAGCGCTACCAGCGCTATATTCAGTACTTCCATGGTAACACCATGTTATTTACGATAAAGCGCTTTCTTGCTTCAAGCATTACGCTGTCATAGCGACATTTTTCTTCTTTTTGGTAAGTCTATAAAGTCATAGCCACATAATGGTATCTGCTCTAATTACACGAAGTAAAAAAATCCTATTTACGTCTTTTAATTATTATACATATATATAAGATAATTTTTTTGGCTTAATGTAGCTGTTTAATTTTTACACGTTGTTTTGAAGTTTACACAAAGCTTTACTGTTAATACCAAATAGGATAGTACGGATAGCACTTGTGATTTGACAGTTCTTAGAATGCGAATTGCGATAGTAACAGTAGAATCGATTGAGCATTATTAGTCAAAATGATTTTTTAAGGCACGAAATCGAGTTTTAAAGTTTGATTATAAATGGGTGACCCCATTGTTATTGTTTTGTTATTAATCACGTAGTAAAACATAGCAGTACTTTATAAATACATACTTGTATATTTTTGAAATATATTACATAATTTTATATTGTGTTCTTTGTATTTTTTCACAAACAGTTTTAATTAAATTTTAAATTGCGGGTTACATTACAAACGCATTGAAACAGCATTTTGGCTCGAGCTGCGTTATTCGTATTATCCTACTTGAAATAAATAATCTATTTAAGGAAAATGGATTCTTTTTATATAAAAGCTTACAGTATATACTTCTATTTATGTACGTTCTAAGCAAATAAGTTACTAATCAATAATCGATCTTTATTATTCAGATTCTATACTATATTTACAATATTTTGTTTTTATTTACAGGGTAATGTTATTTCTGAGTTAAAAACATTTTAATATAATATTGTGTTCACACATTGAATTTATTTTGAACTATAAGTTTACTTTTGTATTTTTTTCTGACGCATGTTTTAAATAAAATATGATTCGCCTATTGTTGTTTCATTTAAGTTTTTTGCGAAATATTTATTTAAGTATTAATTTTTATGTAAATTTTTTATTTATCATTAGAAAATGTCTAAACATTTGCTAGTTAAACTACATTTAATTTGGTACCTGTAATTTAAGATTATCAGAAGGAATTACTCTCTTACTTATTTCATTGCAAATTGCAGGCACGTGTCAACATTACGTAAAATAATGTGAATAATTTATTTTGTTGAAAATCAATAAAATAAATTATTAAGCTTGATTGTTTTGGAATGTAAAGGCTAAGCAGATGAATTTTTTTCATCAATTGCCTCAAAATCAATGTAAAGACACACAATATTAAACACTGTAGTATAGCGCGTTTGTTATTATGATGCACGAGTGTCTTTAGGTTAAGACAACACCGCGCCCCCCACGGACTTGTTGTTTATTACTTAGATAAACGATCTGTAATGAAGAAATAAACTAATTAAATGACTATATTATAGAAATAGGGATGCTTATAAAAATTATCGATATGTAATTGATCATAAAATTGAATTAAACAAAGTTAATAATTATTATTAGACTAACATATTATAATCTATCTATATATATTCTATACTCTAATAAAGCAGTAACTTAGCGAAATCTGTAAGAATTTTTTTTTAAAACAATGACTGTAACGTCTTATGTACGCAATATAGACCCCAAAACAATAGTTATTAAAAATGTTGTCTGATTGTCTGTATGTCTGTTTGTGCGTGCGCGTTTCACGCAAAAAGTACTGAACCGATTTCAACGAAATTTGGTGAAGTGATAACTTATTACTCGGGTCAATATTTAGGATACCTTTTACTTTAAGAAAATCTTTCTTTTCCACGTCAATACTAACTAACCTAACCTAACTGGTTTATCGAGTCCTCCTCCTAGAAACCTTCCGCTGGCTAAACCTTAAGACATACATCAAAACAATGAAAAAAAATTGTACGTCTTGCAAAAGCCTACAGAAAAGTCCTCAATAGTATATGACTATCTCCTAAGGTACACTCGCAATATCTATTCTTATATATCTATACCTATACCTATATCTATATATATATATATATAATTCTTCTGTGAGTGTGTATGTCACTGAACTTCTCTCAAACGACTGGACCGATTTTGATGAAATTTTTTGTGTGTGTTCAAGGGGATCTGGGAATGGTTTAGATTCACAATTTGAATAATAATTTTCATCAAAAAAATTATTAAAAAAAGTTTGAAATTTTCAAATTAAAGACGTGTAGACAGGACAACGTCTGTCGGGTCCGCTAGTCTATACCTATAATAAAACTAACTTAGATCCATGTGCGCTTTTCACTGACTGAATCAATCATTTCTCAAGGTAGGGACATATATTTTTTTTTATAATGCTTACCTACTATTGTATACCTTTGTATGTCTATTTGTATATCTATATATACATATATTATGTATATATGTATATATAGCGTATTCTATATTTACCGTTAAAGCGTACCCAGTCGTCCTTTTAGTCGCTAGTGTATTAAATAAATGTTAGTCAAGCGAAGAAGTAAACCATTTGATTTTTTTTTAAACTAAATCTGTGAATATTTTATTTGTATACTAAATTTTACTTTTCTAACATGGATAACAGTTTCGTAGGAATGCAGTCGGTTAGAGACAAATATAATCTATACATATAATAAAACTGTAGAGGTCGAATGTCTGTACATAGAAAAAAAATGCTAAAAACAGAGTCAGGGGACAGGGGGAAATAAGTAGCGTAAGAAGAGAAATAGAACAAATCCAGATTTTTTCAATTTTTTTGTTTCTCTGTCTGTTTGTCTGTTTGTACGGGCTAATCTCCGAAACTGTTGGACCAATTTAAATGAAATTTTGCATGGTGGTACCTTATATCCCCGGTCAACATTTTAGATACTTTTCATCCCGGAAAATTAGTTTAGCAGGAGTTTCTGTGGGATAGTTTAAAAACGATAGTAGCTTATACAGCTTAGTACACAACAACTTATGCACCTAATTTAGTAAAATTTGGCATGCTGATACCTTATATTGCCGGTCAAATAACAGGTTTTCATCCCGGAAAAATGAACGGTTCCCGTGTGATAAATCTGTTTGTGCTTTCCTAGAGTCGAAACCAAGCGAAGCGATTTTGAGCCGGTAGTTAGAAATTATACAAAATTAGATAAAGGAGAAAACTTCACTAAAAAATAAAACACGACTTTTCCGTCGTGTCTTTTAATCAAAAATGCGATAAAATACATACGAGTATAACCTAAAAATGTGTATATATATATATATATATATATATATATATATATATATATATATACCTATATATAGATTATTTTATATCTAGATTTCACCGGCAATAGCAGCATTATTGAGCAATATTTGTTCCAATAATCGTAACAATTAATAACACAATGCATGTCAAATATAAAGTTTAAGTAGTTAAAATTTGATAAACAGTTAATTATTGATTTGTGACGTTAAAATCTATATATATATATATATATATATATATATATATATATCTACTACCTATATATATATATATATATATATATATATTTATATAGGTAGTAGAAGTTATATAAAAACATAAAATGCAAAAGTTTATTCAGTGTTCACCGCCTTCCTTGCCTTCACCTTGGAGTAGCTTTTATCGACGTACACAGTCGAGGAGTCGCGGGCAAAGACTTATATACTAATACTAGCAGAACCCGCGGCTTCGCTCACCCTAAAACTACAAAAAGAAAACTTTAAAAAGGTAGGCTTCATGCAAACTTTCATGCTCTAATTGCTCTATTTTGATAAGATGAATATTTAATTGTATTGAAGAGCGTTAATACCAAATTTCAGGTAATTCTGATCATAAATATTTTTTTCGATTGTATTATAACGTATTTTCTCGTGGGAAGTAGATAATCGCCTGCGATAAAAAGTAGCCTATGTCACTCTCCAGCCCTCCAACTATCTTCACACAAAAAATCATGCCATTCCCTCATTCCGTTTTCACGTGAAAGAAGGACAAAGAAACAAACACACTTTCACATTTATAATATTAGTATGGATATTTTATTTTACTTATGAAAACATTGGAGCTTTTATAATTACGGAATAGATACGGAAATTATTAAAGATATTTTTGGTAGTAAATAATTAAAAATCATGATGAATTAATTGTGGTGTACTTAAACTTATGTCTCTTTTTAAACCAAGTTTAATAAGATTATATTCATAGATAATTTTCTTTGTAAAATTCCGGCAAACTTTAAGATGGAATAGTGGGATAACTTGGAAATTGCGTTATGATAAGAGGCAGACGAGTGAGTGCTCACTGCGCAACCGACGTAGCTTCCATCCGGACGTTTTTATCTAAGTAAGTTGTTATCAAATATTTTAATTTTTACCTTAAAATTGAATTGAACAACTTGCTTTTAGAATAAATCTTTTGCGTAGTTATTGTGTTATGAATTAATCATAAATGGGTCTCATAATTGCTTTAGCCATTCTGCCTTGTCTGTACATTGTACTGTATATTGTTCGGACCCAAAACTATGAATTTTTATATAAACGTTAAGGTACAAACATTTTTAATAACAGAAATTTATGAAAGCTAAGTGATTTTTAATTAATACGTATATTATGTTATACCTATTAAATGAACTAAAATATTTTAAATTTGAAACAGTATATTCTTTTTATATTACTTATTTATGCTCTCACGTGTACTCTTATTTGTATTGTATGTTGCATTATATGATTTACATGATTTTGTTTCAGCAAAAATTTAGAACTAAAAATTTAGAATTTGTAAGATCAGTAATATCTATCTTATGATTTAGATGGGATACAATATATTTTAATCCCATCAAAATCATAAATGTGAAAAAGGGGGCCAAGTTCAATATTAAGAATGTTCGTGGTTGTCAACTTCACCGACAAAAGAATTGAGATCTAAATGAGTGCCAAGTTCTGTACATAATGTTAAAAAAAATTCATAAGAATATGCAACATTCTAAAATAAATTTAAAACACAATTTCTTGTATTTTTCTGCTAAAAAAGTGTTTGCTATTCAAAAATAGAACTTCTTAAATTTGAACAGTCGAATTATTTACACACAGTAGATAACTTAGGATAAATTGAAGCTCAAGATTTGTCCTGGCTAGTTTTTACCGGTAAAGCAAGTTTTTAAAAGAGTGAGCATAAAGAAGATATAAGCGATTAACCGAATATAAGATAAATTGTATGTATAAACTAGCCAACTTAAATCTTGAACTTCAATTTTTCCTAAGTTATCTACTCGGTGTAAATAATTCGACTGTTCAAATTGTGTTTTAATTTTATTTTAGAATGTTGTATGTTGTATTTACTGTTTTCGGATTTTTCCCTTTGTATACACACGATTACCCATCTGGATCCCAAATTTCTACTTTCTAGGTCATCTGGAAGTGGGTTAGGTTTTACTACTATATGTCAGTCAGTTAGTGATAAGAATGCCGATTTTTAGACTTTTATATCTAAATAACCGTTTGAGCTGTATATATGTAATCAAATTGTGGATTTTAGTTAGTCTAAGGGGATTTAATAAATGAAACAAATTTTAAGAATTTATGTTAAATAGATTTTGAGTTATTACGAGTTCGTGTAAAATATAATTATATGTAATAATATATACACATGGTGCTTCGTCGCCATTTCCTTTGGCTTGAACTTGGCTGGACACGCTACCGCGTGTCTTGATAGGTAAATTAAAACTTGGCCTACTTCGTCCAGTAGGTTTTGTATCATAGGTTTATCTCACGGATTTCCTTCTTTTCTAGTTTAGTAGCTATTGATGAGCTTTAGCTTTAATAAAAAAAATTAGAAATAGTTTTTTATATAGAAAGGTAAATTCTAATTTAAGAAATTACAATTTCGACCACTAACTAGGTTGACCTTAGCCTATTTTCATTACTAAGTTTAAGTAGCTCAGAAGTTTTTGAATTTTCAAAAATCTAATATTCCAAATTGTGATTACAGGCACGATATGCGTCCAAATGTTTTATAGGCACAGTAGTATTTCTTTCTTAACTTGGAAAAAGAGGACGTATTCTTTTGAGTCCTAATGTAAAATAGCGGATTGCTAAGAATCACGTGATGACTTGATGGTATTGAAAAGAATATGTGTAGTTTTTCATATTTGTCTAATCCATTTCGAATGTTGCCGAATAAGCACTATTTAAAATATTAAAATCATCGGGCTAAGTGTTTATCTATTTTTGTTATAATAAACTAATATTTAGAATATAAATGACTAAATTTGATAAGTTAACAGTGTGATGTGACTCGATCAAGGCTCAAGGCCGGTAACCTCTGTTCAATTCCTTGACCGAGCTGAAACTTAACTTTGGCTATTGGTTAATTCTTATCATTTACAAAGTTTCTGATAACGTAAAACGTGACTTTAGAAAAACTACAATAAGTAACAATGGGATTTATAAGTATTAAAGACATTTTTACAAGTAAATTTCATTAATCGTACATTTTGATTGTTATTACAAACAATAGGTATACTTATATGGTGATAAAAAATTATCTGATGGCGCCGAAGCTCATAAGAGGGTTATGTGTTTAACCTATATGTATGTATGTTTGTCCGATCCTAGGTTCCTCGTAATCAATAAAAGATAATGTAACGCTTTAAAAATTTCCTCTAATTCTGATATTATTATTAAATTTCCAGTATATAGGTCCCGATAGATTAAAGACATGGTCCTTTGTAATATAATACGTTCTGCGACCAGGCTGAGCCGTTCCAATCTACCACAATGCTGTCGAAGAGCTCTCTATAGCACGGAGAACAACGGTATATAGTATCTTATATTTTATGTAGGTACAAATTAGCTTTTTAAAGCGCTTTTATATAAGGATAAGGCTAGCGATATGTTTGCTGCATGAATTAAGTTCATTAATAAATTTTACTTAACTTAAGCTGTAATGCGTAGACGCTTTTATTTTGAAAGCTCGAAAATTACTATAAGTTTATCTATATTAAAAACTAGCGACTCACCCTCGCTCCGTCCCTACGTTTGTAGGTTATTACAGATTTTTCAGAGATGAGATATTTTCCCGCAGTAAAAAATATCTTATATGTTGACCCGGATAACCAGCTATTTTCAACAAAATCTGTCGAGTGGTTTTCTCGTGATGCGTTCCTAGACAGATAGACAGACAGACAGGCAAAATTCTAAAAACTATAGATTCGGCTTTTGTATCGATAATAATTACTATTTCAATAAGATTTTGCAAAAAATATTTTCTCTGTTTATTATATATATATCTTTTTATTATATTATTATAGATTCGGCTCTGTTAGAATTTTATTATATGTATAGAAGATAAATCAGACTTTTTACGAGATGTAATTTATTTTACAAAGACCGATTAACATCGGGTATTTGTAAATTTCATTTTAAATTTATATTTTATTTTTACATATTTCAGAACTCTTACATTATCACAATTATTATGTATATAATGTACAAAGGTGTGTTTGATAACAAATAAGTAAATATGGTCCTTTCTTTAGATTTGTTATTTATATATAGATACATTTTTCTTATATATTTCTAAGAAAGAAAGCAGAAGTAAGCTTTTATACATTTAATCTCAAAAAGGTTTTTAATTAGGGGTTTTATTTTTAAAAATGAAGCAAAATATTACAGAATGAAATTTTTGTACATAACTTTCTTTAAGTTACATTATCAGTGGAGTTTTACTATTGTTTTACCATATTTGTTTGTTGAGGTCAATCTGACCAGATAAAATATATGGAAATGTGTAACTATTGCGGATATTTATTTTAATATAAAAGTAGAATATTAGAAGCAAAATTTTACAATTACTTATAGCCAACTTATTTCGAAAATTATATTAAACTAATTTTTCTTATTATAATTATTTTATAACTTAACAAGTTTAAAACGTAATTAATTTTTGAAAGTTTTCATGTATTTTTTAGCTTTAACTAACTAAGTATACCTAACAGTAACGTAGAGTCATACTGTAGCGAGCCTTTTGATATGCGAATTTTAAATATGAAAGCGAAAGAAAATTTTAAGCTTGCGTTATGTTTAAAATTTAAACACTAAAAACTATTTTTTTTCAATTTTTATTTATGACTTTCTAGTTCTATTTGTTATGACACATTTTTTTCTTTTTAGCACGATATTATACTAAGAAACACGAGTGGGTGTCAGTGGACTCTGGTGTCGGAACTATAGGCATATCAAGCTATGCACAGGTTAGTAAGTTTATAAATTAATTTGTTCAAGAAATATCTACTTATTTAGATAGGTACCTAATTGATTTTCAATCTTATTTATCCAAATCTAATAATATCTCAAATCTAAACTAATTTATCCAAATCTCATCTCTTAATATCTTATTTACCACGCGGCCTGCTCCTGGTACTTCTCTGATAGGAGAGTGAACCGTAAGAGCAACCTTTTCGTTGTTATGATCTCTCGCGACAGGCCTGCCATCAGGGCGTCGTGTTTGAGTGTGTAAGCAACCTTGCGATGCCCTTTTAACACAGGGGGTGGTTCCGTTGGATTTTAGTGGATAGTACTAGCTTTTCTGACCAGTTAATGCCTGTATGTGTGCAGGTGGTATTCGTAAATGCATTTTCCAACGTTAAAAAAGATTGTCTGAATGTAGTGTTATTTAATCGACTTGCAAGCGTCGGCTGTCAACGACTTCAAAAATATGTAAGTAGGTAGATAATTATAGCTAAATTAAAAATCCCATTTTCGAAAAATAACATTAATTTGTATAGGTATCTATAGTAAAGAAAACTACTATAGATAAATTATTGAGATCTGCTGTAGATTATATTATATCAATGAAGGTGACCTATATAATTCATGTTTGCAAATTAATTTTTAAATAAATTGAGTTCTCAGGTCTTTTTCACTGTGACTTTACAATTTAATCTTAAAGTTGACGTATTTTTTATCTTGTAAATATACGATAGTAGGAAGGCAAGTCATTATTTATGATTTCCAAAACATATAATCACTCGTTTACCGTCTCCTCCTGTAATAAGAGGGCTAACGTGGCTTGTATTTAGGTCAATAATATATTGTAAAAAAAAACTCTAAAAAGTTGAGTTTCATACAAACTTTAGTCCTCTATTTCACCCCCTTATGGGATGAATTTCGAAAAATTCTAAAATACGTATTTATTTAATTGTATTGAAGAGCATTAAATCAGAGTTTCAAGTATAATCATAAATATGTTTTTGGGTTCTATTATAACATGTTTTCCAGTGGAAATGAGATAAACTCCCGCGGTAAAAAATAGTCTATGTCACTCTCCAGTCCTCCAACTATCTCCACACAAAAAACAACGCCAGTCCGTAACTATTTTTCGACGTGAAAGAAGGACAAACAAATAAACCCACTTTCACATTTTATAATATTAAGTATGGATTATTAGCCTAGTTGCCTAAAAGTACGTTGTTATTCCAAGTGATAACATATCTGTGAGTTTAAATTTCATCCAATCCGTCCAACCATTTAAGTGACAGGGAGAAATAAAATTTACACTTACAATCTTTCGTATTTATAAAAGTAGTCTGACAAATATATTTATCATTATTTATATATTATATTTTCAGGACGCCTTAGGTGAAGTGGTATTCGCACAGTTACCCGACGTCGGCCGGACGGTGACCGTGGGCGAGGAGTGTGGCGCCCTCGAGAGCGTCAAAGCAGCTAGTGAAATATACTCTCCTGTATCAGGAACTGTAAGTATTAATAAAAACATTTCATAAAAATTCTCTTTATAATACAACAAGTGACTTACCCTCCCTTCTCGGTCGCGTCCCTAGGTGCCTAAAAGCATAGAATAAAATAGTATAAATATAAAATAATAAAGCTAAAAAAAAATAGAAGCTAAATCAATGTCATAATCTATCTGTGTACAAATTTCTTCCAGATCAGTCTAACCGTTTGAAGGAGTAGAAATATACACACAGACTCACAAACAAAAAACTTTCACATTAGTAGTCCGTTTAGTGATTTTTTAATAACGCGTATTGTCTGGGATTTTGATTATTGTATTGTCTTTTCGTGCCTCGGAGAGCACGTAAAGCCGTCGGTCCTGCGCCTTAACTCTCACTGGTCGTGTCGAGTGGTCGTCCCACCAGAGTATGAGAGTGACGGGAATAGAGAGTGCACTTGTGTATCTCCTGCGCAGTTGGCTAGTCTCAATGAGATTGGCCGCCGTGGCCAGAATCGGTCAGGAGAACATCATCATCATCATTGTCTTGGAAATTATTAAAGTACCTACTAAGACTAAGAGAGAACTACTACGCCCCTTAGTACGAAATCTAACCTATTTGAAAAGGTATAAATATTTAACAACTTTTAAACTGGTTGATTTTTTTTTGGTTAAACTACTAAAACTCTATAAAACCTTTTTAGAGAATTACTTTCACATCTTAAAATTTTAAGCTTACTAGAGTTCGCCGAGTGGTCGAACGTCGACCATGATTATTATAGATTTTTTTTATTTATAAATACATAAAACTAAGCTATTCAACTATATATAATTCTCAATTTGACCACAGACTTTAACAATAAACAAAACACTATAATATAGTTATGTATAATATATAAATTATGTAATGGCTCACAAATATACATAGTTGTCAGTACAAAAAAATCAATACTACTCGTAAGTAGGTACACTAAATTTTTCTTTTACATACAGAATAATTATTACTATAGACAAATACATATTTTTAAATATTGCTTAATTACATACATCTAACGCACATTATAATTTTAGGACTGATTTTTCAATTATAAAATAGAAATTATCAGAATATACGTAAATATATATATAATAAATAATATACTTGATATAATACATGTAGTATTTTCGTTACGGACGTTTTTTCTAACTCCACGCATTTTCGTTATGAACGTTTTTTGCCGGCTAGGGTACACCCACTCCTCCGCAACGTCCCATAAGGAAAATAATTCTAAAAAGATAGTTGTAATAAAGTATCAATTAATAAAATTGATACTTTTATACAGTCAATTATATTTAAATGACGAATAACTTTTATCTGATGATTAAAATAATATCAATAATTCGTAATTACATATTTACTTATAACTACTACTTATAATATTTTAATGCTATAAATAAAATTATTTTTTCAGGTTACAGCTAAGAACGATGCAGTAGAATCAACGCCGTCTCTTATTAACAAATCTTGTCTTGAAGAGGGATGGCTTTTTAAAGTGAAGCTTTCATCACCCGATGACGTACAGAAGCTCATGGACCAGGCTACCTACGACAAATATCTTGAGGAGTCTCACTGAGAACATGCACTTAAAGTTAGATTGTAACATACGTTCGACACTGGAAAATATAATTATTTAAGAAAACTTACCCTAAAGTAAAGTTTAATAATAATTTACAATAATTCATCCATGTATTTCATCTGTAATTTTCTATTAATTGTGCAACGCGCACACCGTTTAGCCAAATACTGTTTTGTTTTTATTTACGTATTGTTAACTCTAGTATCAAATACGAATAATATGTAGGTTTTCACGAAATCGACACTTTATCGATCATATAATATTTTTTTTCACTTTTATAATTCAAAATAGCAATTATGGAAAAAATAGTAAAAAATAACAATTATGGAAGGCCCACTACCAGACCGGGCTTAAAAGTTGCATGTTTGATAGAAGTTTAAAATAGAAAATTTTCAAAAAAATCGAGGAACAGTAACGTAGTAACACGATTGAAAACTTAAAATTCAAAAATCTTGATTAAAAATATTTTAAATAGTTTTTTTATATCTTTTTCTAAAAAAAAAATTTAAAAAAAAAGTTGAATTTTGATCATTATTAATAATGTTATGAACAACAAACCAAAAAAAAGAGCGGTTTTGAACCCGTGGTCAAAAAATCTCAAAATTTACCAGGAAGCCTCTTTTGAGGGGTACTAAAAATACCAAAATATTATGAAAATAAACATTTTAATTTTTGGAACCGTGCGATTTGGCGTGGAATGTCCCATAGGCATACTAAAAATGTTTTTAATCCGAAAATTATAATATTAAATATGAGATTAAAAGAGAAACCTTTATTAAATATAATATCTGGTATATATAAAAAAGTAAAATCTAAAAGTTCTTGATATACATAGTTCAGTCATTTAGTAGTTTTGCCTGGAAAGTTTTCCGGGAGTTTTGAAAATAGGTGGTTTTATAGATTTCGATGTGCTCTTTCCGAATTTCAATGTTGCCACCTTGTATCTTTGCCGCTCACGCTGCCATATTGGAAAAATGGCGCCTTAGGGGAGTTTTTTCGGTAAAAACATTTTTATCCAAAATTAAACTAGAGAAAATATCCTACAATTTATATAATTTTTTTTTGTAAAATCAATAGTTTTGGCTTATGAGAGCTGCAAAGTGTACTTCAATATGCGCTAAATATTGTACATTATTGTATATTGTAGATTAGGCCTACAGGGATAGGATACTACGATAAAGAAACTTAGTTTACCTCAAAATGATGTGGAAAATAGTTTTTTACCCAAAACGCAACCTTTTAAATTACGCAACGGATTTTAATGCAGTTTTCTGCAATAGATAGAGTGGTTTAAGAGAAAGATTATAAGTGTAATACATGCATATTATATTCATACTAAGCATTAAAACGTACCTAGTTAGAAGATAAGAATAGAAGAAGTTTCAAAATCTCTACTAAAAACTGAACTTTTAAATAAAAAATAAGCGTTTTTTTATAATATTAAAATATTCCATAGAATAATGTGGAATATCAGTGATTTCTGTTGCATTTTCAAGCTGTTATATTCATTTAATTGTAAGCATAAACAAATTATTTATATGAGGACGAAAAAATTAGGATACTATTTGCTAAGAGTACATGTGATATTTATATAATTAAATATTCAGGTGTATTGCTTCAAATTAAATAAAACACTGGAGCTAAAATGCTAGTATTTAATTCATAAAACATTTCATTTTTCCTATCTTAAAAAGATCTAGAGTATATTTTTCATGATAAAAAGCAATTTGTTCGTTTCTATCTAACTCTATAACGTCTATATAATGTCTAACCAATTTACCATTGTTCGTTATTCGATATTCATAAAGGCTATTAATAGGATTACTATAATTATAAATGCAAAAGTTTGAATGTGTGTAGTTACTTCTTAGCGCTGAAATAGCTGGAAGGATTTGAATGAAATTTATTATGCAGCCGACCTGGAGCAAATCCTCAGGTTCCTGTTAGACACCTAGACACGTAAAGTCACTAGTGTTATATGTATATATATTATTAGACTTTTATGAATATACCTGTTCTCGTAGTTTCCTTTATTTGCACTCATTATTTGCTTTGTAAAATATAAATTAAATAAGCTAATTATAAAGAAGCAGCTCCAGATATGATTTCAATAAGTTCTCGTGTGATGACGGCTTGGCGAGTTCTGTTGAATAATAGGGTTAATTTTCTGATCATATCCTCTGCGTTTTTGGTGGCATTATCCATGGCTGCCATACGAGCTGCCTGCTCTGAGGCAGCCGATTCCTTTAGAGCATAGAAGAGTAATGCGGCGAATGTCCACTCTGTGTAGCTTTCGAGCTGGTCGTCTTCTACGTCATCAAATGCAGTCATGTTTGGGGCGGCCTATAAGTGAATGATTTATCAGTTATGCACCTACATCGCAGGTAGGACACACATGGAATGTATAATATTGATTTTGCTTATATGGGGTTCTTCCCATACAAACGAAATGAGCTATTTTAAATAGAAAAGTGATCTTTGGCTATGAAATATGAAATGTCATATCTTAAGCAGCTTTATGCAATAATATTCGAGTAATGTTCACTTCGAGTAGTTTCCATTCGACTTAGGGGTAGGAAGACGTCACAGCTACGTCAAAATGTCAAACCATTCGCGTTGCTACAAAATTAATCCAAGATTAGAAACTAAGAATACCACACTGTTCTAAAATATGTCTCACTTCAACTTTGGCCTTGGTGAAAAGTGGTAAAATAGTGAGTTCATATTTGATGGGGCTGAAGTACTTGTTGTAGTATATTTCGCCTTTTTCATATAAGTAGCCCGACTGCACGATCGCTGCAGCTATTGTTGACGCATCCATGAACACAGGGGCTATACGTCCTATCTAAAAATAATAATTCAGAAAATATTTAGCAAATTGTGTACTTGCGTCCGCGTAAAGTAATAAACGTATATACGTTAGTATGTACCAGTAAATAATTTAAATGTAGGTACATCTTACTTACTCGTATGTACCTTATACATCTTATATGTACCTTATATGTACATTTTTATTACTTACTGGTTCTACATAAACATAACATATTGTAACGACTAAGTCATTTCAAATACATAATCGAACTTTCCTCAGCCATTTTAAAAAGAGGCTTTGTTCCATTCCAATTGGATGAATAGTAAATTAAAGCAATAAGTAAACTCCTAGACATCTGCCTACACTATATTATATTTTTTTGTATTTTTTATATTTTGTTATTATTTACTAGACACTAGAGTAATAGCCCTGGTGGGACATTTTTCGTGCAAATTTTGACAGTCACGGTTCAAAATATAGAGTTTTAGGGATTCGGTAAGTCAGAAAGATGGACAGATAGATAGATGTAAGTCTAGTACAAAGATTGGCCCTTCCAGTTATGAAACCATAAAATAAATTAAAATATATGAGTTTATACATCTTTCACGTTCATAAGCATGTTCTCGCTATAAAATCTTCTGAGCATGGCCCGCGATTTATCTCCTATGCATACTAGCTTGTGTGCAGTGGCGTCAGCGTTGCGAGCGGTCATGTTGCGTCGAATGCGACGCGACACGCCAGTGTGTACTCCACCACAAAGACCTGCGAAAATTTGGATTTCTCTATGACATTTAAACTAAAATAATATAAGAAAATAGATTAATCCCTTATCTTCTAGAAAAACTTTCAAAAAGTTAACACTACCACGATTTCGTAAACCGAATGCATCAGTCAAAATTGGAACTGGTACATAAAACTCTGGCATTATATTTTCTTTTCAGTATAGTATAGACTCAGGTTTGATTTTTTCAAGATATTATCTTTTATAAAATAATTTATCTATACATATAATAAAACTGTAGACGTCGAATGTCTGTACATAGAACAAAAAATGCTAAAAACCAAGTCAGGGGGAAGTAAGAAGAGAAATAGAGCAAATCCAGATTCGTTAAATATTTTTGGTTCCGTGTCTGTTTGTATGGGCTAATCTCCGAAACTATTCAACCGATTTAAATAAAATTTTGCATGGTGGTACCTTATATTCCCGGTCAACATTTTAAATTCTTTTCATCCCGAAAAATTAAAGAGTTCCGGTGGCATAGTTAAAATATTATAGTAACTTATACAGCATAGTACACAACAACTTATGCACTTAATTTAATAAAGTTTGGCATGCTGATAACCTTATATTGCTGGTCAAACAACAGGTTATTTTTATCCCGGAAGAATAAATGGTTCCCGTGAGATAGATCTATTTGTGCTTCTGTAGAGGCGAACCCGAGCGAAGCGAGGGTGTTTAGGCTAGTTTGTAATAAATAGGATTTAACACACAAACGATATTCATATGATTGCTTAGTAATAAACAAGATTATCAAATTAAACGGCAATTTGTATACATAGAGCATAAGTCGAGTTTTACTATGTAAATACGCCATTAATAGCACTGTAAGTGTGTAAGCAAAGTAGCAGAGAATATTGGAAACAAAATATTTATAGCGATTTTCTTATATTCAAATCAATTCTACGGCATTATTAATTATTTTACAAGTATTTCTTCACTGAGCAGTTAGTAAAAGAGAAATATTCAGTCCTGAGAAGGACTCTAGAAACTATTAATATATTTTATTCTACTAATATTATAATCGCGAAAGTCAAATTTGTCTGTCCGTCACCTTTTCACGCTTAATCCGCTGAACCGATTTAGATGGAATTTGATATGCTGATAGTTTGAGATCCTGGGAAGGAGTTAGGATAGTTTTCGTCCCGGAAAACATATTTTAAGGGGGTGAAAAGGGAGGTAGAAGTTTGAATGGGGAATGAATCCTTTCTCAAGTAAGGGATATATATTTTTTATATTTTTAATATAGTTACTTACATATCTATATCTATATATATATATATATATATATATATATATATATGTACATACATAAATAGGTATATATAAGTAGGTAGGTAGGTAGGTATATATAGGCTATGCTATACTAACCGTTAAAACGTACCTAGGGACGAACCCGAGCGAAGCGAGGGCGAGTCGCTTGTAGTTAATATAATAATAAGTATACTCTACTGTAGAACATTTCCAATCACGACGTTATAAAATGTATTTGTAATTAGATATGCATGAGTGATAAAACTTACCATTTCTAGTATGATGAAAGTATTTGGGTACTTACATAAGTTACGTATTATGTTACGAGATTTTATACTTTCAATCGTTTTTAGATTGATTATTTTGATTATACACTAGCGATACGTTTTTGATTCACTTTTTTGGGGTGGGGTCGGTGAACTTTTGAATATTTATTTCAAATGAAAAATATATTATGCATAGATTATTCCATAGGTATAATTTGATTGATCTGGATATTGGCATTAAGAACGGATATTCTTCTTCATACTTTAGGCTACCAGCTTCATAATAATTTAAAACCCGACTGCGTAAAAAGTGAACTAAAAAGATGATAACAAGTTGACTAATGCCCGATTTCACCAACAACCCATAAGCTACCACTTACGTATGGGATCCCTAGCTTAAAAGTCCCCTAAACTAGCCCCTAAATTAAATTTCGTTTTAGGATTGTCTTTAAGTCCATATTTAGAGGGCCTTTTAATATTTAGGTAACCCCTGTCGGTGAAACAGAAATTGTCCCCTAACAGCCCCCTAACCATGCTTAGGGGATCCATGATTAGGTGACGTTGGTGAAATCGGGCATAAGGAACGTAGTATAATGCAGTTGGAGACGAATGTACATATGTTTAAGAATATCTGCGTATGTCTATTCTAATATTTTCGTAGTCGGTTCTTTTTTTTTAAATATATTTTTTTATTTTAGTATTGGTCAGTTAGGCATTTTTAGTTTTATTTAACAATTTCTTATCCTAAATTACTTTAAAACATATAAGTTACACATATTTTTGTAATCACCTCTTTAAAAGCTGTATTTTATTACCCCACTCATTTTGATTTTTAATGACATTGATGACTATGACACTCGCGTTATCAAAACGAATAGAATGACGTTTGAATCATCAAAATCGGTTAAGTTGTTTAGTAATTACGAGAGCACATAGGATAGGATATACATACCATCCATACATGCATACATACATACTACATACATAAATACATATAGGTCAAACACATAACCTTCCTTTGGGCTTTGCTGCAGTCGGTAAAAATTTGTCAAGATGTAAAATCTTTACAGATTATTTTTTTGTTAAGATAATTCAAATGCAAAATTCTATAAAGATTTTTGATAGAATTTCATATTATTTATATTCTATAAATATAACTAGCAAAAAATAAAAACAAATCTATCCTACGGAAACGTACAAATTTCCGAGATAAAAATTAGCCTTTATGGTATAATTTCATCCAGATCTGTTCAGCGGTTCTGGCGTTATTGAGTACAAATATCCATACATCCAAACTTTCCCATTTATAGAGCAGTAAGAGGTAAGATTTAAGTCACGAACTTGTTAAAAGGGCAATCAAGCAAATAGTTCTGATGAAATTTACAATAATATTACAATATGTAAGGAAATACCCATATAGAAATTTACCTTATGACCTGGTTAAGGAAACATTTCGATTTACTTTTTGTTTACAAACATTACTCATGTAAAGTTTTAATCAATTTACAAATATGTATAATATGTATTTATATTATTTCTTTGATTGCTTGAATTTATTAATTTATTGTGGATCTCCATAACCTATGGTTTTCTTACTAGCGCTAGACATTTGACGTAGACTCCATAGAAATCATGTCAAGTTCTTATTTCTTTTAAGCATAACTATAAATAGCTTATAGGTTTTTACCTTTAGTCTCTTTGTACCCTGCTCACTTATAAAATTGATACGAGAAAATAAAATCTTTAAAAAAAAATCTGTGTGGTTTGATAATCCCGATTATATATAAGTCCTCTATATAATATCGCGCGTCTAGGGCAGTCGATCAAGATTTCTACAAGCCGAAGGAACAAAAATCGTCTATAAAGTTCATGGTATTATAATTAACCTCAACCTTTTTTTTGTATATAATATTTTTTAACCCAATATCTCTAGTTAACTTCTACGTCTTCATTTGCTCTATATTTTGTGTCCGTGACATATTTATATAGATACTTTTAGTAATTTATATTACATAAGAATCATGTATTGCTAAAACATATTAGAGATAACAATTGTTCGAAATAAAATATAATTTTTTTATAATTAGCGTAGATTGATAAGTCTTACGTAGAATGATTTTTATTATTTCATTACATATTATTATTATTTTATCAAAGATAAAATTTTAGTTTTATAAAAAGAAAACTGTTTTAGTAACACTATCGTCAAACGAAGTAAAATGACCTTCGTTTTACCTTAAAATTGACCTTAAAAAGGTTACATAATTTTAACAACATTAATAATATAATTAAAGCGTTCTCACGCTAAAGTTTATATAAAAAACAAGTACCTACACCGATACGGTAAAAAGCAGTGAAACTATAAAATATTGATTTTTCTTAAACAAATTTATGTCCATGTATTTATTTGAATGCTAATATAGTATGCTTAATTGAAGGCGCACGTCTAACCTTTGGGTCAATATCGAAAGATACCAAGCGCTATCGTTTGGACAGAATATTATTGCTTTAAAGCGACTGATAGGAATTCTCGAGAGCCACGTGGAAGATATAACGAGCTAGCGAACTAGGGGAAAGCTTGCTTCACTTCCAATTATACCTACATTGTTTAAGAACTATTTTTTTTTAAATTACCTAATATAATTTGTTTTAATTTATTTATTGTGTAAATAAGGAAATTTTATAAATATTTCACTTACTTTAAGCCATTCAGTGTCGCATAATAGAGTCAGCATCGTAATATAACAATTACCTAATCTATCTAATATAAGGGTGTATTCGAGTTAACAAAATCCCGTCTAACTTTGATTTGGTCAATATAATATAGCTTTCAACAAAAAACGGTGTATAAAGATTACAAAGAAATTAAATAGAAAAAATGGTTACAACGTAGGTATTTGTTTTTTTATGGAATAGGTACATTATATATCTACAGATTGGAAAACACATATTTATAACTAAATATACCTATAAGTCATTGCATTTTTTTTGTTTCTCATATAAATAAGTACGTGAATATATTATGGATAAATGAATTACAGCTTAATTTGTTTTGACTAACCTCTATCTGACGTAACGGCTACGTATAGTCTTTTAACTTTCTTGTCTTCTTTAACTTCTTCAGTTTTCTCAGCAACTACTTCTGGAGTTACTTCTTTTGATTTTTCATCTGTTTTATTTTGAGGAGCAATCAAGTGGCTAGATTCATAGAATTTTTGTGGTCCGTAACCAAAAGGGCGAGTTGATGCCAGTTCGCGTTCTGCTTTTGCAAACCTGACGAAAAGTGGTAAATATGTATATATATATATATATATATATATATATATATATATATATATATATATATCCTATCATTTACCCCCTAATCGGATGAATTTGGAAAAATGCTAAAACATGTATTTATTTAATTGTTTTAAAGAGCATTAATACCAAGTTCTTAGTAATTCTGATCATAAATATTTTAGATTGTATTATAACGTGTTTTCCCATAGGAATGAGATAATCTTCCGCGGTAAAAAGTAGCCAATGTCACTGTCTCTGTCAATGTCAATGTCTCTCTAGCCCTCCAACTGTATCCACATAAAAAATCACGACAAACCGTCACTCCGTTTCAACGTGAAAGAAGGACAATCAAAGAAACAAAGAAACACACTTTTACATTTATAATATTAGTATGGATTTTGATCTCAAGGAAAACCCATAGGCACTCTTACTATTTAAAGGAGTATAGAAATAAGAAACGATTCAAAAAGCTATAGGACCCTAAGTACCCTATGACCCTAGTAAGAATTTGATTCCGTAGTGTCGAAATTTCGTAATATAATTCTTTGATATTTTTACTGGATAATTCAGATTTTTTAATTAAACTTCTTAATAAAGTCATACAAACTTGTGTTCACTTTTATTTATCATTTCCTTGTTCTTATATTTTATACTTTTTTCTGTATATCTTTCGTAACTAGTCAAATTTATTATTAAAAAGGTTCTTCTAAATATAAAGTATACATACAAAAAATTACCTAAATATTTCTAAACCCTACCAATGTTTAAAGTATCTTAAGAGATATCTAATAGAGCATTTAAACTAGTTTATTAAAGCTTACTTGCTTGCTGACACCATCTTCATAGTTTTTGTTATTTTCTGTATATTTTTTACCGATTTCAAGCGGAGCGATACTTGCTTTAGTTGAACCATTATAGTTTATTTTATTAATAACATTTCCTTTCTTAACATGTTCAAACGTCGAAGTGACACTGACATTTTTTACTTATAAATATTTACTGTAGTTTTCCAGTCAGCTTTGACTTTGCAAGTAAAAATGTACGCTAGTCGTTACACAACAACAATTATCGTAACAACCTCTTTAGACTTATATGCATATATATTTTAATTCTCTTCCGTCTAGGAAATATTAACTGGGTTAAAATAAAAATGACCAATGTGCGAGCCTGGTTCAAGCACAAAATGTGTTAAAAATATTTTAATTTTAGAGCTTGTACTATAATAATAATACGAGGACAAGGTGAAAAGTTCTCAGCCTGACAATAAAAAACTGCGATTTTAAGTTAAAGAATGAGTTTATTTTTCTACATAATCTACCTTGACTGAACACACTTGGTCCTGCGTTTCTCAAGCATAAATATTTCTTCCCGGAAGTGAGAGTCTGGAAGGCTGTGAAAATTTCTTCCCGGAAGTGAGAGTCTGGAAGGCTGTGAAAATACTCTCTAAAGGAGCAGAGTCCCTGTAAGCTTTTATTAACTTCGAATGAATTTCGTTTGGCATTAATCCATCCAAACCAAAGAATTTTATGACCGCACGATATTCAAGTTTATTCATTTTAACGAAACATTCGGAAGACGTCTACTGCAAATGTTCATGTAAACAAACTACTTTGAGAGAACAAGTAGAAAGTTACCATACGAACTAATGCCACATGTACATCGGCGAGAACCACAAATTTTTGATGATTATAATGACAACACTGTGTCAGGCCGAGAACTTTTCACCTTAGTCTAGTAGTGTCCTTCCGACTGATTTCGGCCATTGCCGAGCTAGATAGCCTAGCCACTATACCACCGAGTCAGATTATTTTAGAGCTTACACTATAATCACACACAGTTTAACAATTATATATTAGCAGTAAAAATTTTTAGGTACCTATTGTGATTTGAAAGACACCTCATTTCATTCGGACCATAAAGGCAGCTGGAAGAGGTTTTGTGAAAGGATATCTTGATTGATGACTAAATAAAACTTATTTTTATTATAAATTATAATAAAAATATAAATTTATAATTTATAATAATATAATTATTATAAATTATAACTATGCCCATTAAGATACATGTATGCCCTTGCAGCACGTTCTACATTATAAAATGAGAAAATAATATTATTTTTATAACCATTTTATTTTTATCAGATTTTTTATAATATATTTTCAGAATCATTTATTGCTTAGATAAACTAGCCCTAGACTCTTGGTCGTTTAGCTACGTTCCATACAAAACCATACATACGGGCGGTTGGCACAAATAAATTGGCATAAAACTTATATAGACATTTTCTCTATATTGTATATATGTTTTATCCATACTAATATTATAAATGTGAAAGTGTGTTTGTTTGTCTTTCTTTCACGTCAAAACGGAGTGACGGTTTGGCGTGATTTTTTGTGTGGATGTAGTTGGAGGGCTAGAGAGTGACGAAGGCTACTTTTTACCGTGGGATATCATCTTATTCTCACGGGAAAACACTAATACAATGCAAAAAATATTTATGATCCGAATTAGTTGGAACTTGGTATTAATGCACTTCAATAAAATTTAATAAATACGTGTTTTAGCATTTTTTGAAATTCATCCTATAAGGTGGTAAAATAGAGGATAAAAGATTGTATGAAGCTACCTTTTTTTAGATATTTTTTTGTAGTATTAGAGCGAGCGAGGCCATGGGTTCTGCTAGTTCTGTTATGATATCAAAATATGACATGATAAATTCGCGTAATCAATAACATTGCTATTAACATGTTATTTTAACTAATGACGATTAAGCTTGTATGTTTAAAAAAACAATTTCTGAGTATATAAATTGCGTTTTACAGAAGCATTAGTTGCGATGACCCTTAAACTATAATAAAATATATGTAAAATTCTCTTTTAAATTTCAAAATCTAGATAGTTGTATTTAATTAAGTTGGCTTGAATCAATTAAATTTGTTAAATTTTGTTATTTAGACAGTGGTAGCCCAGTATTAACGGGCTCGCCTGGGAAACCGAGTGAAGCGGATACAAATCCCGGGTCACGCACCTTTGATATTTTCATGTACGAATCATTTCCAACATGATTACCACGTGTCTTACGGTGAAGGAAAATATCGTGAGGAAACCTGCATTTCTGAGAGAACCTACCAAGTTTTCGAAAGACATGTGAAGTTTGTCAACCCGCACTTGGACAGCGTAGTGAACTGTGGCCTGATCCCCCTTGTGTTGAAGGGAAGCTCGTGCCCAGCAATGGGACGTTAAAAAAAATGAATGCGTGTAACTTTTACCCGCGGTTGACGAAAACTTCTTTGGCGCTGTGGCAGATACTGCAATTAAATTAAAAAAAAAAAACAAATATAAATATAATATTTTTTTATACTTAAACCACCCCTGATACACCCCCAACAAAACAAAGCCAGCCGTTTTGCGTTTTAGGGAGACTAACAAATGGCATTTCATTTTTATTATACCTACTAGAATTGATTCAGATGACAAAAAACTAAATGTTTAGGTTTTACATATTAGTATACTCTTACATTGCAGTTTTAGTATTTTTTCTCAAACATGAGATATTTTCCCGCTGTGAAACGTATCCTATATGTTGGCCCTGATAACCAGCTATCGCCATACCAAATTTCATCAAAATCCCTCCAGTGGTTTTTCTGTGATGCGGTAACAGACAGAGAGACAGACAGACCGACAGACAGACAAAAATTCTAAAACTGTAGATTCAGCCTCTGTATCGATAATAATGTTTATTTCAATAAGATTTTCCAAAAAATATCTAATATACAGATTCAGATTAGTTACAATTTTAATATATGCATAGATATAGATTAGTACCTAGTAAATATATTCTTTTTTATAAGTAATAATTATTATAAAATTATTAATAATAAATGAATAATAAAAATACTATATTTTTTTAAATTATAATATTTATATTTATAAAAATATAAATATGATATTTTTATAAATTATTAATAATAAATTTGACTTTCATTTCCGTGACACTCGCTTCCGCGACACTCATTTTTCCAATGTATTGACACACCCCTCAGTCACGCCTAAAGAAGTTTTACTTCAAATAAAGGACTGAATACAATACAATATAGTCTTAAATTTACGGTTTATGGCTCTTGTTCTGTAAGATTTTGCATTTCTTTCTCTACATTTGAAAAAAGGATGCTATAGCAGTTTTCTAGGCATTGGTACTAAGGCTTATCAACTTAGGCAACTCACGTTTCTAGGTGACTATTTGCTTCAAGTAATTATTTACAGTAAATTCATAATTGATCAATATATATATATATATATATATATATATATATATATAAGATATTAAATTTTAGATTTCCTTGATTACTAAAGTGGCTACAAGTTTTTATTAAATACTCTCATTGCTATACCTAAACCACACAGTTGTTACAATTTTTTCTTAACTTTAAAATGTTTATACAGGTATTTTTTGTTACGGTCATTACCCTTCTAAAACGCAGCAATAGAACGTTAGTTTTTATTGTAGTTTTTTTCTTATTTGCCTTGACCTTGGTAATATATACGCAGTAAAAACTGTAAACGCAATTTATGATTATATTGCATCGATAGCTTATATTTACGATAACATTGCTTTAGTTTATTTGGATATGGCATGATATGTCATATTTTAAGGTCTTTTGGGAATGGGAATCCTATCCGTCCACCCAAACAATAAAAAAACAAAAGCAGGGGGTTACTTCGATATCTCCCTAAAATAACTTAAATGTATTTATGATTTCTTCAATGATTTAGTCTTTCTTATTAAAATTTACTATCATAAAGACAATATAGTGTAGGTACTGTAAAAGAGATATAAACCATTTATATTCATGGGCACTTCAACAACTTATCGTTTACCGGAAACACTCAAATGGGCCCCGCAACCATTATTGCTGTAAAGCATTCGAAACGGTCTGGAACCAAAAATCAAAATAAATTCGCGAAAAAATCCAAAAATATTATTTTATTTAAAATGTCAAATATTTATCTAAAAAAATATTAACTAATCAATCAGTTACATGCCTTATCCGATGCGTCTCACCCCGTGTCAGCAACGTCACGGTGTACACATAAAAGCGCCGGCTAGCACTCACTATTGTTTCTGTTGACTCTACGACTCCGCTCAGACATAACGTATACAAAAACAGTGTATCCAGATATATTCTAGAAGATCTAAAATAATGGAGGTGCCATCACAGGTTCAAGAAGAAGTCCTGTCCACGTCCCCGGCTGATAAGGTATATTGTTATTGTTTTTGATGCGATTGTTTATAATTTATATCTACTGCTATATTATCGACGTGTTCTAATAAATTAGTAAAGCGATTTTGTTATTTATATTTTTTTTATCAAAACCTTAAAAAATTACTATAGTAATCAATCGTATAATAAGATTATTTAATTTTATTTAACATTATTTTAGTTAATTTTAGCTACTGCCTGCGCCTTGATCCGTTTATAACTAATTAGTTTTTGGCCATAAAGAACGGCCACCGCTTTAGATGTACACATAAAGAACGCGTACTACATTAAGACTATAATTATAGGTTACATCGGATCATTGGAAAGATTTACCATGTTTTTACCCTGTTATTGACATATATAAAGAAAAAAATATATTGAATTTCATCAACCGGACTCCTCAAACTAAAATAGAATAGCAACCACACACAAGAAATCTATAAGAGGTAAAAACTAATAAGCCTATCCTCGAGTTTCAGCTTTAAATAAATAGTCTAGTAATGACCCAAGTCATATTTAAAGTAGGTATAGCGAAATATTAAGTTTATATCATTTAATGCTGTACTGTACGTACAGTATAAGTGGTGTAGGTACACCGTTCTAAATTAACTTATTTTCTCACTTCTGAAGGGTTTCTGGAAGAAATTTCTTAAAGAGATAAGTTATCCTTTGTCGACATTCTGTTACTTTATTTTGTATAATATGCATTTTATAGTACATAAATGAACGGATAAAAAATAATTCACTAGTCTTAAAAAAATCGCGCTCTTGTATTTGATAAAGTCAAGGCTATAAGTGAGGCTTTTAGCGTCTAAGACAGTATTTTTAAAAGGAATGCCAAAATGTATAAAATAATGTCAATTGACTCACCCGTCGAGTATTTACAATCGAAACCTTGGAAACAAAAGTACTTGGTATACGAAATACCAGATCAAATTTTGCTTTTGCGTTGTCAGTATTCTTAGGGCTATATTATTTTACTGCTACTGAACTACGTATTGGCGATAAAGACATTCCACTTGCGTTCGTGCGTGTTTAGAAGTTAATAATAGTAGTAGAATTATATTTTATTTAAAATATAAGCGTTTGTCCGCGGTTACGTTATCGTTGTACAGTACAATCGTCGTACAATGAACAATATTCTACGGCAATCGCCTTCCGAATCGTCTATACAAACACAAACAAAATAGACAATTTTAAATTTAATTTAATTTTCAATTTGAGTTTTGGATTCGAATTTACTACTTTGGCTTTAAGCACAGATTAAACCAAAATCACATTTATAGGCTGAGATTGTATATTGTTGTTCTTAGATTTAAATAAAAGTATGCGCAAAAATCATCCATGTACGAAGTATGTCAACGTTCTAATTTGAAAGGTAGGTAATACACTCTTGCAAATATAAAATTCCACGACGACGGATATGGCAATTTAATTCTTTAACTCGTTAACTTAATGTCGTAATTAATACATATACATATTTCAAAACACATATATGAATAAATAACTTAAGCTGTTCACAGTGTTCACTGTACGTAGTAAGCTCATGATAGTCCGGTGGTTTTTTGGAGAGTGGGACGCGCCGTGACGATATTTGTATACAATAACTAAATACAATTTGAAGGTTAAATTTCTTTATAAAATTCTAAAAGCTGACGCTTGTAACTTTATCTGAGAGATATGTCGCCATTGTTTTTGTTCATTTATTCATCGGCCAACGACTTGACCGGACTGAGGTTATCTCCTGTTGAAACTGTTCGATATTTGTTATCAGAAGTAAAAACTCATCTTGAAACACATAAATGTACATACACCATACCCAGTAGAGTACATAATAAATTAATGATATCTACACTACGATTCTGATAAGGTCGGTAAGGATCTAAAAGAAATTATAAAATATACAAATTTCTAATTTAAATTTGTTCTCTTTTGCTGTATTTGTTAACCAGTTGCGATTAGAATCTTCAGCTGCCGACAGATTCTATTGAGATCTCATGTCGATATCCTGATTAAAATCACAGTTTTAAAGTTTGAACATTATATGTATATCGTTCGTTATATGGGTTATATTTTAAAGCATATTAGTTTAATTTATTTATGAAGCTCCCAATAGATTTCATCAAGTTCCATATTTGGTATATACCTATTGATATTTTAATTTTGTAACTGGACTAATTAATTTTATAAAACTAACTTTATAATTTTATTTGTTGCAGCCAAAACTTATGCACGGTGGCAACTACATCGCCGAAGGCCGCGACTCCAACAAATCTACTTGGCTGCTATTTTCTCCGCAGACACCTGACGAAGCAGGCTCATTGGCAAAGTTCTTGAGCATATTTTCCACACATGGAGTGAATCTCAGTCATATTGAGTCCCGTTCTTCTGCGAGAATACCTGGATATGAATTTATGGTAGAATGTGAACATGGCTCCGGAGACTTTGGTGGAGTCTTGGCAGACTTGAAACAGAACACTGGATACCTAAATATAATTTCTAGGAACTATAAAGACAACCGATGTAAGTCAATATCAAAAATACCCGATAATTATAACGTTTCGAACAAGAAAGAGCAGTTAATTCAAAATGCCTATAAAATCGAGTGTGAGAATCGCTTTATATTCCATGTATTACAATATTAAATTAGAACTTTAGAGATAAGAGGGCATTCCTAAAAGTTGTTTAAATAAACGTTTTCCCAAATGTTCTAACTTGTTAAAAGTTAGTTACTTTTTAATTTTAATGATCTGTTTATGTTAGTTATTTGTGTTTTCTTACAGCTGCGGTACCATGGTTCCCACGCCGTATTCGTGATTTAGATAGGTTTGCGAACCAGATCCTCTCTTACGGGTCGGAGCTTGATGCCGACCACCCTGGCTTTACTGATCCCGAATACAGAGCTAGAAGGAAATACTTTGCAGATATTGCATACAATTATAGACACGGTCAACCATTGCCACACGTTGATTATACTAAAGAAGAGATCTCTACTTGGGGCGTTGTGTTCCGAAAGCTTACCGAATTGTATCCGACTCACGCGTGTAAAGAGCATAATCACGTTTTCCCACTTTTAATTGAAAATTGTGGATATAGGGAGGATAATATCCCACAACTTGAAGACGTCTCTAACTTCCTTAAAGGTACCTTATTTTAGACATTATATTTTGTTGCATTTCTGTTAATTTAAAAAGATAATTAACATAAACACCTTGTCACAGATTGTACAGGATTTACCCTTCGGCCAGTAGCAGGATTGTTATCTTCTAGAGATTTCCTCGCTGGTCTCGCCTTCCGAGTTTTTCACAGCACGCAGTACATTAGACATCATTCGCGCCCTCTGTACACCCCCGAACCAGACGTGTGCCACGAGCTACTAGGACATGCGCCGTTATTCGCTGATCCCGCTTTTGCTCAATTTTCACAAGAAATTGGACTTGCATCGTTAGGAGCTCCTGATGATTTTATTGAAAAGCTAGCCACAGTAAGTTTTGGTTTTAGTTTCATACAAAATTTGTTTACATTTGTTTTTATATGTGGTATTATGTATTTTATAGAATAATTTATTAAAATTTTATATAAGCATTATAATATCATTTATTTTTTAGTGTTTCTGGTTCACCGTTGAGTTTGGTTTGTGCCGACAAGAGGGAAAGCTAAAGGCGTTCGGTGCTGGATTATTATCTTCATTTGGTGAACTACAGTATTGTCTTTCCGACAAGCCTGAGTTAAGGGATTTCGAACCTGAAATCACAGGAAACCAAAAGTATCCTATAACCGAGTACCAACCAATATACTTCGTCGCAAATAGTTTTGAGAGTGCCAAAGACAAATTGATGTAAGTACTATATTTTTATTATCTATATAATATGTATATGTTACTAAAACAAAGAGGCATATTTCATATGAAAATAACAGTAGATACAGTCTGATTAAATATTATAGTCCAAAAGTTCCAAAATAGATAATATGAATATATTTTTTTACTCAAACGTTCATTTATAACACATAATCCTATATAGATTAAGTTGTGTGTGTGTCCTAATATAGTGTTTATGCAGTTATTTATTCATTTTACTTATATTGTTTTCAGTAAATTTGCTCAAACCATACCTCGTGACTTCGGCGTTAGATATAATGCGTATACGCAAAGTATAGATATTCTGGACTCACCTCGACAGATGAGGGACCTTCTTAAGCAATTGCACCAAGAAATAGCGTTGCTGGTCAGCACGATGGACAAATTGTAGAATTTTAGTAGAATACATCTTTATTTTAGATTTATGGCTGATTTTGTAATCGTCAGGTAGAACTTTCTCATCTAAATTACAACTTTCCCATCAAATATACAGTATATAAAAGTAGAAATAATTGAATTATTTTATTAATTCAATTGTAATATTTTATTTGTTTATGTTGTTTTATTCTAAGAATAAATTTCTATGTGAAGATTAAACAATCAGTCTTCAATAGGTTGGGAATTATGCAATAGTGTATATAATTAAAATCAAAATGTCGCTGTAGTGCAGCGATGATCAAACAGAATAATATTTTAATTTGCTAGTATTTTATTCAAATTCATGATATTTTTCTTAGATATATCTTTCGTGTTATGTAAAATTATTATACTAAGAGCTTCAAAGTTCTTAAACATTTGTTATTAAGCAAATTATCCCTTAAAATTAACAGTGCTAAGATTTTTATAGCTTTATTAATATAAGTTTTTATATTGTAAACTAATAATATATAAGAAGATATATAAGTATGACATATATCTTGTTAATGTAATAATTTCAATGTAAGTAATGCAAATAAAACAACGTTTTAACCAACATAATATAATTATTAATTTGTACAGAATAAAGAAAGTACCTAGTACTCGTCTTACCAATAATTATTTCTATTAAATGACAAGATGAAGATAATGGTTTACACCATAATATATGGGATTTAAAATTTACACTAATATATTATTCTACAATGATATATTTACAAAAGCAATAGCTCAGCAATGATCTATGCCAGTTGAATCTATGATCGCTGGGAAAGTTAGAACGTGAGGAAATGACACATCTAAGCTAGTTAAATGATCGAAATATTATATTATTCCCCTATATTTTTGAGTTTCTCTCAGCAATCACAGGAAGTCAGCTTAGCTAAGTTGCGAAAGTGCTAACATAGTTTACTGACAATATTTTATTCATAGGATGTACAAAAATTTAAGAACAGTTGAGACATCATTTCAAGCGAAATTGTGATGGGAATCACTGAAACATAAGCATAGTGTGTAATGTAAGACTTAAAAATATTTATTTAAACTTATAATGATGTGATTCGTAAAACTAATGTTATTTTTCGATATATTCCACAAATACTAATTTAACATAGTTACTACTTCTAACACAGAATTAAGTATACACATTCAAAACCTAGGCCAAATATGTTCGCAATATTTTTTATTGAGTATGCAAAGATGGATGAATGAAAAGAATACGAATATGTACCTGTCTATTAGAATCAATGATAAAAAATGCACATTTTTAATGACACTTTATACAACTCACACCGAAGATTTTGACAATGAATATACCTATTGTAATATCCAACAAATATTCTACACAATATACAAATGGCTTATGAACTACGAAGATAAATCAAATACGGTTATTTCAGTACATAGAAATCGAAACTACAAAGTCTTACAAGATTTTTTTATATATACACGTATCGATGTGCTCCTGAAACCTGATAGAGTGCTTATTACAAGGAATATTCTGAACGCTTATTGTAACTATTATTATTATATAAATTATTAAAATGAGACTTAAAATTTCAAAGTCTAAAATTAGACTTGATATGAACCACTGAAAGAGAAAAATAATTTAATTTGCCACACATTATTACATATATCATATATTGTTATTGAACATATGATAGAAGGTACTTGCATATCCAATATAATCAATAAAGTTTTAAAAATGTTTATTTAAAATGTATTCTAAGATACTTAATACTTATTATTTTATGGGTTCTTATTTCACTATGCTTTTAATGAAGAATTTGAATCTGCACATTAAGAGTACATCATAGCTTCAAATAAGAACCATTATTTTAAAACTGTTATCAATATGTATTATATATGTATAACTAAGAACGTAAAATAACTATATAAAAAATGCTCGAAGGAACATATGAGATAATACTTAATTTATGATAAACTTGGCAAACTTACATTTATTAGGAAATTATATTACTATAAACAATGGATTTATGTTTCTGCGAAACAAGGCCAGACTTCGTTGACATTGGAAAGTGTAATAAGAAATCAAAAATATCAACATAAAATATCGTGGTAGATGTTCATCATCTCCCACGTTTTTAGTTTTCTTTAGGAGTTGTTAATTGGAATTTGTTTGAAGTTTGGATTGTGAAGCACTTCTGAAAATCTCATGGACAAATCTTTTTTAACATGACTACCATCGGCTTCACGTGAGGAGACCTGAATGTCTAACTAAGAGAACCTTACAAGATTTCGAACGACATGTGAAGTCTGCCAACCTGCACTTGGCTATCATAGTGGACTATGGTTTGATCCTCCTCACATTATTTAATTCTTGGAACTTTTGTGCCCAGCAATGGTCTGAACGATGATGTTAATATTAAGAGTCAACTTGGCAAGAGAGGGCTGGTATTGTAATGATTAAACTTATGAAGTGTTCTCTTATTGTTATATTTAATGATTTAATTCTCATTTATACGTATATATTACGATTAAACATTACATGTTATCTAATCAAATATATTATTTTGGCACTATAATAAGTTTCTATAGCGACATTAGTATTGCTAGTTCAAAGCTAACTGCTCGTACTCAAGTGTTTGAACGAACGTATCACAGTTATTAAAATAAATAAATAAATACAACTTTTTACAATATTACAGATAATTTCATATCTTAAATAAGTTTATTATTTTTTAATAAAGTTATAAATATATTTTACAGGTTATGTAGGTAGGTTTTAGTCTAGGTTTTAGTCATAATATGTAGTTGTACAGAAATCGTTTTCAAATGCAATTAAGATAAACAGGTGTTAATTTAAGAATAATATTGTTATATAATCAAATTTATTTCCTTTTTCTATTTACGCAAAATAAATATTCGCAAAAGAGATTATAAATATTATATTAGAACAATTTTTCATCGTTGTATTGCTTTTTATCACTGGTTTCCCTAATTGCACTTAAATACATAATATGTATAATGTATTATATTATACTCCTCTAAGAGTATAGTGACTTAGGGGCATGTATACGAGATTTATTAAACAGCTTTATAAAACAAAATTAACATAAAACTGGATTGAACAATGAAAGTTTCTAATACAAATTTTAATAAATTGATAGAAATTGTGGAAATTATTAAAAATATATTCTTTATAACGACAAAATCTATCTACTATAATAAACTAGATAATATAATGAAGAATATCTACAAGAGGTATATGAGAGTTTATAAAAAGGCTTATCTAAAGGCAAGATATAATAAGGGCAAGATCGGTTTAGACTTCACTCTGCATACAGTGTATCGAAGAGTCTTCGGATAGCTCATCCATTGAGGAATCCGTGAAAGAAGTGCCATCTGGAACAAAATTAACAATTTATGCATTTTTAGAGCTAAGAATTATATATTTTTTTATGTGTAACTAACGTTGGTAAGTCGTTACTAAAAGTAGTCTATGTACTACTCTAAGTGTACAGTTCCGGTGTAATAAGTATCCAAATCCGTCCAGTCGTTTTAACGTGAAGGAGTAACAAACACTCATACAAACATATACAAACTTTTGCATTTATACAAATACGACCAATAAACGCACGTTTTAAAAAGATTTTTTCAACAGAATAATTTCCCATGGAAATAAATCCCTATGTATAAAGATAAAACATAAATTATGTTTCATCTTGTCACTTTCCAGATCATTAACAAGTTCTATACAAATAAAATATATTATAATCTGATCCGTTGTTTTGTGAAAGAAGGAAAAGGAAACAGACCTATAAACTAATATTAGCTACAACTAAGAACCATCTATATATTGTATGGATAATCAAAGTAATTAATGTAGATTTATTAGACTAGCTAGTGTAGTACTCAGTGTACAATGTACATGTCTCTATGGAGATGGTTTCAGGCTTGATTCTCGTATAGTATAAAAATATTACATAAGCTTTGGTAATAATTATTTCTGAGGTGAATATATTTAATTTATATGTTTAGTGTGAACTATTATTTACAGACAAAAAAAATTATAATGTATTAAAACAATTTAGAACAAAATAATTACCTATCGGCACAAAGGGCGGCTTGTTCTGGAAGGAATATGTAAGGTGAAGATTGATAGGCCGGCCAAACCCCACCGGGTCCGTTTCACGGGACATCGCTGTGGACAACCAGTGCACGTAAAACAGTGAAATATACATCGGTTCCATTTTTTTTAAATTCGCAGAAGCTACTGAACTTCGCAAAGCGCACAGCAGGTTATAAAAGAAAATATGTAAAACATTTTTGTTTCTTACCTTGACTTTGTTTGCCTTTGCCAGTGTGTTGATGCTTCTTCTGACGGGCCCGGCTGTTCTGGAACCACACCTGTGTGACCCTCTTGCTCAACCCGGTAACCTGCGCAATCCTCTCCAAGTCTTGCCCGTCAGGGTTCGAGTCTAACTGGAAGTTTGCCTGAAGAACTTGCAGCTGTTCTTCAGTGAAGGTGGTTCTGACGCGTTTCGCCTTGCTCTTGTGGTAACCTTCTGAATCGCAACCATCTGAAGATAAAGCCAATTTACTTATAATATTATAGAAATTAAATACTAAAAAAATAATAAATTAAAAATGTATAATATGCTTAAACTTTTAAATTTAATATTCCCTGACATGACAAAATGTTAAATATAGAGAAAGAGTACAATTACCATCAGATGAAATGGAGCCGCCATCAAGAGTTTCCAAGTAATGTGGTTTACAGAGGACTCGGTCCTCGTGAAGAGCGAACTGTTCTCCTGTGGAGAGCTGGCGCCCGCACGCGTCACACGCGAAGCAAGCGAGGTGGTACACCTGCTCCCTGGCCTTTCGCACCCAATCTGATGAGGAGATACCTCGGCAGCACTTGGAACACTTTGCGCCAAAACTCCTGAGGAAAAATAGAGAATGCTCGCTAAAGGAAACATTACATTACGTAGTTTAACATTTTCAGTTTAACGTTTTGAATATTTATGCGTAATTACAATTTCATTATAATTTCCAAGTACTCAAGGAAAAGAAACCATTAGTTCTCCTCCTATGATACAAATTAATTACTCATATACATGCAGTTTGAGCAGATGTTTTATAAAGATAACATATAAATTCGCAGTAGCTTATTTCACACGCAACATACATTAAGTACTTTCGCATTGCAGTCATAAATTTCGCGGCGTTCTAGTTCTAGATAAAACTAAAAATATTGGCTTAAGATAGTTGTAAGTCCATTAATAGTATCTGCAAAAAATAACGGTGGGTACACAAGTTTTTCCAATAAAACACTGTCTGCTTGTAATAGTAAAACGGTATGTTCACGAAATAATTTACAACTAAATTATTTCATCACACTTACACTCACTCAAAGAAGTCTAATTTGTTTGCATTTTATTTATCGATAGGGGACTATTGGAATTGTATGAAGCTAGAAAAAAATATGCATAGAAAATAGCAATTAAGGTTCGGAAGCATCGTCAGAGTTTTCCGAATATCCAGCAAACGTGGAGGGACGTACCACTACTGATGACAAAGAAATATAGCTACTTTCAAAAGTGGAAATGCTTATCAGTTGAACATTTGACTTATCCGAACCAGCCAAGATCTCGATCAAAAACGATCTTAGTGGGAGGTGTCTACCTCGCAAGAGGCAAGTACGCGTGTTTGTGGTTCGACAGCTTTTTGCAGTGCTACCCTAAGTACGCCAAAAATTACATGGCAAGTTCGACTGTAATCCAACCAGTTTTACGATTTGGTCGTAGCCCGCGTGTGTACACGCTGCTAGTTGCCATCTACTGTCTTATGCGTATTTGTATCTTGTTAAAAATTGAGTGTTTTTAAGACTTTATCCTTAGTTTTGGCAAATTAGATAAAATAAAGAAGTTACTATGGTTAACTTTAACTATAAGCCATTAAAGCAAAAGAAAAAATGGTTAACTTTTTGGAAAAGATCGATGAAGTGGAAATTTTTATGTTTGGTTACGTAAAGACGAAATTATTTCTTCATCGGCGTTCTCTGTACTGTTGTCCTGTACCAATGACATAGAGCCCAGTAAGAACGTAAAGTATAATCGCCAGAAAGCCGTTTAATAGTTCTTAGGTTATCACTGCCTTTATCGATTAATCCGAGCCCCTCTCGGTCGAACGCGCCTTGTATCTTTTGTACGGAAATATTCGTACATATGAAATGGTAGGTACTACGTCAAAATTTTACTCCAGTTATTTTCAATTAATAAGTAGTTCATAAGATAAAAACGAGAGCTTTAGAAATATTATGTACGAGTATATACCTAATTAAAAATAATAAAATAACAATACAAATAGGTAATGTTATATTTTTCTTCTTATTGTAAAAAAACATTTTAATATAAATTATCATTCTTCCGATTGAAGAACGGTGACTGGCCGATATATAAATATTTAAAGTTGATTGCATTTTAAATAAGCTTTTCTAAGGCAATGTGTGTTTCTGAAACATGTGCATTAAATTAAGCAATTAAAATGCCAAGTCAAATCTCACACACTTCATAAATTGAATTTTCATTAAACGTATTTATAAAAGAATGATAGAAATTTATGATTTCTAGTATTATATCGGTTAGTTAGTAGTAGTAGTCTCTTGGTACTGAAAAGTTTAAAATTTGTGACGCACAAATTGACTTCTCTAGGTCATAAAATAGTTGTAATGATTTTAGCTTTCGATTGATTACTCGCAAACAAGTAAAATAAGCAGTCTATACAATGTAAAAAAATTGGGTATGAATAGAGTCCTTGTAAGTTTCAATTCATGTAGGTATATGGTCGACGCTGTCACGTCGTCGTAGTCGTTTAGAGGTAAATCACACGCGTTATAGTTAGATAATACTATAACTTAATAATAGTTCCGCTATTTTAAAATCCCATCGCTGGGCAAGGGACATATGCGGATATGGGACCTAAGCGAGAGGAACATGGCTAGGCGGGCTAACGAGCTCAACATGTCTGAAAACTATTTAGGTTTTCTCCAAGGATATTTTCATTTTGCTCACGGGGATTCCTTCACTGTAGTACAAAATGGTTATATTTGAATTATTCGTACATGAAAATCTCAAATTATAGATTTCCCGGGCTTGAACCCGTTTCATATGCCTTTCCAAGCGAACGCGTTACCAACCGTCTATTACTGCTATTCATAACAGTTATCTTCGAGTTATTCAAATTATAAGAAATTTAAATCAAATATCTAAATCTACATATCTTGCATCTGAATGCTTGAGGTAATTGAATCATAATCAATTTCATTATTGATACAAACTATTAAGTGGTTATCTCACAAATAAATTTAAAACATTTTAATTAACCAGTATATTTTAATACTACACGTGCTCAGATGTTACGTGTTTGTACATACAACGTTGAGATTCATAAGAAGACATACGATGTTAAAGTGACTGGAAAACGAACCATGAAGAAGTCTCTATTACGACATGAATATTTTAGTAATTTATATGTGCAATTGTGGTAAACTCTAAGTTTTGATATAATCTCTTGTACTTATCATGAAGGTGTCATTGAGAGATTGCCTCCATACTGAAAGCCATAGAGCAAATATACATGTAAGATAAATGTATTAGAGCTAAGATATCACTAATCAAAAAAAGTAGAAAATGTTTTTGAGTAAAAAAAGGTACATCTATTCTTTAAGTTTCAGCTATATTATAGCCTCTATCATAAAGGTTATGTATCCGATATGGGCTATATAGCTAGCCTATAACGTTCTCCAATTTTGTACCAATATATAAAGCTGAAGAGTTTCTTTGTTTGTCTGCAAGTGCTGATCAAACTGCGAAATCAATTGGCAAAAATCTTTTTACTTGTCATAGTCTTGAGTAAGGTATAGGTTATTTATATAGTAATTATGACAAAGGAAACAAACTATCAAACTTAATGAATTATTATTATTAATTATGGTAGATTTTCGAGCACGGGGCGCTCTCTCTTCGTTTTTAGATAATTGTAAATGTGATAATTATCTAACTACTAATCCATTAAAGAATACTTGTCCCAATCTTGTAGAGTAAAAATTAGACTTATCTAGACTGATGTGAAAAAAACATCAAACGATAATAGAACCCAAAACATCTACAAATAATTTGCAAAAGTAACCAACAAACCGAAACCACCAACATAATTTAAATTAACGTCATAAACCTAAAATTGAGAGCATTGGCAATGCATTATTATTTAAAATCCCTCCAACGATTACATCTTTAATGATACAATTCAGCAAGAACTAAAATACGATAAAAATAAGTCCTTTCAAACACCGCCCCGCATAACTAACGCCTTATCGACCGATTACCTTTCGCGAGGCCGTATTATTTAATTAATTAAGTATACGCAACACCATTAACACGCTATCATATCAGTCGATTCGGAACATTAAACTTTTGTTTCTCACTTTTTTTTACAGAAGCACTTTGCTTATTGAGACGAATATCGTTATCTGGATGTTTTCGATCAGCTACCGATGCTTAGTATTCCGAGGAGATAATTTTAGTGGTTCTAATAAATAAGGGGAGTTGAATTTTAAAATGGAAATATATATTGCTTTTTCTTTGATTTAAATGTGATCGGGTTTTGCATAAATTTTGCGGTGAATTTGTTAGGACTCGGAAGATATATTATGTGTATGATACGAGTGGAGCCTGCGCCGTTTTAATTAAAGGGCTTGCTTAGATTATAAGTTTGAGCTGTGAACGTTTAGTAAGTATAGTACAAGAAGTTATTTATTTATTTAGCTGTTATGCGCAGTAGATTTATTTTCTTTTAAACCGTTATTGGTTACTATGTTTCTTTAAAATTACTTAGCTATTTATAAAAGTGAAATGACACTCACTCTCAGTACGTGGATTGTTGGATTTTCATCTTTGTATGTATATGATTTGGATCCGGAAATACATATAAACCAGGCCAGAAGAGATTTGCAATTGGAATTGGAGCTAACAATTTTATCGCATATTTCCTCTTTTAATAAAAAAAACAAATCAATATAAACAGTCTTCCATACCTATTTGTAGTATGTATTTGAAAGTAACTTGACTGTTTGCTTTGTACCTTAATTAGACCGCTAAGCAGATTTGGATAAAATATGGCAATGATTGCGTTATGGGTATAGCCGCAGATAAAGGCTAGTATTTAAATAAAAACTGAACACATATAAGTTTTATATTTATACAGTATACTAGCAGAAACCGCGACTTCGCTCGCGCTAAAACTACAAAACAAATAGGTAAAAACGTAGTACCTAGGTTTCATACAAACTTTAATCCCCTATTTTACCCGCTTATATGAATGTCGAAAAATGCTAAAACACTTATTTATTTGTATTGAAGAGCATTAATTAGCAAGTGTCAAGTAATTCTAATCAGAAATAAAATTTTGGATTGTATTATAACGTGTTTTCCCGTAGGAATGAGAAGACCTTCCGCGATAAAAGTAGCCTATGTCACTCTCCATCTCTTCAACAATCTTCACACCAAAAATCAAGCCAATCCGTCACTCCGTTTCGACATGAAAGAAAGACAAACAAACACACAAACTAACAAACACCCTTTCACAGTTATAATATTAGTATGGATATGGAAGTATGGATTATGTATACACTGAATGAAAAGCCGCATAAATAAATTATATTTGGCAACTTTTAAATGAATATCAAACGAAGCGGTCGTAATACTCTCTTTTATACTTTTATTTCCAATCGAAGGATTTATAACGCCTAACTGTAAACTTTATTAAGTACATATCACACTGGTTTTGAAGCATTGATTGGCTTTATTGATTTATATACCTACTATGCTATATATCTCTAAAGAAATACGCTGTAGTGTAGGCTTGTCCCTATTTCGCAAAGAA